GCACCACACTTAGAAGATAAGAAGATAATGTTTGGGAATAATCAACTCCTTCAAGTTGATTTCATACGACCGTCGTCCAGCACATGTTTCCCATCCCAGGGTTAAAAGCTTTCCTGATGAATACAAATTTATGTATACATCTATCTTATATCAACATTGTTGCAGCAATGTTTGTGGTGGATGAGGGTCGTATGAAATCAACTTGAAGGAGTTGACCATTCCCAAACATTATCTTCTAAGTGTGGTGCCTCACCACCTGGTTGGGCCACCCGGGAAATCACAGAATTTCCAAAAAAAAACAACAATAACCACAATATGGTTTGTTTCCCATCCCAAGGTTAAAAGCTTTCCTGATGAAAACAAATTTATGTATACATCTATCTTATATTGCTGGTGTGTTGGAAATTCTGTGATTTCCCGGGTGGCCCAACCAGGTGGTGAGGCACCACACTTAGAAGATAAGAAGGTAATGTTTGGGAATGATTAACTCCTTCAAGTTGATTTCACACGACCTTCATCCACCACAGACATTATTACAATAATGTTGATATATGAAAATTATGGATATTTTCTTTTTTTATGGACATCAACACTCTTATATAAGGGATGAGAAACGCACCTTATTCCGTTATTTCCCATGTGTCACCACCAGTTGATTAACATTTCATTTCATACAATCTTTACAAACAATTTTATTTGTTTGTCTATTTGTATATATACATAATGCATTTAATATCTATATATAATATATAATTAGTTTGATTCATATATTTATAGGTGTTCTTTGCATTAATATTATTACTGTACTATGGACATATATAGTTAGCTGGGGCGACATCACACTTAGAACATTGCCGGACAATCACTTAGAAGATATCATCATAAATCTTCTAAGCGTGAATGATAAAAAATAGGTTGTTTCTAAGTGTTACGTTCTAAGTGTGTTTTTTTGGTTAGTTTTTTTGTCTTCTATGTGTGAGGTCCCCAAATTTGTTTTTTTTTAATCTTCTAAGTGACTGTCCGGCAGTATATTTTGATTATATAGCGATAGTTGTTCACAGTCTTAAATCGCAAAAACTAGTTTACTAGTGATGATATTTGTTTGAGGATAGTCCTTTCCTAGGTTCGCGTCTCTGCGCCATCCGCCAGATGGATAATGTACCCGTGCTTGCTTGGAAGGAACTGATCAATGTTGCCTTGGGTGGAAGCGGAAGCGCCCGTGCCATCACACTCATCAGCCGCAGCTTTCTGGAAGGTTTGCTCTGCATATTCATATTGCGAAGCTTCACTCTTCAGCCCAAAGAGAGGGATCATTTGCGGTAGCAAAGGCACCCAGAGCCACGGCGCAAACCCTGGCCCCAACTGCGACACCAAGCAAGCTGGGAGAGGGCTGTGGGGTTCGCATGGTCGGCCTGTGCAAACCACCATTCGCTCCAATGTAGCCGGGTGGTGAGATCCGGCTTCACCACGCACCACCGGCAAAAAAACCTGAGAAGTGGGCATTGCCCACCCCGGTGACATTGACAAGGCCAGAGCCTGGGCCATAGGACACGCCAGTCTTGAGCTGGAGGTGCCTGTTTGCAACAGCCGATTCAACTCACTTGCGCCATCACTCACCACATCGGATTTCTGGCTAGTACTGGGCGCCAAGCCCAACATCTTCAAAAAGCGATAAGCCTCATCCACATTCAGGATGGTAGAGTAGTGCAAACGACCTTTCAAACCTTCGGGCTTGGGGTCCTTGCACTGCTCCCAATCTGGGGCCGCGCGCTCGAACAGCGCTGCCTCAGTAAAGGAAGTGAGCTGCACAGATTTCAGGCTCACACTACATCCTGGCCCTGCTTTGGCTGCTCCTCGTTTTTGGCACTCAGCATCAATCTCTGCCACGGCAGCTTCCACGCAGCCATTCAGCTGGGATTTCCTGGTCTGCGATTTGTTGATGTTCAGCACCAGTAAGGACAACGGTGATGGCCTCCCTGGAAATGCGCTGATGGATGCCTCATTCGTGCAACCTGCCAAATCTGCGTGTGATAGCAACACATTGGCATCCCAATCCTTTGTCCACTTGAGTCACCACTCTATGCTTAATTTGTTAGGGTCACTTGGGGTCAGTTGAACGTGGAATCAACAATTCAGTAAAGCACCCCGCTGGCTGTTTTGGGGGTTTGGATGGGTATTGTGTATCATATCAAGTAGGGAAAAGCACAGTGTACACAATAATTTAGCCCATTTACACTCAGGTTGTATCTTTAGTGATAATGGGATCTATAATATACACAATATTATGTAATATCTACAACCCATAGGATCCATGGTGCTGCTATATATGGTAACATTTACGTTCAATATACCCCCTTTATGTTGGCATATTTACCAGCACCATGGTTCCTATGGGTAATGGGATCTATTATCATAATAATGGGATCTCATGTATTTTGTATCTACAATCTCTATGGATCCGGATACGGCGCGAGAAGACAAAACGAATCACCCAGGACCCAGTCATACTTCCGAAGGTACGGCTGGATCCATTTCAATGGGTGAACCAACTATGGTTACTAATGGTTAATTTATGGTTAATATATGGCTAATATATGGTTAATATGTGGTTAATATATGGTTAAGATATGGTTAATATATGGTTAATATATGGTTAACATAATGGTTAATAATAATCTGGTTGGTGGTTTTAACCATCTTGAAAAGTGATGGAGTTCGTCAATGGGAAGGATGACATCCCATATATCATGGAGAATAAAACATGTTTGAAACCACCAACCAGTATATATAGCTATTGAACATGGCCATTTATAGTTGATTTACCCATTGAACACTGTGATTTTCCATAGTTATATTAGTTTACCAGAGGGTATTTTCCCACAAACATCTGTGTATGGAAGTTGTGGTATACCCCAAGGTTGGAAACATTCCACGATGGGTGAACTATCCCTCTGTCCGCAACTGAAGCACCAGAAATGATGAACCTTGTCACAACGGACATACCTACTCGGCCAAATAGTCTTCTTACCCTCCAGTAAACTACGAGTAACATAGTGTATGTATATATATAGAGAGAGAGAGATAGATAGATAGATAGATAGAGAGAGATAGATAGAGATAGATAGAGATAGATTCAGATAGATTCAGATAGATTCAGATAGATTCAGATAGATTCAGATAGATTCAGATAGATTCAGATAGATTCAGATAGATTCAGATAGATTCAGATAGATTCAGATAGATTCAGATAGATTCGGATAGATTCATAGATTCAGATAGATTCATAGATTCGGATAGATTCGGATAGATTCGGATAGATTCGGATAGATAGATTCAGATAGATTCAGATAGATTCAGATAGGATCAGATAGGATTCAGATAGATTCAGATAGATTCAGATAGATTCAGATAGATTCAGATAGATTCAGATAGATTCAGATAGATTCAGATAGAGATAGATTCAGATAGATTCAGATAGATTCAGATAGATTCAGATAGATTCAGATAGATTCAGATAGATTCAGATAGATTCAGATAGATTCAGATAGATTCAGATAGATTCAGATAGATTCAGATAGATTCAGATAGATTCAGATAGATTCAGATAGATTCAGATAGATCAGATAGATTCAGAGATTCAGATTCGGATAGATTCAGATTCGGATAGATTCAGATAGATTCAGATAGATTCAGATAGATTCAGATAGATTCAGATAGATTCAGATAGATTCAGATAGATTCAGATAGATTCAGATAGATTCAGATAGATTCAGATAGATTCAGATAGATTCAGATAGATTCAGATAGATTCAGATAGATTCAGATAGATTCAGATAGATTCAGATAGATTCAGATAGATTCAGATAGATTCAGATAGATTCAGATAGATTCAGATAGATTCAGATAGATTCAGATAGATTCAGAGATAGATTCAGATAGATTCAGATAGATTCAGATAGATTCAGATAGATTCAGATAGATTCAGATAGATTCAGATAGATTCAGATAGATTCAGATAGATTCAGATAGATTCAGATAGATTCAGATAGATTCAGATAGATTCAGATAGATTCAGGTAGATTCAGATAGATTCAGATAGATTCAGATAGATTCAGATAGATTCAGATAGATTCAGATAGATTCAGATAGATTCAGATAGATTCAGATAGATTCAGATAGATTCAGATAGATTCAGATAGATTCAGATAGATTCAGATAGATTCAGATAGATTCAGATAGATTCAGATAGATTCAGATAGATTCAGATAGATTCAGATAGATTCAGATAGATTCAGATAGATTCAGATAGATTCAGATAGATTCAGATAGATTCAGATAGATTCAGATAGATTCAGATAGATTCAGATAGATTCAGATAGATTCAGATAGATTCAGATAGATTCAGATAGATTCAGATAGATTCAGATAGATTCAGATAGATTCAGATAGATTCAGATAGATTCAGATAGATTCAGATAGATTCAGATAGATTCAGATAGATTCAGATAGATTCAGATAGATTCAGATAGATTCAGATTCAGGTAGATTCAGGTAGATTCAGATAGATTCAGATAGATTCAGATAGATTCAGATAGATTCAGATAGTATAGATTCAGATGGATTCAGATAGATTCAGATAGATTCAGATAGATAGATTTGACAATCCACCTTCTGGGGACTATTTCCTTTGGAAACCCCTGGATATTCATAGCTATGTTCGTGTCCTGGAGGGTAACCAATCACTAGACATAAGTTGCTTGAGTTCCACCCATCCAACTGTAGATGCTGATGGACCAGATAAAAACTATCGCTTGGTAGCCTCACCAGATGTATAGAATCACATTGTTAGTACAATGTTAGTACTATATAATTGATTATAATTCCACATTAATTATCCCGTACTTTATCTCCAAGTGCCAATAAAAATGCTGTTTCACCCATCATTTTGCTACTTTTACCATTTAATTGGTGGAATTCGGCGGGTTTTTTTGCCGAAACACCCACTTTCGCAGAGCTCCGACACACGGTGGTCGCGACCTGAGGATTTTCATTCATTGTGGTGCGCCAGTTCGTTAGCTAAGCTTCAAGAAGCAATGTGATTTCATGGGATATGAATGGCTGGTTGGTGGTTTCAACCATTTTGAAGAATATGACTTCGTCAGTTGGGATGATGGCATTCCCAATACATGGAAAGTCATAAAATTCCATGGTTCCAAACTCGTCTGTTTGAAACCACCAACAAGATGGGACTTGGTGGGGGCATCATGGAATATAGAACTAACTAGTTGGTCTATAACTAACATAACTACAATGTGAAACCCCCAAGATAGCTAAGTTGGTTTATAACTCCAATAACTATGGTTTATGGTACGCAAATAACTATAGTTACTGGGGCTTATAAACCAACTTATAACTGGGGGGGCACATTGGATATATGGTGATGATAGCCATCGCTAATCGTAGGGTTTGCAGACTTAGAAACTGGGGGCCACTTTGTATTGGTTGCCAAGTGCCGTTTTATCCGCCTGCAGGGCCCGGTAAAGCTGGAGACTTCTAGCTGTTGGATCTATGTTGGATATATCTCTACAGTTGAATGGGACTAAAAAAACTAAGGCCACATTGTCAGCTGCGAAAATCATTAAAAGTCTGTTTTTGCTGTATAGTCAGTTACTGCCGCAGCGGCATCCCGGGATGCATAACTTGTTATTTGGCTCTCTCAGCAGTGTTTCTGTTTCTGTTAAAACCACCAACCAGATTATTATTAACCATATATTGACCATATATTGACTGCCAATGGCCAATGCCAATGCCTTAGCTCCGCAGGAAGGGACCTGTTTGCTTTACATGAACAAGTTCCAAGACCTGGCGAAAGGTGGAGCTTTGGTTGAGAAAATCATCGAAAGGTTGCGAAATGGCCGAAATGGTTTGATTACCAGAGGGGATGTGTTTCTTGACTTCCCCAAGTTTCAGTAGATCCAATAGATTTTGCGAGTGATGTCCCAGATTTTCATGGTGATATACCGGTATCATCGTTTTGTAGTTGCTTCTACATATGGTTCAATTTTAAATGGTCAAATCCATGTTTCCCAGAAAATCTCAATGATGGTTTACCCTTGGACCCTGGGATGAATTGTGGATTGTCATTGCGCTTTGTGAAACAAGTCATCGGACTTTTTTAGGGCGGCATAACTTCGCCACACTTCACAGGTGGTAGTCAACTAAGCCCGGGTTCAGTTGCAAGGTGCTACCCTCTGGTAAACTAACAGTTTGCTATTGAAAATTGCCATTTATAGTTGATTTACCCATGAAAAATGGTGATTTTCCATAGTTATGTTAGTTTACCAGAGGGTACCCCCTAACTTAAATAGCAAAGTTGGTTTGTAACGAAAAGAAAATGTAAGGGTTCTGGTGATGAAATAATTCATGGTTTGGGATGGTTTGGGGGCACCACCTTGTTTGAAAACAACTATAACATTATAACATACTACAACAATTGTTGTACCAATGGTCAAAATGAGATTGAATTCTTTAACCAACTTCAGCCATGACCAATGAAATAGTCCCACAGCCACAGGAAGTTAACCAACTATGAATGTTCAATGATTTAATGATGCTACCTATAAATCCATTGGTTGGTTATCGTTTTCCCCAATAATCATCAAATGAGATCAAGAATGATCATTAATAATCATGTAGACCTTCTATGCAATGTGGCCCCCCCCAGTTATAAGTTGGTTTAGATTCGCCCCAGTAACTATAGCTATTTGCGTACCATAAACCATAGTGAAATTGGAGTTATGTGCGCCAACTGAACGCTATCGAACGGGGGCCTCACATTGTACAGATTATTAATCTTGTATACATCATATGTTAGTGGGTATAATCATCATATAGACCTTCCAAAAACAGATTATATTCACATGCCATTTCACAACATCAAAACGCCATTTCGATCGCCAAGAGGCTGAGGGCCAGGACCAAGGCTTCCACGATCTCGTCGAAGGGAAAATACGACACGTCGTTGGCACCTCGGGACGTCGGTCATGGGTCGGTCTCTGAATATTGGGATCGCCATGAGAGATATTCGATGCGATAATAAATGGTTACCCTCTGGTAATTTGTTACATAGCTATTGAAAATGGCCATTTATAGTTGATTTACCCATAAAAAATTGTGATTTTCCATAGCTATGTTAGTTTACCAGAGGGTAATTGATGTTAGTTGTTAGTAAGGTTACTAATAATACTAATAATGGTTACTATTATAGAATAACCAGTAACCATTTAGTAATATGGTTATATAAATGGTTAATGGTTATGATTTTTGGAAGCCTCCGGTTGGTTGGTTAACTAATGATTAACTAATGATTCATATATGGTACTAATATGTTCCCAATGGGATTTATATACTGTCCGGCAATCAAACGCGGCTAGCTAGGAAATCCACCGATTTTTGTCATGGGAGCTTTGTTGCCGGAGGGGAATTGGGGTACGAATCATCGGAGTTCTGCGCAAATGTCACGTAGAAAATGCTGGGTAAATAGGAAAATATGGAAAAAGGAATCATCAAATTGGGACTTATGATGTGACGATCTGGTTTATTGATATGTCTCAAAATATGTTTTGGTTTGGCAAAATCCAATGGTAATGACAAAATCTTGAAACATATCATTGGGACTTATGATGTGATGATCTGATTTTTTGATTTCAGCATCAAACGAACAAGTGGAAACTAGCGATTGATACGTTCATTGTCCAATGCAACCTTTGATTACCGTTTTTTCTTGTAATCCCAAGTTTCAGTAGATTTTACGATAGTGATATCCCCGATTCCCATGGTCATACAGATATCATTGTTTTGTAGTTGCTTCTAAATATGTCCGAATTCAAATGGACAAATCATGACAAATCCATTTTTTCCAAAAAAAACTCAATGACTCATGGATTACCAAATTGGACCCTTGGATTAATTCTGCAACACGTCGCAACGCTATGGCTTCATGAAACAAGTCATTGGATTTTTGTTCGGCATAACTTCGCCACACAAAAGTCTCTCAACCCAGGATGAACAACAAAAAACAACCTTTCGCCACAGGCTACTCATAGGACTTCAGCGTCAAGCGTCGTTTTTAGAGTAGCGTTTTAAACGACCAGCGGTAGATCCATGAAAAACATATGGATCATCCCCATGGGCCGTTTCCCGCCGTGGAAAAACAACTGGCTAAATCATCCACTGGAGTTATGGTCATTTATCAGTTATAAGTACTTATAACCCCATTTATAGAATGTATAATCCCATTGATCACCAGTTATAACTGGTAAATGGCCATAACTGTGGATAGCAGCTGTCAATCGGGATGCATCGTTGGTCAATTTGTTGGTGGTTTCACCACTGTCCGACATGAGGAGTATGACTATGATTCAAGAATGGCAGTCCGGATGTCCCCTCTGGTGATGATTTTATTTAACACAGCCATGGAAAATTGCCCATAGAAATAGATGATAGAAATGATGATTTACCGTTTTTAAAAATGATGATTTTCCATAGCTACGTTAAATAACCAGAGGGTAACCATCAGGTTGGCAGGGCAAAACCGTGCTTATTTCCAGTACCCGTCGTATCCAACGGGACCAAGTAGGTTGACACCTCCAGGTTGCTCAGTTGCTAAGCTGGTTTCCAAGTAGCTTAACTAGGATTTATGACAGTGACATCTATATCGCTGAAAGTTGTTTTTTTTACTCACTTACAACTGGCAAAGGCCTGCTTCAAAGTTTAGCTTTTCGCGGGAGAATCATCCGTTGACCCATCTTTCGCCGCTCCTGGATATCTCCCTGCACGACAGGAAACAAAACACTGAAATTTACCTACAATGTGAGGCCCCCGTTCACTATGGTTTATGGTACGCAAATCTAAACCAACTTATAACTGGCGGGGGCCACATTGTAGCCAAGGCTAAGCAAGGTGACCAAGGTTGAATATCCACAGGTTGATAGTTAATTGTGGGCATGCTGTTAGTTGAGTTCATTAAACAATCAATGGGCATGTCTCAATGTAGGGCCCAACAAGTCCTATAATTCCTCAGCATTAGTCCTATTTTTTAATGGCCATAGATTGGGCCAGGCCCACTTTTCAGACAAGCCAAATATCCGTTACTCATTGGTTAACTCCTATCTTTATCTACTTTCGATACTTGAGTCTCCATGTTGGCTGCTGAACAACAACCACTTTTTGGGTTGGTCAAATCCGATGATGCAACCGTGAAACAGAGTGGTCATGAGTCAAACCCCTCGCACCCGGATCGTAGCCTAACCTGGTCAATGGATTAGTAGTCTCCCAGTCATATATGGGAATCTCAGAATCTCATAGGTTTCTGTCCCCAAGTCTGTTTGAATCCACGCTTGAAGTCCTATCACCATTGATACATTAATCAATTAAGACGCATGACATCTATCAAAATCCAAGAATCCCCATGAATGTGGGTAAACCAATTTCATGAAAACCATCCCCCGACCCCTCATCACCATTTAAACAGCTTGGTGGTATGGTTACCATTCCAAGTCAAATGGGTGACCTCAAAGGAACTACTGATGGTCATCAAAAGACCTTAAGTCTTTTTTTGAATCCATTATTCTGGACAAATGATAGTAATATAGTCTATAAAAGTCTATGTATGGATAAATTTAATAGTAATCCACCATTAATCATTAAGTCTATTAATATGGATAAATGATAGTAATTCACTAACCTGAATCGTTCGGCCATTTGGGGATGATTTCGCTAAAATAAACCATGATTCCAGTGAGGGAGAACAGTGAGGTCGCTATAATTTACTAATATATTATCATATTAATATCATATATTACCATATTAATATCATATATTATCATATATATATATATATTATCATATTAATATCATATATATATTATCATATTAATATCATATATATATTATGATATTAATATCATACATATATATATATATTATCATATTAATATCATATATATATATATTATGATATTAATATAATATATATATATATTATCATATTAATATCATATATATATATAAATATATTATCATATAAATCACCATTAAACATCATCAATCATCATTCTATCACCATCATTTGGTCCGAATTCGAATTAAGTCCCATCAGATCTCGATGGCGACGCGGCGCAATGCTCTGCCACGTCCAGTCGCAGCACATCATCTGTCAGCCATTCCCACCTGGCTCGCAGCTCGCAGAACCAAGGGGTCGAAGAAACACCAGAGTACATACAATGTGAGGCCCCCGTTCGATAGCGTTCAGTTGGTGCACATAACTCCAATTTCACTATGGTTTATGGTACGCAAAGAACTATAGTTACTGGGGCGAATCTAAACCAACTTATAACTGGGGGGGGGCACATTGTAGGGATGTGAAATGAGATACAGTATTAATATTAAATTGGGAAACTACAAGAATCAATAATGGGAATTTAATGCGAGTCGAGGTGTCTGAGTATTCTGAGTTTGGGATTCTACCGTGGAAAATGGTGATTCAACATGATTTTACTCTTGAACATGCAGATTATATGAGATACTATATAGACCCATCTTTGTAGGACCCCAAAATGAACAAATGATCCTCCCAAGCAAACATGGCAAACCAAAATATAATGCTGATCTTGCCATTTGATGGTAGTTAGATACCAAAGTGGTATAATAGACTGTTATATACATACATGATATTATTGATCGCATTCCCAACATAGGAGACTACATGCGTCTATCCATCTACATTTATATATATATACATATTCATATGTGTATATATATATATATACGTATATGTATACACAGTGGTGCACATATTGCCATTAAAATATATGTTAACACTATGGCCCTGGCTGAACAGGTCTGGATCCTTCTGCGGTCCATGAAAAACCCTGATCCGGACCTGACATTTCGAGCTGCAAACATTGACGTATTACAAACGCACTATATAGATCATAAAACATCATAAAAACCCAATAAATGGATGACCTGGTTGGTGGTTTTTCGCCCTACCCTCTGAAAACTATGAGTACTTCGTCAGTTGGGATCATTATTCCATTCCCAACTGAATGGAAAGTCATAAATTCCAGTTCCAAACCACCCACCAGATGGGAACGTCATAGGAATCACCAACCATAGTGAAAACGAGTGGATGATCCAATCATTAACCAATCATTAACCAATCATTATCCAATCATTATCCAATCATAAAAACCATCATTAACCATTATTCACCATTATTATCCATAGATTAACCATATATTAACCATAGATGAACCATTATTTACCATAGTAAAACATAGTAAAACCATGGTTTCATCAATGATATCACCAGTGACCACAACCCGTTGCTGCTTCAACCCGACGTGTGAAAACATTGCCGAGTCGCTCACAAATTCCCCGCGCAGCCTCCTGCCGACGGCCCCGGTAACCCGGTAACGAGTGCCCGACGTCGCGGTGGTTTTGGCCTCTGGTTTCATGACTATGACATAGCGAAGAACCAATACAGTTATGGCCATTTACTAGTTATAACTGGTTATAAATGGGATCGCCTCACGTTGAATCACGGCGATGAAAGTGTAGCCTAAATGGCTGCTGTGGAAGATAGCTACGTATTGTGATTTTCATGGCATGGAATCCTACAATGTGGCCCCCCCCCAGTTATAAGTTGGTTTAGATTCGCCCCAGTAACTAGTTCGTTATTTGCGTACCATAAACCATAGTTATTGGAGTTATAAACCAACTTAGCTATCTTGGGGGCCTCACATTGTAGAAATGGTGATGAACAACCTATAGAAATTGGTGGTTTAACCACTAGAAATTGTGTTTTTTCATGGTTTAACAATGGGTTAACAATGATGAAGAATGGGATGATCATGGGATATACCGTTAATTTGTGACAGTTTGCTATTGAAGCCATGGCCATAGTTAAATAGTTGATTTACCCATTCAAAATTGGTATTTTCCATAGTTATGTCAACGTTTACCAGAGGCTAAGTTGGATGTTCATCCCACTAGTTCGATTTACTACCAACATCAACCAATCATAGTTGGAATCAGGTGCATTAAAGTTGGTGATTTCGGTTGAGGAGCCCACCCTAAATGGATAGACACGAGCCCCATCTGAGTCTGACTGGGGGTTGCAAGAAAGGGCTTGCTATCCCGCGGTTGTTCTTTCCAGGGCTTACTCTCCGGACTCTCCGGTAATCAAACATGGTAATAGAAAGTCCCCGAACTAAATGGCACTCGAAGCCTCATAGCCACCTGGACCTTGTTCAAAACATTAACATTCAACGCAAAGTGCATGGTCACTTCGGTCACTTGCCATGGCACTTCTCTGAGTTCGTCTGAAAAAGGGAATGTTGTTATCCTTCGTTAAACGGCCATTGTTTCATGGGATAATCTAACTCTACAGCCCTGGAGGAACTGGGAGGATGACTTGATTCCTGCTCTCTGATGTAGCTTCTTCTTGCTGACGTAGCTGTTGTGTGTGGGTTGTTTGATGTTGACAGAAGCCCCTGCATGTTTAGACACCTCATTTTTGGGTTGGTGGTTTTAAGATGTTTTAATCATTTTAATCCATCCCGAACATATATGCTCTCCATCTCTATTTGAACAACAACAACAAATATTTGAATCCGCAAAATACCCTCTGGTTATTCGACATAGCTGTGGTATCGATGGCCTGGTCAGAGATGTTTTCCAAACAACGATGCTTTACAATGATGTATGATGATTTATGATGCTTCATGGTTGTGTGATGTTTGCAATATCAATATCTATTAAGTCTCTGCTCCTCACTTTAAGGAATAACATTGAATAACATCACGTCAATGGTCGTAAATGTTTACCGAACTTACACATGGTTAAACAAAAACAACCCTAGTGTTTATTGTGGATGGCATCATCTGCTCCAGCTCCTGCAATGCTTGCGCCCCAGTGTCTCCAACCTCGAGCAAAGAACGCTTCGGGATGGGGAGGAAAAGAAGGGATGGGGATTTCCGCAAGGGATACTTTCTGGGGGTTAATGGATTATTTCTGGGATATTTTCAGACCTTTTCTGGGGGTTGTGGATGATTTTCTGCGACTTTTTGTGTCCCGATTTGGGAATGGCATTGAAGGATGAGTGTATGGATGAGAAGAAATTTGTGAAGTCCGGTGGAATCTATCGTGGCGATCTAATAATACTTGTTTGATCGGGATTTGTCAGTAGATAGTGAGGATTTCATGGTGATTTACAGCATGCCCCTAGCTAACATAGACACAGTCAAACAGTGGAGTAGAAAAGCTTCTTCCTCCTTGGAGTGGGCGATTCTCAGGGTACTGGCGGAACATACCAACCATGAATTGATATTTCCGTTGAGGATTTTGCAGCCACGTTCGATTAGTAGATTGATGTGGGGGACTCCATTTCTGGACATGTCTGTGGCAAACCGATGCGCAGCCTGAAATCTTACTTGGATCCATCCAAAATGGTGGAAGATGCAGAATTCTCCTGTTGGATTATGTCATAAGAAACGAAGGGGACAAGTTTGGCCAAAATCACTGACCAATAAGGTCATACCCTATCATGGTCCTGCTGCATATCGGTGTTATAGACCTTTTCATTCCTTTGAGGCTACTTATTTGTGGGTGGGTTCGACCTATCAACTGGGATGGGAACAAGAACTGGGCAAAAATCCACTGGGTGGTTTCAACCAAATGCCACACACAAATTTGCCACTCACTTTATAGCGCTCGATTTTCGAGTTTGCGATGTGATACTTAGGAAGACACTCGGATTCGACAAGCTTAGCAAGGACTCACAAGTGAATATTCGGTGGATACAAAGGATAGGCAGAATTACTGGCTCTCTTTGACACGGTACTTGGCGCAGACGTCCTGGATCGCGTCCAAAATGTTCTGATACCAGTTCAGACCTGTCACAGCCCTCTGCGTCTTCCAATGCTTTGGAACCTTGATCCCAAAAATTCCCAACTGATCGTTGAAGCCCGCAGTCAGGTCCCTCCACTCCTTCACAGCAATCCGAGTCAAAGCTGAAAACTTGCCCTTTTCCGTGACCCGGTCCTGCCGGTCCTCTGTTGTGATTGTATGTGCCACCAAAGGATGATTGATTGAAGCTACGCCCTTCCTGTAGTATTCAGAACAGCAATAACTATTCATTTACGAATCAGATCATCTAGTTGTTTCCTAGGAGTATACAAATGCACATACCACGAACTACAGGTTTTATATCTGAATGAGTGGAGATGGGTTGCTATCTAGAAGTCTCAAGTCTATTATATCATACAGTCTACTTTACTTTCCACTTTAATAGCAAACGGTGCAAAACTCCCAACAGTGCAAATAGTTCGTTGGTCCATTCGGATCATCGGCATTGCATTATTCCTGTAGAATGACTAAATTCAAAGGATCTTTGAACCAGTTTGAAACCACCAGTCGGCCAAAGCATTGCTTAAAGTACCCTCTGGTCATCAAACATAGTATAATTGAAAATCCAATCTAAACGAGTTTTAATGAGCACATTATCCAGAGTACGAGGCATTGTGCATTGCTATGTTTGACTACCCTCAATCAAACATGGCTGAGACCCGTACGCAGTCGAAGCATTTGAACCAAATCTGAGGCAGTCGACAGCGGAGAAACAATCGATATGCGATGATATGGTTCCATACAAGGAACCATCACTGGAAGAAATCATCCCATTAATTATATATTATCTCATATATATATAGCCATTGATTATTGCATTATATTGAATTGGGATGAGTATACTCTCCGGCATAATCAATGGATGCAAACATTTTCATGAAATCCATAGTTCCTTTACGGACATTTTCGGCGTGTGTCCCTGCGACCATCTCTCCAGATTTCAGACCTGCGATCTTCGCCAAACCCAAATGCTTCAAACTTCAAACTCCTCCACTTTTTGGGGCATGGAGTGAGAGAACATGTTGCCATTCAGTCCAGAACACATTGAAGTATAAAGCAAGTGCAATGGGGCCCTAGCACCACAGATCCTGGCCTGCACATCACCCACAAACGCTAGTTATGGAATGCACCCCCACAAATTGTGGCCCTCCATAAACCCTAGTTGAATTGTGATATGTAGTTACCCTTCGGTAGGTAGACCTAGCAATAGAACATCAACCATTTATAAATGAAGGCTACAAACATCCATTTAGCGCCGGGATTTCCCAGCCAGCCACGTTTGAATATTGGAGGGTATAAACCAACTTAGCACCTGTTAATATTCCGTTCCAGTTTTATTGCTATTTGAGTTATATTCCCATCATATACCCATTACTTTCCATTGACTATTGACCATTTGATTAGGAAAACATGCATGTTACGAAACAAGGCTGAAAATTAACTATATCCTGTTATATCCTGTTCTACCACCAGAATATGAACTATAACAACTAATGTTACATGTTCATCCCTATATATATATATACTTATAACATCAGAAAGTTCGTAATATGAACCATAGTTCTATGCCATTTTGCCATGTGAGTAGTAATTCCCACTGCCATGTCCATTCCATTTCACTTACACTGCCAGTACATCCCCATTACTTCCCATAAAGCATGCATATATAAACATGTAATTTCACCATTTATAGTTATTCCTTTACTAACTCTTAACATTATGAACTATATATATATAGTTGTATATATATATATAGATAACTATATATATACATATAACTATATATATATACATAGTTCATATATATATATATTATATATAATACATGATATCCTGTTGTATCACCCATAGAATATGAAAACATATATAGTATCCCAATCAGCCACAACGTTCGCCCCCGTTCGCGGCCTCTCGCCGCAAGCTCGCAGGCACTCCGAAGCGACAGAAAATCTGCCAGTCAAATGGGGAATGCGAAGGTTTTTTGGGGAAAATCATCTAATGAGATATATTGAGAGGTATATCCCATAGGATCCATGTATGGTATATATGCCAACATTGGGGGTATATTGATGGTAAATGTTACCATATATAGCATACATGGATCCTATGGGTATATATATATATACTTTAGGACTATTAATTGACTAAATAGTGACTACTAATGAGTATTGATATATAAATATGAGATATAACTAGATAGTGACTATTAATTGACATTGAATTATACTGGATTTGAGATACAGTACCCAATATTTTTTTGCAACCCAGATTTGGTGGAGTTTTTGGATGCACTTGGGCTAAATGTTGAAACACTTGGGACAGGGCTAACCTGAGATACCGCAAACATCACCTCGTTTTTACCGACTCCGATTACCCAGATATGGGTCAGACAAATGACACCCAACTGATTGGTTGTGCTGATTGGTTGATAAGGGGATAACCATGGATAACCCCAGGGCACTAACCATAGCTATAAACCACAAAAAATAAGTGACTGGTTGGTGGTTAATGGTGATTAATAGTGATTAATGATGGTTAAGGATGGCTAATTATCTGGTTGGTGGTTTTTCGCCCTACCCCTCTGAAAAATGATGGAGTGAAAGTCAGTTGGGATGATTTTTCCATTCCCAATATAATGGGAAAGTCATAAAATTCCATGGTTCCAGTCACCACCATGTAGATATATTGTTATTCCAATCATTAACCATAGATTAACCATAGATATACCATAGATTAACCATAGATTAGCCATTATTTACCATAGTAAAACCATTGTTCCAGTCACCACCAACCACTTATAGTTTCCTACAGAAAGATTCAGCCCCCAAAAAAAAGCTGTCAGAAGGTGAGCGTCCCAGGCAGCCTGGGATAACAATTTGTCATCACTGGGATGTTACTCAGATTCTTCGATTCTTTTTGATGTAACATCCCAGTGATTCTTCAAACATCCCATCGATTTTTTTTTCGAAGAATCTATATAACTTTTTTCGAAGAATCATCTTTGGGAAAACAAACAACCCCCTCTAACTTCTTTTTGTCAAGTCGGATCATCGAAAGAAAGGTGAAGCAAACCACTAACATCATTGGATAAATGAGCCTACTGATCACATCGAAAATGGGACATATACCCTCTGGTAAACTAACATAGCCATGGAAAATCACCATCTTTAATAGGCAAATCAACTATTTCTATGGGCCATTTTCCATAGCTATGTAACAAATTACCAGAGGGTAGTTCAAAAACAGAAACAACCGCTTTTTGAAGGTGCAACCTCTCCTCACTCTCACCTTTCGCCAGCATCCTCAGTTGATCATTCCAATGTGCGCTCTTTGGCAGCAGCGACAGCAGCGTTGGCGTCGCCATCAAAGGTCCAGATTTCAATCTGTCAAATGCTGAGAGGAAACATATAGGTATCTCCTGATTCTCACCGTGTTTTTTCCATTCATACAGTTTTCTGGTGACTTTTCTGGTTACTTCAGTATGGAGGTTTCCGTTTCGGGGGTACCCCAGAATCCAAGTCACTGGCCCATGAAATAGTATTAAATAGTATTAATACATATTGAATCTCCCATTTTAAGAACCCCCCGGTATCTTCATGATCTTGTTGTATCTGCCTACCTGAAGCTTCGCCCAGGAAAGAAATAACAACGTTCCGTTCCGCGTCGCAGAAACCATATAGTCCATGCTTTGTTCAACCCCCGAACCGCCCGGATATGGGGATATGGGGCCCCTATAACGATGTTGATATATCCACTGTGATATATAACATACCATACCAATCATGTTTTATATGTATAATGTATATACATATGTATAATGTATATACATATGTATATATATAATATAATATATATATATATGTATGTATATGAATATAAATATATATATATATGAATATACATATATATATATATGTATATGTATATATGAATATATAAATATATGTATATGTATCTATGAATATATAAATAAATATATATATATATGTATGTGTACATGCATTGTATGGAGGTTTCCTAAGTCATGATTGCATCATCCAAGTCATTGCTCGGATGGCTTGCTCGCTCTCTCAGATCACCGGCAGCACCACGTCTCCGTTGTCGACCAGCGGAAACGTCACCTGCTTCCTCGGTGCTCGGGGATGAAAAACGCAGAGATCAGTGCTGAGAGTTCACCGTTCACCAAAGAGTTGTAGTACTTGATAGGTAAATTTCACATACAATGTGAGGCCCCCGTTCGATAGCTAAGTTGGTGCAAATAACTCCAATAACTATGGTTTATGGTACTTATAGCTACAGTTACTGGGGCTTATATACCAACTTATAACTGGGCGGGGCCACATTGTAGATTTTAATGGTTTCAAAATGTTTCAAATATACTCTTTTTTTATTTTTAAATTCAATTTAATGGAGTACTGATAATAATAATGTTATAGAACCATATTATAGTAATGTTATACTAGACATATTGTATGGAATACTTTAATGATAATGTTGTAGACTATAGATATATGTATTTCCATGATTTGCAATGTATAAATCATAGGTCTTCATGCACTTTGGATTTTAAATGTACTTTTTGATAGGTTGACATTCAATGTAATAGATGTAACCAACCAATCAAGTGGTCAACGTGCCAAAATGACGATTTAACCAGCCATTGATATGTGTTCTTTGAAATGATCTATTGTCTCAGTTGAATCTATAGGTCTCCTCCTTTTCAGCCTTTTCAGGCACTTTTCAGGCACTTTTCAGGTGGCCTTATACGAGATACTTCAGCCTTGATCATTCTTCACAGGAATCCACGAGCTTTCTCCATTTCAAGCTATAGAAATACCATGTGAACTAGCCATCCAAGGCATCCAAAGGTCCAAGGTTCAACCGCTCACTGATCAAATCCATTGACAAAAGCATTAAACCACCAACTCCACTAAATCCCGTTAAAATCCACTAAAATTGACCAATAAAAAGGCTCACAATCTACTCAAAACCGATTACACCAACTTTTCAAAAAAAAACACTAAAATCCATTAATATCACGACCATCGCCAGAGTTTTCTCCTGAAAAAAGCCATCCAAAATCACTCCCGGTCCCATCTTTTTTCAAACTCCAGGCATCTCGAAGGGCCAGGCATTGGGATCCCATGTTTCGAAGGCCTTTTTGCAGGCCGCCTCCACATTGGCGGCCGCCGCGCTCAGGGAGAAGGCCGCCGTGGGGATGGAAGAGGTGGCGACCACCTGAAATGGGATGATTACAGATCAGACACCACGAAGTTCGCTCCTGGATTTTGACTTACCATCTGGTTATGACTAACATACATAGCCATGGAAAATCCACCCATTTTTATTTTTTTTTGATAGGTAAACCATCTATTTCGATTAGGGATTAGGGCCATCTATACCATGGCTATGTAACAAATAACCAGAGGGTAGATGTTTTATGGAGTTTTTTGATGTTTTTTGTGGATTGGATGATGGATTTTCAACGGATTTCATGATTTCATGGTGACTAAATTTGGATTTTGATGGGTTTTGAATGCTTCTGAAAGTGGATTTCATGTAGATTTTAAAAGATTTGGGCAAGTTTCAATGGATTTTTAAAATTTATATAATGGATGTAATCATCCGAAATAGCTATTTAACCAGCCATTGTTGAGATTTAATTGTCAAACATATGGATTTGATCACTGATCAGTGGATATATGATCAATGATCTGATATGGGGATGGTTTTAACATGCGAGCCGTGGAAAGTAATTGGTACATTATCCAGTCCCGTAACGTTTTTTGGGGTCTGACCTCGTTTTCCAACGACGCACCTGTTTTAAATTTTCAAAATGCTTTACATGCGATGCCTACCTCGTTCTCGGGGTGTTCCTAGCTTGTTTTACAACCTAATTATGATGTTTTCGACAAACTGGGGTACGCCCGTATACTACTCTCCATTTAACCAAATAAAAGCCGTCTCTCATGTGTATATAAGCAACAAAGTGATGGGGGTATAAAACCAACGGTTTTAGAGCGGGATTGTGAACAAGATAGGTGGGAAAAGCATGGAAGACCATTGTGAGATACCTTTGTCTGGGTTGCTGAACATGTAATATCCCCTGATGGGATATCATATTGGGATATCATGGGAGATGGGGGGTGTTAGCCATGAGACACAGGGATATCTATGCCGTGAAATTGTTTAAATCACCATTACATAACATTGGATCTGCAAGTGCGCATGTTTAGTGATGTGATTTCAAGCATTAGGGAAAGTTTTTCTCCGAATTCATCTGGAAGTGTTTTTTTGTTTTTTAAAAAACTGTATTTCATAAAACTCGCCAAAAGATAGATTGAAAAGTTCCTGCTATGGTTTAATCTATCTTTTGGAGAGTTTTATGAAATTCTAAACATTAGATTGATCACTGCTTTAGTAGGATTTCATGTTCCTATCCATCCCTGCGGGGCCTTGGAAAAGCCATGCCATGGTTTTCTCCGTGCGGCCAAGACACGCATTGGCCAGTGGGATTGGAGTCTCCCACAATCGCCACACAAGCATTGGAGGCCAGACCTGAGAATCCTCGGAACAGTTTCAGAAGAGTTTCAGCAGTGGTTCATCAATGGTTTATCTATGGTTCATCAATTCCTAATAATGGTTAATTGAATGTTAATTGTGGTTAATAATGTGTAAATCCATGGTTCATCAATGGCTAATTGGTGGTTGAGCCCTACCCCCCTGAAAAAATGATGGAGTTCGTCAGATTGGATCATCATCCCAACTATTGGGGAAAATAAAACATGTTCCAAACCACCACTCAGATGGGAATGTCAGGATCCTAAAATGGAGGTACGTTAGTACCATATGTTTGGCCATATTTTCTGGGAAAATTCCCTGAAATTTAGGCCTGAAAAATAGGCCTTATATTATATATATGGTAGGCACCTCCAATTTAGGTGCCTGAAATGGCCATTGATAACATCCTGAGAGTGAAGAGCACAACACAATACAACATAAGAATGTAGCTGAATTTCACTGTCTGGGGAGGGACTTTACATCCACCAAGAAACCATCCGACTTTCCATGTTTTGGGGGGGGCTTACCGGGCTTACCATGGAATCTTATTTCATCATAATCATTCTGCTGATCCTGTAGCTACGAAAATATCCCTAATCACATATGATCCCAAGATGATATGGTTAATAATGGACAATGCCCGACTACTGATTGATATATATATAATATAATATAATATAATATATTATAATATAATATAATATAATATAATATATTATAATATAATATAATAAAATATAATATATATATATATATTTGCTGTGCTGCACTTCGACACATGTCACAATGCCCTGTGCTTACACTTCCTTCATGTGCTGAAACTCACGAAGCGTAGCTCAGCTCCGCGCTCCCTCCCAAGTGAAACTTGGGTGTGAAGATAGTCAGATCGTACTTATCAGAAATACTGGTTATCAACAACCAACTGGATTCTAGATACTTCAGTTATCTTCAGTTCGCGGTGAATAAACATGTTTCACCATCATTAATGCCATCATGAATCCCACTTCCTGCACAATGCCCAGCAACGAATGATGACGGAGACAAGCCCCAGGACGCCCAGGACATCCAAGGCACCTTTTTTTGCGGTGATTCGTTGCAGGTGAAACGGTGAAACTATGGGACAATTCTAGATCTTCCTAGATCTGGCTATGGGAAATGGATGGGACATGGATGGGAAATAGATGCAAAAATATCACATTTATGGATTCACTGGAAAATGGTCATTGCGTCATTGAATGTCATTGATGCATAGCTATGTTAGACTACCAGAGGCTATCTGAGAAACCAAACTTGGGTGTTGAACCACCCAGGTGTGGTGAGCGAAAAACGCAGGAACAGCAGAATTCGGACAGTTCAGAGGGTGTCCATGAATGTTGAGGTTTCTAGTAGCCACTTATCTTTTCCATTCTGTTCCATACTAAAGGAATTTAAAGGATTAATGATGTCACAAATGCCAACCAAACACTTTTTGTTGGGCTAACTTTCAAAAATTAGATGGTCATGGGTGGTCTACTTTACTATGAAACACTGCTCAAGAACCGACCAGACGCTGTGGTCCCCTGGGGCCTTATAGTTTTAACCGATATTCAAACAGGTTTGTCTGAAGAATTGCATGTTTCAAAAAATCATGTTCCCCATTAATTTAAGTTAACACATATTTAAAATGGTTGATCAAAACAATCATGTTCCATCTCCTTCCATTTATCACAAAAAACAATATACATATCGTTCTCCTGGGTGCGCTTTGGTGGTTTAATCAATCTAACCCCCCACATAAACTCATCATCATCATCATCATCATCATCATCATCATCATCATCATCCATTAATAGCCATTAATTAATGATTATCCATTAATAACCATTAATAAACCGCTACCATCATCATCATCATCATCATCATCATCATCATCATCATCATCATCATCATCATTGCCGGGTCATATCCCCATTCAGGATAGATTCCTTTGTTCTTCGGTTGTCTCCCCAAGGTTAAAAAAAAACATATCTGCTAGGGAACTTCAGCAGATACCGACCCAATCTATCCAGGAACCGACCCTTCAGATTCAATGTCAAAATACCCTCTGGTCATCAAACATACCTTGAAAATCCACCAAACTGTTTGATGGTTAATATATGGTTAATATATGATCAATATATGGTTAATAATATTCTGGTTGGTGGTTTTACCCATCTTGAAAAATGATGGAGTTCGTCAATGGGACGGATGCCATCCCATTTTTATTATGGAAAATAACAAATGTTTGAAACCACCAACCAGTGTTTGATGAATTCACATTAAAATAGCAATTTAGTTTGGAGATATTCCAGCCAACCATGTAGCTGATTCCCGAAGGGTATCCCATATTTCCAGAAACTATCCAGCTGATTAGTTCTATCCAATTCACGGCTGGTAAACCACAAGGTTGGGCCCCCTACTTGACTAGATTGGTTTATGACATTTTTTATGACTAATACTTCCCTAAGGTTTATAGTAGATACCTGTAAATACAGCGAACTTAGCTCATGGGGTGAACATGGGTGAGCATCAGCCACTAAACATACCGATCATACCGCTAATCAAACATGGCAATTTTCTCAGTCTCCCATTTACAGATTTTTTGAATCGTAAAGTCATGTACCCTCCGGTAAACTAACAGTTTGCTATTGAACATGGTCATAGAAATAGTTGATTTTCCCAGCTAGAAAATGGGTTGATTTTCCAGTTCGCTATGTAACAAATTACCAGAGGGTAAAATCTTCATGTACAGGATGGTGCCCCATAGTTAGCTAAGTTGGTTTATAACTCCAATAACTATGGTTTATGGCAGATATAACTATAGTTAATGGGGTTTATAAACCAACTTATAACTGGGGGGCACCATCCTGTAGCGGGGACAGCATTCGCCAGGGCACAGTCCCTTCTTCCAAGCTCCGTGTCCTGCTCGTACGGACACGTGAAGGCGGCATCTGCCAGCACCACCCCCAGGCGCATGGTGAAGCTGGCCACGAGAGTGATGACACCGAAGCAGAGCGCCTGAGAATTGGGTGCTATTGAAGCCATACCCTCTGGTAAACTAACATAGCTATTGAAAATGGCCATTTATAGTGGATTTTCCCATAAATGGTGATTTTCCATAGTTGTTTACCAGATGGTAACCATAGAAATAGTTGATTTACCCAATAAAAATGAGGGATTTTCATGGATTTTCCATAGTTATGTCAACGTTTACCAGAGGATATCCACCTAATATCCACCCTGATGTGGATTTAGTTCTTTTTTTGGGCAAGAAAAGTTGGGACATTTGTTAGAAAAGTTGGGCAATATCCATCAGCCGATGGCCCATAGCTAGTTCGATGATGATGGTTTGTGATGATTTGGAGGTTTCCTTTTTGTCATGGGGGTACCCCCTGGCATCATCCAGTCGTCATGGATGACTATCTTAGTATGGAAACAAGCATGGGGATATCCACCTTATATCTATTGATATATCCACATTTGTTCTAGGTACACTGATTATATTCCCTTTATAAAAATCTCACTGGATAAATGTGGATAAATCATAGTAATTGAGGCATTATCAATACCCTATGTTAGTTCCTATCTCATGAAACTACTAGTTGGTTGAAGATACTTTCCCTACTATGGGGTAGTTCATAATCACCAGTTTAACCCAAGTAGTATTATAATTCACACAATCCACCAAGGTATTAAAACAGCTCAGGTTGGTTTTTGACAGAAAGAAATATGACGATCACGCCCTGGAGTTGACTGGAAAACCCAACCCCTCTGAAAAATGATGGACTGAAAGTCAGTTGGGATGATGACATTCCCAATATATGGAAAGTCATAAAATTCATGTTCCAAACCACCAACCAGTTGAGATATCATTGAGATAAGATGACATGATTTAATCTATTCGATTGTAGTCCTTACAAATGGCGGATTTACTCATGCATAACCACACACAGGTGTTCTATGCTTTCAAAATTAAGGGATTGGGATTCAGGCACGAAACATGTGCATTAATCCATGAAATTGTGTATATGCTATGATTACTGTACCAATCAAACATGCTGGCCCCAGTGTTTCATGCAGACGTAGGCACGCCATTGGAATACACCGTGTTCTTGGGCACTGCCGGATTTGCTGGCAGCAGCGCCAGCCCATCACGCCCATGGTCCTTCAGGAACTTCTGAACACTGCGTTGGACCTCATGTGAGCCATTGAATTGTAGCGAAAATTAACCACGCATGGGAGTTTGGACCACCAATAATAGGGATATCACTATATAATACATGATAATTGATTGGTTAATGTGGTGTAAACAAAAACTCCAAAGCATCCTCGGTCAGTAGGTTTCACACAGCTTTATGACAATGGGTTTATGATCATCATCTGGTACAACACTATGGAAATCACAAGTTGACCAAAGTTGCGATGATATAACATGTGGATATGCCCATGAACCAACCATGAAAGGCGGTCATTTTTGGGAGTTTCACTCAAAATATGGAGATTTGACAAGCGAATAGTTCAGGTTTAACCACGAATAGTCAGGGGACTGGGATACCCTCTGCTAAACTAACATAGCTATTGTAAATGGCCCATTTAAACATGGTGATTTTCCATAGCTATGTTAGTTTACCAGAGGGTATCATTGATAAATCTTGCTTGGGTATTCGTGAAATACAGCAATACGCAATCCTGGTCTGAAAGGGATCGAACGTTTGGCTTCTAAATTGCACTACGACTAATTGAATCCTGTCACAACAAGTTCTTTTATCATGGGAAGGTTAAATAAATAGCACTACTACATTGACTCTGTCATAAAATAACCTTTGTAGTGTGTCTCATCAATACATAACTAACATCTTCAACCTTTATCATTTCCTGAGTCATGGGGATAAAAAATGGCTAAAACTCAGTCATGCTAAGCAAGTGATGTTGGCTTCATGGTTTTTTCGTGGCGCAGCCAGGCTCAGTGACTCAGCCAGGCAACGTCTGCCTTGATCTCTTCGGCCTTGGCCACGGCCGCATCTCGTTTTTGGGTGATGTTTCGGTCATCGATGCAATCCTCGGCTGGTGAAAAACATGGCTGAGATCAACTACCCTGGGGAGAAACAAACAACGTGCTGTCGTCTAAAAAAAAACATCTGGGACAAATGACCAATTCGATGGGATTGGAGGATACAACATGATTGAAACAATCATACAAGTAAATACAAGTAAGAACTACCATCTGGTTATGACTAAAATAGCCATGGAAAATCACCATTTTTAATATAGGTAAACCATCTATTTCTATGGGCCATTTCCCATGGCTATGTTAGTCATAACCAGAGGGTATAGTATTCGTTGCGCTACCAAGGTGTTCTATTTCGAAACGGCGGAATGTCGGCAGTGCCTTGATCACACCATGGAAGTTTCCATGGCCTTTTTTTCCGGCATGACTTCCAAACACAACATTGAGATATGTCAAGAGCTCCTTCAAAACCTATCTGATTGGTGGTTTCAATCCCTCTGAAAAATATGAAAGTCAGTTGGGATGATTATTCCGGTCGTATACCTATCCCTCTGAAAAATGATGGACTGAAAGTCAGTTGGGATGATGACATGCCCAATATGATGGGAAAAATATAATTCATGTTCCAAACCACCAGCTATCTAAATATACCTAATTCATCCTAAATCAGTTTGGAGAAGGAGGCGTTTGGAAGTCTATGGTATGACTCAAACAACCGGATTCGAGAGCATTTAACGGTTAAACGGGATTTTGTTTCCATTATCATCATTATCTCGTGCTCTGACAGAGTAACAAACTCCAAATGTGAAAAATACATGCTCAAAATATGGATACCGCATCTAGCAACCCCCAAAGATAGAAAAGTAGAATCATACTAACATATAACATAGTGATACATTATGGTTCAATCGTTTTGGGTGTAACAACATATTAGCTGGAAACACTGATTGTTACCAAATTTTGTTGGATTTTCCTGCAGATTTGTTCAAAACCAGTTCTGAGACTGACAACTCACTTAGGCTCACTTAGACATTTAAAAAGAATCACACACACATTGGTAACCCATAAACTCCAAAAAAGTGAGAACAACTTCATTTGCAGTTCCCCACATAGTTATCAGCATCGATAAATTAAATGTAATGAATGGGTAGTACTACCATGTATTACCATGTTTCCCATCGTGATATCATGTGATGATCTCTGAAATTATATAGTTGCATCTTCTTTGTGGTTCTTGTCCCTGCTTGTGCAGGTAAATCTGGGTATGAAGAACCCATGGTTTCCCGTTCGGAAGTATCTCAATTTCTGCTGGCTGCTCCACATCTATGTTAATTTACTGGAGACATTTATCTTCAGTTTTAAACTCCAGTAATCAAACATAGCAATGGAAAGATTCCGCCCATTTCAAGATGTTGTTTCCTCCCTCGAAACCTCCAATAAAGTGGTTGGTTTATTGGAGGGTACCCTACCAACCCTCAACCTTCAGCTTCCGGCCGGTCAGGCCGGTCAGAGACTGGTCATCCAGTCACTACGGGACGGGTGCCACCGCAAAATTGGAAGAAAAACCCCTATGAATATTAAAGAATCAACGTGCATATTCAATGCCCAACCCCATTCAATCATACCCTATGTATCTACTTTAGATATGTATATATATACATACACATAAACATGAATTGATTTAGAATTTAGAATGTGAACCTCTGTTGATATCATGACTTCAAAAGCTGATCATCGCCCTTTGTTCACAACCGTCTCAAAACCCAGGACCATGGACCAGGCGTCCAACTGGATTTGCACACCTGCTTGAGCCATTAAGACGATCATGCCCAGCATGGACGCGATGTTCGTTGCACAGTTGGCCGGCACCTGCTGGGGGTGCTGGGGGTGCTGGCCACTGATCTGGGGATATGCTGTGAACAAACGGTGATTCTTGGGCAGCAAATATGGAGGGGTGGATGTGATACTGGCTAAGTTGATCTAAGTTGACTTAGTTCATATCTGATACTGGCTAAGTCATCTAAGTTGACTTAGTAGTTCAGTAATTAGGTTAATTGAAATGATGGTTATATCATGGGATTCGCAAAACAACAACCGTCACTGCGGGACCCAGCTGGCGGTAAAGGACTGCCCAAACTTTGCCATTGAAACAATGTGGGTAGAACTTGAAGTTATCCAAAAACGCACCTTCCAAAAAGCAAGAAGACTCTTCCTTGACATTCAAGGTGACAATACTGGCCTGTTGAGTGACACCAAATTATCATTTAGTCCTGGAGATCAAATATCATCATTTTTGGACAGGAAAATAAAGGAACTATAGTCTATAGTTCGACGCGAGATACCATTGACTTCTTGGACAACCAAAGGGCTATATCCCCGGCTTTTTCCACTCCTGGTGTGGATAGTAACGATGTCAAGCATTCCTACACCTGTTTTCACATGGTCTGAACAGTTCAAATTCAACTTCAAACTAGATTTCAGGGAGATTTGGATAAAATTCCTTTGATTTCCGTTGACTCCCCATCCTTTGATGACCCAAGTCACAGCTGAAAACCGGCAAAAAAGACGACAAACATTGCTAAACATTGGGTACAGTCCTTGGATGGTTAACACTAAACAGACGAAACATTCCGACATTCCAATGGTACCCCAGGTCTTTCCCTCTGGTAAATTAACTAACAGTTCGACCCTGGCAGTTGTCGGGGTTGGAAGATTAGTTTCCATTAAAACTAGCCTATTTTCAGGGTCTATGTTAGTTTACTGGAGGGTAAATTTTCCAACAAGACATCCCCAAATCTTCCAAAGGCACATTCAAGGACTGAGAGCAAGCCGTCAAAGATCCAGTAACGAGGCCAACGATTAAATCCTCACGAGAACAGCTACCCCAATGGCTATTTGCTGCGTGGAATTCGCTTAAAAAACTGGAGAACTTATATAGTAAACTAGCGTGGAAAAGTGGTAAAATCTAGCATTTTATGGTTGATTTATCCACATCTCTGCTACCCCAGGGCAACTTGGTAAAATTAAGTAGGAAAGACAACTTGATAAAGATTATACGTAGGAGAGTGTTGGGTCTTGTAGGGATGTCGACAGGATATTCCAGGTATGACAAAAGAGGTTTCCGAAAGAAATCTTTGACAACTAACCAACTCATGTCCAACTCATGTCCAATTCATTCAACCTGACTTCTATCTCAATAAGTGTTGGACTGTGATGCTACCATTGGGGGATTTATGATATTGGGATTCAGCTAAAAATACTCGCCATCAGTCAGGATTTCGCCACAAACTTTTCTCGACTCTTGGGAACACTTTTGCGGAAGGGAGTGGGAACCTCCATGAAACATTAAGGGCTGAAATATAGTGACAGAGATCGAACGAACTCCCTACTTCTACACAAACCAAAAACATCCAAAATCTGAAGTTGAATTTCAGTTTAACTGTGTAAATCCAAAAAGTTTAACTGATTCAGTTTGGGTTTTTCAAAATAAAACATTTTGGCGTTCCCTCGACTGACCAGCCATCCCAAACTCTGGGCCGCCCACCGTGTTGATGATCGTCAGCATCAAGAAATTGGCGCAGCGTTGTTTTTCCTCTTCCTCGGGAACGATTCATAGAGCTGGAACGCGATGGGTGATATTGTGCTCATTTTCTGGGCATGTGAATGTTGATGCAACATTTACAGTATATGTGTGTAGTGTGTATGTACATAATGTATATATATAATATAATTATAATATATATATATAATATAATGATAATACTGTATATATAATATATATAATATAACTATAATATATTATATATTATGTATATATATATATATATATGTAATTCATGTACACATCATTGCGTCATCGAACTTCAAGCTCTCACACTTTTGTTTTCAGAGACTTAGAAGTGCTGGCACAGTACAGCGCTGGGATTTCGACTGATAGGCTTCTCAGGTGATTACGAGAGTTTCTGAAAACTGGTTGGCTACCCCTCAGCCATGGCCATGGCCATTTACATAAGATGATGATTAGTTGATGAACCAATGGATTATCTATGGATTATCCTATGTTCAAACCACGTTAAATCAGCATTTGAGCCATCAACATATACCCTGTTTTCTCATCTCATGAAATACAAGTTGCGTAAAAATGGTTTTCCAATCCTATGGTGGCTTATCATAATCCCGAATTAAGTACATTAAATTAGGTCTAACTAGGTCGTGTAAGTCCCAACGAATTATATCAAATGATCACCCCGGGCTATACCCTCTGGTAATTTGTTACATAGCTATTGAAAATGGCCAATCATTTATAGTTGATGTTCCTATTCAAGATGGTGATTTTCCATAGCTATGTTAGTTTACCACAGGGTAACCATTAAATCCCATTCAATCCCCACTTGCTGCGCCCTTTCATGGCCCAAAAAAACCGCGAACCGCAAGTCTCCGTGACAGGCCCGCGACGCTGGCGTCGCAGGGCTGGGTAGTCACAAACGGTGCTCACCGTGTTGATCAAGGCGCCCTTTGCGGTCGCCACAGCGCCCCACCGAGCCAAGGATACCATGAGAATTCACCAAGTCATGTCGGAAAACCATGGGTTGAACGGTAAAACTCATAGGGAATTATATAGGCTTTTACTATAATCAACTGGTTGGTGGTATAGCTGCCCCTCTGAAAAACGATGGAGTTCGTCAGTTGGGATGATGACATTCCCAGTATATGATATGGAAAAATAAAATTAATGTTCCAAACCACCAACCAGATTTAAATAATTATAGTCATGATAAGTGATGTTTATAGTAAAAGCCTATAGTTTTTTTTTGATATATTTTTTTGGGCTTTTACTATAATTATATAACTTATCGTGATTGATGATTTTGGACGGAAACCACTTTTAGTTTTCGACACCGAAGTTGGTTTACTGATGTTTACTGGAGGGTATAGAAACTTAAGAATATCTAGAGATGGGTGTGGCATGGATCAAACTGATCACACTCCAAAATGGAACCTTTTTTGTTTTGCTGGGTTCATGTTCAACCCTAAACCGATTGGTTTGATCGATCTATTCATTTTAAGTATACCCCGAAGATTTCGTTCCCAAAGCATTGAAAACTACTATTAATTACACACATAACACATACCCTCTGGTAAACGTTTACATAACTATGGAAAATCACCATTTTTAATGGGAAAATCCACTATAACTGGCCATTTTCAATAGCTATGTTAAATTACCAGAGGGTAACTGTCAGATAAGATTTATGTAATCCCCAACTATTTTTCAAACATATTCCATTCGAATCGGCTGAGCCCATGACCAGCCCAAAGCAGCTACGGGCCTGATTCGATAGGCGGCCCACAATCTGGGCCACGTTCACCACACCTGAGAATGAGAACATGTTTTTCAAGTCCATTCTTGGACCCACATCCATCCTGCATTGCTTAAATATGCTTAAATCCATGTGTTTAATCTTAAAATATCTTAAAATCACCATTTCAAGATTTTAAGACAGATTTAAAAATATTGAAGGCAATTTGTTAAACCAAGTTTTAATCTTAAATCAATCTTCGTAGCGAAGATCAAGCCGCAGGATCCATAGACTTCACCCAAGATTGCACCAGGGTGTTTGTTTTTCGGCCCAGCAAAGGCATTACGCAGAACAGTAATCCCCCCAAAAGGCCGTAGAAGCCTATGAAATCCTATGAAATATTATATGAAATCCCCACTGTAGGCCTTCTTTTTCTGGAAAAACTTCACGAAATCTTAGTGGGACAGGCAACTAATCAATGGGAATAAAAAAGGATCCTAAAAAGGAGGTACGTCAGTACCATTTTTTAGACCATATGTTGTTGGGATATTCTGTATACATATTCCCTTACCCTCTGGTAAACGTTCACATAACGAACTAGAAAATCCACCCATTTGTGATGGGTAAATCCACTATTTCGACTGGGCCATGTTCAATAGCTATGTAACAGTCATTACCAGAGAGTAGTGGGTAAACAAATCAGTCTGGTTGGTGGTATAGCTACCCCAACATAAATTTCCATTGAACTAATCATCCCAATAAAAACGTCCCAAGGCACACAGGGCTTGGGACCGTTCAGGCCCCGGGGCCGCCAGCTGCAGCATGCCACGTTGGAGCGCGCGGCCACGCGTCCAACGGAGCCGGTCCCGGGGGGCCAGGACCTCGGTTCGGATGGGCTGGGGATTTGTAGGTTGCCTATGAAAAATAGGATTTCATGTTGTTTAATGGGATATTAAACACCATTAAATCCATGGGTTAATGGGATTTTCGATGGTTTTATGGATTTTTGATGGTTTCTAATGTGGTTAAAACAATGTCATAAACCACCCGTGGGAATGGTTTATACCACCTATTAATGGGAATTTTGATGGTGATTCATTTAGTGAAAATGAATGAACATGATGGGAATCATCAACAATAATCGGGAATACGATGGGATTAATGATGGTTAGCAATGGTTATTAATCATGGTTAATGCGTCCTATAACGGTTAGTAATGGTGATGAATGGTTGCGTGATCATCCCACTTAGTGGTTAGTACAGTAATACATTGGGATAACCTACTGAATTGGGACTTAGTAACCAGGCTTCTTCACCAGTTACTAAATAGCATGATCCTCCAAGTAGGGGTTGTTTGGTGCTGAATTAAACCAACGGAAACCAAAAAGCGAACTTAATGTTATGTGATCAAGAAACAACTAGAAACAAATAAATGAGTTGATTTCAGCAAAACGAATTGAGGCTGGTAGTCAAACATAGTGAACTTGAGTGAACCAACCAGACCTGGTTCAAAGTACTGGGAGTTAACCAGCAAGAAATTGGGGACTGGTAGCCACAAAAGGCAACCAAACATGGCAAGATATGGCCAGAAATAGGGCTCAGATCCATAGGTTAATGGTTAATCATCATGAATTCCTTGTAATTTGATGCCCTATTGTTGTGGGTGAATCCCTATGAAATTCATCAGTAAAGTACAAAATGGGTCGAATCCGCGTAACTTAGTTAAGGTGAAAGTTGCTTCAATCCCGACTTATTAAAGCCATTAGAGCATATATTAACCTGGGTTAAAATCCCATAAAATGATAAATGTCCCATAAAATGATAAATGTCCCATAAAATGATCAATGTGTATCCTCACTTTTCAGACAACCACACATATGTCTTGGGTCCACTTGGATTTCTGGACGGCCCAACAACAAAAAACACGAAAAAAAATCCCCATATTTCTTGGATTTCCCATTGGGAAAGTAAATGAACATCAGCCAAATCAACGCAAAGCCAGGTCCATCCCCATGACTACGACTACCAATAATGTCCTTTTGGTAAAAATAGATGGGCCGGGAGCTGGTATACCATCTATCATCATAGAAACCTGTTGTTATTCGGGGGTTTCTTCAAACCCCATTCAACAACCAACCAATGGGAATTTGGGACATCTATGACGACTACGCCAACATTGCCAATCTTAGATACCCTGCAAAAAATGACAAATTCTTTGCTGGTGAACGTAGATATTCCCAGCACCAAAAGACTAGTTAGGATTAGTTTCTACCCATCCAGTTGATTGACCTAGATTTGTAGATCATTTTCCATTAATCACCATTCATAATCATTAATCATCACTAATCATCATATAATCACCATATAATGCCATATAATCACCATATTCCCATGGTATCCATGTAAGATTGACCTAGCCAAGGTGCCAGGAAATGGCCGTCCCCCAGCACTAGCAGCGTCACTGCCAGCAGCGCCAGGGATTTCAGGCGTCGTGGCAGCCGTGGCACGATGGACTCCTGCGGGTTGACCTGTCGACGAGTCAAATTCTTAGTTGGTTCATGGATTTTACCCCTATAAATCACCCCAAAAAATAGGGAAAACCCTATGGATTTCTAGAAAATTTCTGGTTGGTGGTTTTGAGCCCTACCCCTCTGAAAAATGATGGAGTGAAAGTCAGTTGGGATGATGATTACTCCCAATATATGGAAAAATAAAATTCATGTTCCAAACATTTCCAAACCACCAACCAGAGTTGGTTAATGGATGTCTATTTGGGCACTTCGGAATATGTCCATATTTGCGGGAATAAACATCCATTCACCAATACCCTAGGTATCCAAATTTGTGGTATAGCTGGATGCTTATTCCCCCCAGGAAATGGACATAATTAATTAATTAATTAATTAATTAATTAATTAATTAATAGGTTTGATCCAAACTGTCCAAATTAGGATGTAGAATGACTCAACATAAATATATACGGGTTACGGGTTGATCATTTATTTATGACCAGTGAAGTGGTTTGCAACTCCAAAAATTGTAAGTTATTCTTCTTCGAAGCATCTACTATATTCTACAATTCTACAGTTGACAGGGTAAAACCAAAGCAACATGCACAACGGGGGCTCCAGTTTGAAGGGTCCTGGTATGTCATAGTAGGATTCGATAAAGAAACACTGGCTGGTTCGACTGGAAATTCCCACCTTGCTCGTGAAATGTCAATTTAAGCAAGTGAGATTGCAATTGTGTTTTCCAACAAATGCTGTTGCTGTTGTTGCTGTCTGTTGTTGCTGTTGCCGTTGCAGCTGTCATTGTCGTTGCCGTTGTCGTCGTTGTCGTTGTCGTTGTCGTTGTCGTTGTCGTGGTCGTGGTCGTGGTCGTGGTCGTGGTCGTGGTTGTTGTTGTTGTTGTTGTCGTCGTTGTCGTTGTCGTTGTTGGTGCTGTTCGTCCCCTATCTTGTCGGATGTTTTTTGGACCGTCGCACCAAAACAACATAATTGGTAATTACCATTTTTTGGGTTGACACACTAAACTACTGGACACCACCGACCAGTTCTATCACCTTGTTAAGCCCCGGGGTGTTCCCCGACAATAATATGTTTGAAACCACTCAGTGAGCCGTTTTTGAACCTGGCTAGTCTTGGATACCGAGCAAAGGGCAAAATTGGTTTTGCTTAGCTGGGAAGTATACACAATATGTGATCTCCATGCCCAAAACTCGGACTATCAAATTCATGTGGTAAACCGAACAATTCATAAGCATACCAGTTGGGGTGATATTTACAACATTTTACAACCCACATATGGCGGGTTGGCGGTTTCAACCCCTCTGAAAAATATGAAAGTCAGATGGGGTTACATATATTATGGAAAAATAAACTTCATGTTCCAAACCACTAACCAGAGTTGGTTCATGGATGTCTAATTATTTGGGCACTTCGGAATATGTCCATATTTGGGGGAATAAACATCCATTCACCAATACCCTAGGTATTGGTATAGCTGGATGCTTATTCCCCCCAGGAAATGGACATAATTGATTAATAGGTTTTGACCCAAACTGTCCAAATTAGGATGTAGAATGACTCAATAAGTATACAAAATGGCAGGGCTATACCCCCACAAAACCATAACATAAAACGTTTTATGGAGGGGGTTGACCCCTGCCATTTTATAGAGGAAAAAGTAACATCCATCTAGGGTATTTATAAAAAATGTTTTCCTGTATAGAAAATATGAATCCTCCATAAAACGTTTCCATCTAGATTTTTATAGGGTATCCAAATGTTTGCATATTTAAAACAGACTCCAGTAACTTCCACGCTTCTTCGCCCGTTCGACCTTGACCCCGTCCGACTTCTCCAACAGCTCCGCGTTGACCTCCGAGGTTGATGCAGTGGCCATAGCACGTCCATGGGCGCGAGGATCTTCGTGAAGGAAACCAACCAGGCGGAAAAAATGCAGGAAACTGCTAGATTTCCATGGCTATGCGAAGCATGGTGCTGGAATATGCACAGCAACATTTGCCCAAAATCCCAAAATCACCCAGTCATGTAGGTTTTTATATACCAGCACCATGGTTCGCATATGGGATGGGGAAAAAAACCATGGTTTCCCGAGGTTTCGAATGTAGATTTTCCCTTAAATCCATTGAACATCCGTATCTGGGAGATGCCATTGATTGTTCACAGGAATAGGACTGTTGGAAAATGGTTCAAGGAAGAAACACACATTGGAACATGACAGGTTCAAAGCTGTTGAGACCCACAACATGAATCAGGACCTTGAGTTTGGACACAAGGTTTCACATGTTTATATTGTTATGTTTCATCATTTCGAGAGGTTGAAAATTTTGTTTTTTCAAAGGATGTTTTTTTTTTTTCGTTGGGAGAATGGTTCGTATTACCCATAGCCATAGTCGCGGGTATTTAAAAGAATGGTGGATCCCCAAGTCACCATGGCTTTTTTTCATACTATGTCATGGTCGACTTTGTTTGATGATGAATTGGGGGTGCCCCAATGACTTAGGCAACCCATGGAACCCCCCATTTGGGCAGTGTAGCGGTCGCTCTTTGGCGATGCTCAAAGCTGAGGCCAAAACAAGGCGAGAATGTGACGCAGCGACGCGAAGTGGGGATATGTCCAACCAAAATTGGATCTGGATATAATATAATCCATGGTCAACCTTGCATGAGGTACACTCAAGTTGTTTAACTATATTTATTCATAGGGAAACGATATCAACATATGTTAAACTATCCAGACTCCGAGGCTACCCCGCAACTCAACAACAATCTGAACAATCTGAACTTGAACCAGCACATAGGTGAATACAAACATAAGCATCCGCCAGGACTAGCGCCTACTGAACCAATCTTCCACCATGGCCAACCTTAGAAACCCTCCAAACAAATTGATTTTCGGTCGAGACATAAATTATTCCCCATTTCTGGTGTTAAAAATATGAAAATGAATGAACATACGATTGTGCATTAGAGGGTTTAATTCTAACTTATGTGAAATCTCTATGAACTACCCTCTGGTAAATTAACATAGACCCTGGCAGATAGGGGTTGGAAGACTAGTTTCCATTAAAAATTGGTGATTTTAAGGGTCTATGTTAATTTACCAGAGGGTAATCTATTTCCAAAGGATTTTAACTTATATATCATATATATATATATATTCTAAGGGATTTTAAAGGTAACATCTACCCGTCGACCGTCGCCGTGACCCGAGAAAGCCCAAAAAGAAATCGGACCGACCCGTTTCAACCTGCAGCTCGGCTGGATAGCTTCTGACCTTGAAAGGATGTTGGTGATGGAATCTCCATATATACATACCCTCTGGTAAACATACAAAAAGCTATTGAAAATTGCCAGTTATAGTGGATTTTCCCATGAAAAATGGTGAGTTTCCATAGTTATGTTAGTTTACCAGAGGGTAACTGATTGGTTTATGGCATTGTTTTAACCATATTATATAATCATCATATTATCATATTTGATACCATATATTATCATATTAATCACCATTAAACTGGTTGGTGGTGCAACAACCATCTTGAAAAATGATGGAGTTCGTCAATGGGGAGGATGACATCCCATATATTATGGAAAATAATCCAAATGTTTGAAACCACCAAACAGATAATATATATATATATATATACACTTTTGTTGTTTACTATATACTACTGCCATTGTATATACGTGTGTATTATTCCTATCATTAGGATTATATTGGTATTTGAATTGCCTGTATTGTTATCGTGATTAATATTAATGTTAATACACTATCCTGGTGATCACGATGATCATGATTACCATCATCAGTACTACCATTCTTACTACGATACTATTGTTACGAGTATCATGTTAAGAATACATTAAGTATTATGATTATATACATACATATACATCACCTCAAGACCACCTGCATCCTTTTGGCTCTGGAGTGAGGTCTTCAATTCTAAAATGAAGCGAGTGCTGACCTTCTTGCGGTGGTAGCTCTTGTCAATCACAGTTGCATTATCAGTGAAGATGTGCCTTTGGATGGCACCTTCTGTTGGACGAATGGCAAACTCTGACAAAATCTTGACCTTCACAGCTTTCCAGCTGTCACGACGCTCAACTTCAATCTCTTTGGTATCTATATGGAAATATGTGTGTATAAATATAGATATATACACACACTATTTGTATGTATGTATGTATGTATGAATGTATGTATGTATGTATGTATGTATGTTAAATTTGAGGGACGAGGCCAACATACATGGGTCAAAGTTGCATATTCTCCATGAACAATGGCATTCGCTTCTCGAATGGTACAATGATTTCATTCACATTTGGACGTGTACAAGGAGCCAAGTGGGATATTGTGGTGAAATTTGTTATTGCGGAATCTCCTTCCTGGAGTGATAAAAGCAAAGTGTGGATATCTTTTCTGGTTGTTCCATGCTGGACGGGAAACAACCATATGATCCAGAATTTGTGAAGTTCCTTCTTTTTGATGGTGTAATCCCCGTTTTGGCTGGTGATTTTTCCCGCACCTACCAGCAGGGTCTCTGGATTTGGACAAGACCAACTAAAATGTCAGAATGTATATTCAGTAGACTGTTAGAATATATGTCATTTCAGACTGTCACAATATTATGTCAGATAGATTTCCGCCAGGCAAGATGTCAGAATACATGTCTGATAAAATGTCGGAATGCCTGCCAGAATATATGTCTGTCAAGTAGAATGTCAAAATTAAATAAAATGTTCATCTATATGTCAGAATCGTTGTCAGATGGAATGCCGAATGAAATGTCACTTAGAATGTCAGATAAAATTTCAACATAGACGCCAGAATATTATGTCAGATAGAATGCCGGTTACTGGGGATCACAACCGAAGAAAGCCCAGTAATTTCGGCTTAGCAAAATCCTGGATTTCAATGAGGGCACCCTTATAACTCATCTGCGTATCCCCATCTCTGTTCATTTGCCCGGCAAATTGACGTAGTGAGGCCCCCGAGTGATAAATTGGCTGGAAAAGACCCATGAAAACTAGCTCGTTATATCATGTTAAAGTCCCCCCTTCATCAACCCAGCCATTAACCAACTTGCGCGCGTCAACTTAACCAAGTTATAGATGTGCGTCAACTTAGCTATCGGTTGGGGTCTCATCTTGTACGTTCGAATACCAGAGGATCCATATGAACCATAAAAAGATCCCTGTTTTCTCAGCTCATGACATACTAGTTGGTTGAAAACAGTTTCTCAATCCTATGGCTTATCATAATCCATAGATATCCATAATAAATGAGGTAGTATACGTCCCAAGAAGTTCACCAATCAGGCGCCCGCGCCAAGAGTTCTTGCCCCAGGGACCGCCTTGTGGTTTCTAAGTGAGAAGCCTTGGCAGGCGAAGGCTTCAAAGGATCCAGGGTTGGGTTTAAGTGCCTCATAAAAGATTTTAAGCGAAGAAGTTGAAATGTACTTGTATTTTCATCAACCTAAAATGGGGATTGAACCATCAAAACAAAGGGATTTGACCAAACAGCAACATATCCAGACTGTGGTTACGACATCCAGACTGTGGTTATAACAGTTAGAAGCTGCTATTGGGACTTAGCCATAACAAAACGCTTATGTTTCATGAATTTTCATGGGTTGAATCCCGAAATAATCTGGTTGGTGGTATACCTACCCCTCTTAAAAATATGAAAGTCAGTCGGGGTTACTATTTCCAATATATGGAAAAACCAAATTCATGTTCCAAACCACCAACCAGAGTTGGTTCATGGATGTCTATTTGGGTACGTGGGAATACGTCCAGATTTGGGGGAATAAACATCCATTCACCAATACCCGAGGTATCCAAATTTGTGGTATAGCTGGATGCTTATTCCCCCAGGAAATGGACATACTTGATTAACAGGTTTTGACCCAAAGTGACCAAATTAGGATGTAGAATGACTCAACATAAATATATACGGCTTGCGAGTTGATCATTTATGACAAGCGAAGTGGTTTGCAACTCCAAAAATTGTAAGTTATTCTTCTTCGAAGCATCTACAATATTCTACAATTCTACAGTTGACAGGGTAAAACCAAAGCAACATGCACAACGGGGGCTCCAGTTTGAAGGGTCCTGGTATGTCCTGGTTTGTCGTTGTCGTTGTCATTGTCGTGGTCCGTTGAAGGGAACATGGCTCCAAAAATTGTTCCTTGGATTTCCCCATGTTCAGCCGGATTTGAATATGAACCATGGCCACACCTCAAGAGTCCCATCTCATTCGGTGTCCAGGCTGGTCATCAAAAATCCATCGACTGATGGGGATATAACCACTATGTATGATGATACCATATCCCTCCATGTCAACCAATTATAACCACTATTTTTGCGAGGATCGAATCATGAATCATGGAGGGATGGCACTTGGGAGATTACCAACACTTCTTGGGTACCAACACTTCAATTTGACGTCCGAAGATTAGAAACAATACTATACATATCGATACATGCGTGCCATTCACAAAATAATGTGATCGTTTATTCATAAAATACCATCTGGTTATGACTAACACAGCCATGGAAAATCACCATTTTTAATAGGTAAACCATCTATAAATGGTCCATTTTCCATGGCTATGTTAAATAACCAGAGGGTAAATTGGAAACATATTTTGTGTACCATACGATATACGGCAAGTCATGCACAAGATCGGCCATTTTCACCTATAGCAATCACAAGTCAGGTATATAGTTCACCATACGGTGAAATCATCGTTTGCATCGGTAGTATATAAGTACAATAAAAAAAAACATATATATATATATATACACACGTAATAAATATATAGATACAAAGTGCAAAGTGTATGTGTATATGTGGATGTAAAGTATGTATAGACATATTATATGTTCTATATACATTGTATATATATATATATTATGCACTACTCATATGTGTATATATATATATGTATAATAGTATGTGTGGTTCAAAAGAAAACGCAACCACCAAGCACCACTAGCGCACCTTGGCGGCTCGAAGACCCACTCTGGAGGCCTCATGGGTCAGAAATCTCTGTTCACCCCACCTTTTATATGTTTGTATACTAGATTATATATAATTAATAGTGTATTTAATGATGCATCCTGAAACATGGCTTTGAAACATCAACACATGAAAAAACACCTAAAGATAGAATTTCCATTTGAGAGAAGGGGAGGTCTCTGGAAAGAAAGGGCATGAGGCATGCTAAGGACATGGGAGTCCAACATAGTCCAACTCGAATAAATATATATATATATTCAATAAGGGTTTTTGTGCAGCTAATTGATCAACTAAACATATTTGAAGTTGCAAGAAAAAGTGGTAGTTTCACTCAACCAAATTGCTGGCATGACTATTGAGATCAAGATCCCCCTAGCAAATATCGGGATGTGAGCAACCAAATTGGAAATGACTGTTTGGGGTACTTTGTCAGCAATTCCAGCACAAATAACGGAGTAATCGTCAACACCATCATCACCATCATCACCATCATCATCATCACTACCAGCATCAACATATTCCGTGGACATATGGAGGTTTCCGAAAATAGACATACCCCCAAATCATCCACGACATCAACAACCATGACTTCGTATTGACACAACCACGGTAACTTGGGGACCCCCCATGATTTCAGAACCCCGCATGATATTGTTTCATATCACATATAAACATGGATTATATATATATATATACACATACATATTTATACCCTCTGGTAATTTAACATAGCTATTAAAAATGGCCCATAGAAATAGTTGATTTAACAATTAAAGATGATGATGTTCCAGTTCGCTATGTTAGTTTACCAGAAGGTATGTTTAATATTCCCCAATCATGGGGTGATTTATAGGGGTACGGCCCTCGCTCCAAGTTGCAGCCAGGTCAGGAAGGACCTCTGGTACCTACGCGAGGGATCCGTAGTTGATGAATACGACTAGATATGATGTTTATAGTCTTATTCCAATGTTAAGTGGTTATATAGTACCAATATGGACTTATACCAATGTACTATATGGTCTTATGTAGTAGTAATATGATCCGTAGTTTATAGTCTTATACCAATGATAAGTAGTTATATACTACTTCTGGGTTTAGTGTTGTATTTATAGTGTTATACTAGTACGGATTTACCAACAAGCAGAAATGATACCAATGGTAAATATACTACTGAAGATAAACATTTATACTACCTTTGGTCTTAGTAGTAGTGTAACCAATAAACATAAAACAAACACATAGGTAGAGGACATATCATCATACAAATAGTGGTAATACAATTTGCGAATTGTTACAGAATTCTCACAGAAAAACAACAAGATCAACAGAAATCAACGTCACTGCAAAGCGGGCTCCTCTTGGTCGGCCCCTGAATAACTCTTCTCCTTTCATTCTATGAACAATCTATTGAATATTTGAATATGTATATATATATACACATACATACAAACATACAATATATATATACAGTATATATATAATATATATACACTATATATATATATATGTATACACTACATATATATATATATATGTATACACTACATATATATATACACTAAATATATACATATACACTATATATAAATATATACACTATATATATATACAATATATCTATACACTATATATATACATATTTATACACTATATATATACACTATACACTGTATATATATATACTATATATATTATATATTATATTATATTAAATTATATTAGATTATTTTATCTTACATTATATTACATTATATTATATTATATTATATTACATTATATTATATCATATTATATTACATTATATTATATAATTAAATAGTTATATACACATAATGCATATGCACATGCATATGTTTTTTCTCATTGATCCATAAGGCGAGGCCATCTGGTACATCCCATCGATGTCGCTGGCCAAACATCAGGTATTTTTATTGGGAAATCTATGGCACATCTATGGGATGTCTACTGGGAAATCTATTTTTATTGGGAAAATCTATGGATATCTGAAAACATCTTGGGACATCTCCGCTCGGAAATCAAGGTTTCCACACTGATCGCTTCGTTTCGAGAGTTTTGTAGGCTCCGACAGATTCACCCATAGATCAGCTGACCAGCCCTTCACCAGTTGAGGTTCAACCCCAAGGGACATACCCGGTCTCAAAAATAGTTCAGCCCCAATCTCGACGGTCCAAAGCCATCTAAAACCATCTAAAAAGCCATCTAAAACCCCAGTTTTCCAATTTGAAAACTCCAGTTTTCCAATTTTTTTGGAGGAACAAAAAGTCTCAACCCCTAGGGCATCGTGCTGCATGCTAGGGCACTCCAAGGTGACCATAATTGGGCGATAACTCGGCATAGCGCTGCTGCAGGTCTTCCAACTTCACCGAGACCCCTAGCCGTGGTATCCCAATGGCCCAAACGAAGGATGGTTTAGAAGGGAAAATCCATCTAGAAAGATGCATGACTTGGGGTATACCCCTATATTTTTTTTGACACCTCCATATTGGGTGCGTCTGAAAATAGGTTTTACCATGTTATACCCCTCAAATGGTAGTTTTAATAAGGAGAATTATGGTTAACCAATGGATTTTAGGGTACCTTATTTTCAGACAGACACATATCTAAACCAAGAATCCCATCCCCGGTTCATATTAAACACCCCCAGAAACCATGGTTCAATTTGGGCCATACCATGGGGTGTTTAATATTGGGGGGATGGGATGGATGGTATTCAGAATAATGGTGCTCAACATATCTTAGAATAATGGTAAGCTAAATCTCTTGAGGGCTCACCATAGATACCATACAGATTTAGACCCGTATGATGCTATCTATAGTAGGTCAATTTTTGTGGGTTTACTACAGATATCATGGGATACAAAGCAACAACTTGGGAAACTCATCAGATTGTGTTTTTTGATCATGGGAATATCATGGAAATTTCTCAACTGATGACCGGGAACATCGAAGCCTCCCAAAATATGGATTGATTCGATCAGATTTGGGGATATGATGGGGATATTAATGGATATGTTGTCGAACATCACGGAGATATTGCCATAGCATTGCCATATGCGCTACAACCAATGTACATTAATACGACATGCATATGTTTTTTTCCCCACCTGCCAGGTGAGGGTTGTTAGATTTTATGTCAGTTGCCTCCTCCTCCTCCTCCTTCTCCTCCTTCTCCTCCTCCTTCTCCTCCTCCTCGTCCTCCTCTCCTCCTCCTCGTCCTCCTCGTCGTCCTCGTCGTCCTCGTCGTCCTCGTCGTCCTTGCTCAACTGCGACCCGCGATCCACAGTGTTCTCTGCCGGACCTCAACCACGACCATCCACGCCCAGTGTTCCCTGCCGGACCTCAACCACGACCATCCACGCCCAATGTTCCCTGCCGGACCTCAACCACGACCATCCTCGCCCAGTGTTCCCTGCCGGACCTCAACCGACCATCCACGCCCAGTGTTCCCTGCCGGACCTCAACCGCGAGTATCCACGCCAAGTGTTCCCTGCCGGACCTCATGTAGGAAGATATGGGACAAAGAATGTGCAGAAGAAAGTTAGAAAGAATGTCAGAAAGAATGTCAGAAGATATGCCAGAAGATATGCCAGAAGATATGCCAGATAGAATGCCAGATAATATGCCAGAAGATATGCCAGATAGAATGCCAGATAGAATGCCAGAAGATTTGCCAGATAGAATGCCAGAAAATATGCCAGAAGATATGCCAGATAGATATGCAGAAGATATGCCAGAAGATATGCCAGAAGATATGCCAGAAGAAATGTCAGAATATATGCCAGAAGATATGTCAGATAGAATGCCAGAAGATATGTCAGAATATATGCCAGAAGATATGCCAGATAGAATGCCAGAAGATATGTCAGATAGAGTGCCAGAAGATATGCCAGATAGAATGCCAGAAGATTTGCCAGATAGAATGCCAGAAGATATGCCAGATCAGATCACATGCCAGAAGATATGCCAGATAGAATGTCAAATAGAATGTCAGAAGATATGTCAGATAGAATGCCAGAAGATTTGCCAGTAAGAAAATGTATAAATGTCATGGTGGGGATCACACGAAGTAAAGTAATTAGATTTATTTAATTATTTATATGCAGATATGAAGAGATACCCTCTGGTAAACTAACATAGCTATTGAAAATGGTCAATAATAGTGGATTTTTCCATTAAACATGGGTGGATCTTTCCATGGCTATGTTAGTCATAACCAGAGGGTAACAATAACTATACAAGGTGGTGCCCCCCAGTTATAAGTTGGTTAATAATCCCATTAACTATAGATATATCACCAACAAAAACCATAGTTATTGGAGTTATTTGCACCAACTGAATGCTATCGTTTGGGGGCACCACCTTGTAATGCTCATCCCATGAAACACGGCCGTAGCTGATCCGAGCCGCGGAAGACTGCCATGATCTGCCAAGGCCGGCCGTCACTGCTGAGTGGAACCTCTGAAATGATCTAACAGTAACAAGCCATGCGAAAAAGGCTATAAAGGTGGTTCACAAAAACATCAAACATCTAAGAAAAAACCTGTTTCACTGGGAGTAGATGAAAAAACCTTTTTTTCCGGTGCATTGCCTCTGAAGAACCTTTGGGTCCAATCACCATGGACATTTTTTCATGCGTGTTCAATGTGGCAGCCCACAACGGAATTTCCCAAAAAGTTAGGTCAACTTTCATGTCGCTTCACGACAGTAGGTAGCTTAAAAAAACCCTTGGAAGCCCAGAGCTTTTCACGATCATCGGGATCCCGGTGATCAGAGATAGCTGGTGAAGAAAATCCCCAACTGTTGGGGAGTGGATCCTTTTGGGGGTGAATTGAATCCCCACAACTTAAGAGAAACATACGAAACTCATACCATCTGGTTAGGACTAACATAGCCATGGAAAGATCCATCCATTTATAAGAACAGTAAACCATCTATTTCTATGGGCCTTTCTAATGGCTATGTTAAATAACCAGAGAGTAAATAAGAAAACAAACCATAACCGATCAGAATAATCAATCATGATATATCATGATAATCTTCATGGCAACAACAATATATCATATCATAGTAGTTGTAACTACCCTCTGGTAATTTAACATAGCTATGGAAAATCACCATGTTTAATGGGAAAATCCACTATAAATGACCATTTTCAATAGCTATGTTAGTTTACCAGAGGGTAGTAGTTGCATCGATGCAACTAGGAGGAAAATCCGTACGTAGCCGGCTAATCTTCTCAGCTAGGATTTGGATCCATACGTAGTATACTAGGATTCGCAAGAAAACATTTTGCAAAAACCGGGCCAACACGTCAAAATCCTGGATCACGAACCAAAAACATCTGGTTAATGGTGATATATCCCATTATATATATATATATATTCCCATTAATTGATGAACTAAGATGCCTTATAAACCACTATTTATTGGTGATTCATTATGGATAATCCATATAACCATATCTGGTTGGTGGTTGGTATACCTACCCCTCTGAAAAATGATGGACTTCGTCAGTTGGGATGATGACATTCCCAACTGAATGGAAAAGTAAAAAATGTTCCAAACCACCAACCAGATAGTTAATCCATAGTTTTTCATTCCAAAGTTAATCCACAGTCAATCCGACACCATCCGATAGCATCTCCACCTTTGCCGGGGCCGCTCTGACCTGCAACTGTGGTCTCAAAGTTCAGCGAGGAACTGGAGATGCCATTTATTTTTAATGGATTTTGATAGGTCGGTTTTAATGATGTTATGGATTTTGATAAGTTTAAATCATATTTCACTTAGAATTAATTATACATATTTATACGTTTTTTTTCCGGCAAGTTTTAATGCATTTGATGGATTTGACCAACCAACAAAGTGGTGTTTAACCAGCTAAGATGGAGATTTTGTCATCCAAAAAACAGGGACTTTACCCCAAACATTGACGTGCTTTTTGTGTGGAACATGACGATCACCTAAGGAAAAATTGGGGGTCAACGGACTTTACCCTTTTGATCGGGACTCTATTGGAGTTTGGACCCTGGCCTGATACCAAGGAGAAAACACCAGCTTTGCGTAGCTTTCCTGCATGCGATTCCCTCCCGAATATGAGATAGATAAAGCCAGTTTAACATGACACCTTGATTTACATCGCGATAAAAATCAAAACGAAGCCGGAAGGGAATATGTTAGATAAGTATATAAATCTTCAGAGAACAGTTCGATCGCTTCACCGAAAAAAACGTCATTGGAATTATACACCAACTTACCTCTCATACAAAAAAACTATATCAACCCCAGGTCAATGTTTATTGAAGCCGCATTCTTTGTGTAAGAAATCTCCATCTTCGTCATCCTTCAAATCGGTCGGCACCCGGGCACGGTCGTCCGCGTGATGAATCGCGAGCTTGCCGGGTCCTTGGTGATCAGTGGAACTGATGTTGCTACAATGTGAGGCCCCCATTCGATAGCTAAGTTGGTGCACATAACATCACATAACTCCAATAACTATGGTTTATGGTACTTATAACTTATAACTATAGTATACTATAGTTACTGGGGCTTATAAACCAACTTATAACTGGGGGGGGCCACATTGTAGGTGATCTCCACAAAAGTGATGACTTTGACATGAGAAAAGGACGGATCCAACTGCAATGTGACCCTCCCAAGAGAGGTGGGTCGAACTGAACTCCAACAACCAGGATCTTATCTACAGTTCGACAGGTGTATAAATCAAGTTATCACAAGTTATCACTGGGGGGGGGCAAATTAATCTACAAAGACGAGGGCTCCATAGGGGAAAAAAAGGTTCGATTCAACTGACAATCATGGCGTGGTGATTGGCCACAATTTTCATCAAACTCGAAACGCACATGCATGGGAGAGAAAAGTAATAAGAAGATGAATGTCAAACTAATCAGCCAGCATTGAAACAGGAGAAGTCCACTCATCAAGCAAACAAAACTTCATATCCATGCATAATACGTGTAGATATTCGAAATTCCTAGGCTGCTCCGCTCAGCACTTCTGATTCCCCAAACAACATATAGAAATCTGCTCTCGCCGAAGAATTTCAATGCCTCTCATTTTCCACATCCAGGATGTTTGATAAACCAAATGAATGGTGATATAGTGGTGATTAATGATTTTTAATGGTGATTAATATGATATATAATATGGTATCAAGTATGATAATATGATGATTATATAATGTGGATAAGACAATGTCATAAACCATCCATGACTGGGAATCCTAACCATACCACCAAGCAAAAAAATGGTGATGACTCAGGGCTGGTTTATGACATTGTTTTACCCACATTACCCGGTGTCATTAAACATCCCCGTTGTCTAAATCCATCTCCGTATCCCACTGGAATTCCATTTTCGGAGACTCAGAGATTGAAGATAACAGAACTGGACAGATTTTTGAGCATTTTTTTGTGCCAAACAATGGGATCACTTGGGAGTTTCATGAGAATTTCATGGGGTTTTATTCTTTCATCATAGTTGTGGCTGTTTGGATGTTGCGGTTGTGCAAAAAAAACTCAGTTCATCAAATTATCATCGTATCCGACTGGAACAATTTGTTAAATCCAATTATTGATCCATATAAGTATAATTGATCATTGTATCAAAATGGATACAATACATAATGAATAACAAATGGTAGAACCCCACCCTGCTTTACGTTAGCCCCCGATGTGTTTGTCGAGTGTCGGCAGGTCTCGAGTAATCCTGGGCGCGGGTCAAGACATGAGATCACTCATATCTGTAGCGGTTCCAGGTGTTCCAACAACTGGAAATACATCAGTTTGGGGATGATTCCCTATCAAAGATAGATAGATAGATAGATAGATAGATAGATAGATAGATGGAGAGATACAGAGAGATGTATTTACATCTACATACAATGAGTATATTATACCATTTGCCTAGCAGTGTCCATATCCATGGACCATCTATAGACCGTCCATGATGTGCTTGACTCTCTTCATGTGTTGTCCTATCGGGCGACCCTCTGGGTTTCCGTATTTTCTCTATCAGACTCTATCAACACGAGCCAAGTCGCAGGCTACCACAGAGCTATTTACATGAATTTCCCAAAATACGGAATGTGGAGGTCATCTGTGTTAATCTTCACCTGTGTCTTTTTGGGCCATCTTGCAGAAGTGTTCAATTTGTCGGATGTAAAACCATAAACATGACTGGGGGTTCTTAAAATGCGGGAACCCCAAGTGACCATGGGGTAACCTTGACTAAGTCATGGTCGTCCATGACTTGATGGTGCCGCCAGGATTCAAATAGAAGAGACTCTTGAGGTCCACAATGTGTCGAGTACTCACCTGGCCAACGAGCTCGCAAAACGTTGGCCCATACCCACCACATCATCATTCACCATTCATCAATCAGCAATCATATCAATCATCACTATCATGATCATATATCATATCAATCACCATGGTAATGATACAATCACCACATATGATATATGATCATGGTAATTGATAAATTTATCACCATGATCATTTTATAATGAGTCGAATAAATCATAAACATGAACCTCATCATCGTCGTCAACAAAACAAACACATGTTTGAGATTACCATCTGGTTATGACTAACACTTAGCCATGGAAAATCCACCCATGCGTTAAAAAGAACGGTGTTTACCATCTATTTCGATTAGGGCCATGGCTTAACCATGGCGAACTGTGAACGTCATAACCAGGTTGGGTATACCCCGTTGAAATCGTTGAACCTCACCTTGGATTCGACCCTGAAATTCGTCGTGCTGAAAAGTGGGCGATCAGAATCTGGCTGAGGATTTACCTTGTGTTTAATCTATTTTTTGGGGGGGAGAACTATATTGAATCACACAATCATTTAGATATATACTTATATGTATATATATACAATCATATATATATATATGTATATATATATGTGTATATATATATATATGTGTATATATATATGTATATATATATATGGTTGTGTGTCAAAACCGTGGGGCCCCAAAAGTCCTAGACGTCGTAGCTGGTATAGCTGGAATGGCATGAGCCAAGCTTCACAGCTGCGACAATCAAGGTAACCCTCATTCCTTAGTGATCCATTAAAAAACATGAGAAACAATCATGATCAAAATCATGATCCATATAAGTAAATATATATATATATACACACACACATATATATTTCCATATGTAAAAAACATGGGAGACTTCCAAGTTCATAGAATATGTTCCCATATTTCCCCATCTTTTCCTATATTTTCCTATATGTTTCCCAATGATTCATGGTACCTATTTTCGGATCATGACCTCGCCTCGTCCTCCGATTTTGGATCTTTGGACCTCACATCTGAATGACAGCGGATGAAACAGGGATGCAAGCCTTATTAAGTAGAAGTTGATGTATTTGCACATAATCACATATGTATATGTATATAATATGTGTATATATATATATACATATGTATATATATATTGTATATGTAGAACAAGGAGATTGATGTGAAATCCGCAGAAACAGCGTGTTCGATTGTTGCAACACATATCATCACATAGATATCAAGCAACACGAAGCCATGGAGATTTGAAGCCATGTTGTGAGCGCGATACTCCATGGCGATTCTAATTCCAGGTGATTAATGACTGGTTGGTTCATGGATTTTACCCCTATAAATCACCTTTCAGGTTGGTGGTTGAGCCTTACCCCTCTGAAAAATGATGGACTGAAAGTCAGTTGGGATGATTTTTCCATTCCCAATATGATGGGAAAGTCATAATCCATTCCATGGTTCCAGTCACCACCATGTCGATATATTGTTATTCCAATTATTAACCATTATTAACCATAGATTAACCACTATTAACCATTATTATCCATATATTCACCATAGATTAACCATAGATTAGCCATTTACCATAGTAAAAACCATGGTTCCAGTCACCAAGCAGATGATGACATTTTTTTTCGCCGGTTCGCGGGAAATCTCCGAAAAAGAAGAGAGTTTGTGATTCACCCATGGGACCATGGGACACCATGGGTCAAGACCCCAAGGTTCTGTTCGTTGGTTTCAAAAGTACTTTACTTCGAGTTATCCCCACCATGACATCTTTACGTTTGGTTACTGGCATATCTTCTGGCATTCTATCTGGCATATCTTCTGGCATTCTACCTGCCATATCTTCTGCAATATGTTCTGGCATATCTTTTGGCACTCTATCTGGCATATCTTCTGGCATATCTTCTGACATTCTATCTGGCAAATCTTCTGGCATATGTTTTGGCAAACATTCTGGCACTTTATCTGGCATATCTTCTGGCATATCTTCTGGCATATCTTCTGACATTCTATCTGGCATTCTATCTGGCAAATATTCTTGCGTTCTATCTGGCAAACATTCTGGCACTTTATCTGGCATACCTTCTGGCATTCTATCTGGCATATCTTCTGGCATTCTACCTGGCATATCTTCTGGCATATGTTCTGGCATATCTTCTGGCACTCTATCTGGCATATCTTGTCTGACATTCTTTCTAACTTTCTTCTGCACATTCTTTGTCCCATATCTTCCTACATGAGGTCCGGCAGGGAACACTTGGCGTGGATACTCGCGGTTGAGGTCCGGCAGGGAACACTGGGCGTGGATGGTCGTGGTTGAGGTCCGGCAGGGAACACTGGGCGGGGATGGTCGTGGTTGAGGTCCGGCAGGGAACACTGGGCGTGGATGGTCGTGGTTGAGGTCCGACAGAGAACACTGTGCGTCGAGGGTCGCGGTTGAGCAGGAGGAGGAGGAGAGGAGAGGAGGAGAGGAGCAGGCAACTGACATAAAATCTAACAACCCTCACCTGGCAGGTGGGGAAAAAACACATTCATTATATATTTATTATATGTAAAATGTGCCCCCCCCCAGTTACAAGTTGGTTTATAAGCCCCAGTAACTATGGTTATAAGTACCATAAACCATAGTTATTGGAGTTATAAACCAACTTAGCTTTCTTGGGGGCCTCACATTGTAGTTGTATCCCCCATAAAGCCAAACGTTCATCAATATGTCAACTTAGCTATCTAGGGGGGCTCACCTTTGTCGTCCCAGTTTGTGGCCGCTTGAAACGGAACGATTCATTTCCTTCCCGCAGCAGATGCAAAAAAAGGTTCAATGTCCATCGGTACCATAGACTAATAGATTCCCAATCATGATCCTACCAGTTTTAGTATGGAAACCAATAAGTAACAGTATTTATACTAATATATATTCCATAGGCAAAGATCCTCATGATTCTCGTGTTTAGGATCTTTGCGTATGGAAACCATAAGAAACTAAAAATACCTCAGAAAAGTTAGCCATTCATCAAAAACATGAGGCATGAAAACCACGCAAGCCACACCTGCAAGTTCACTTCAAAATTGAAAGTTAAACACATATATCATAATATATTCATGATTTAAGAATATCATATGATATAAGATGATATAAGATTATAAGATGACATAAAATGATATAGCCACCATGTTAGAGCCCTACTTTGTTTTCTGTCGATCAATAATTCTTGCTCAGAATCTTGAGAACCGCCCGCATTGTCATTAGCACGATTCAGCAGCACCAATGGTGACTTCCGTACGGCCGCACCAGTGCTGTTTTCAGTTGAGAAGTCAGCAATCCACGGTAAACATGTTAGTAAACATGATATTCATTGATACCCTCTGATTATTTAACATAGCCATGGAAAATGGCCCATTTATAGATGGTTTACCTATTAATAGCATGGTGATTTTCCATGGCTATGTTAATCATAACCAGATGGTATCATGATGATATCTATTTTCACCAACTGACTCTGGCTAGGTTAGGTTGCATCCCAATTGCCACCTAAAATTGGTCGGATTTTTTTTCCGTAAAACACCAGTGGATTCACCGATTTTCATGGCGATTTGGACAATCCACCCATTTGAAATAGAACGGTAAACCATCTATGTCTATGGGCCATTTATAGTGGATTTACGCATTGAAAATTGGCATTTTTAGCGGATTTACGCATTGAAAATGGGCATTTTTAGTGGATTTACCCATTGAAAATGGGCATTTTTAGTGGATTTACCCATTGAAAATGGCAATTTATAGTGGATTTACCCATTGAAAATTGCAATTTATAGTGGATTTACCCATTGAAAATGGCCATAGAAATAGTGGATTTACCCATTGAAAATGGTGATTTTCCATAGAAAACTGTTGGTTTACCAGAGGGTATTTTCAAAGAACTCCTTTCCGAAATCTGCACAGCTCCCGAGTCTTCCAACGCGTGAAGCGCTTTGGGCCGACGTCGGAGAAACGGCTGACGCTGCTCCTGGTTGGACCAGTTGGAGTCCATCGAAGATGCCAAGTGCTTTGGGATATCAGCATGGTTTGGAGTTGCATGATAATTTCGGGGAGATAATATATACACATATACATAAATATGTATATAATTATATATATATATTATAATATAATACAAAAGAATATACTACAATAAAATGATATATAATGTAATATACTAAAATACAATACATTGTTATATTATACTATAGTCATATAATAGAATATATTATAATATAATTGAGTATAGTATAATTTAATTTAGTATTAATATAACATAATGTAATATAAAATAATTGAATATAATATAATATAATATAATAAAATATAATACAATATAATATAATATAATACAATATAATACAATATAATATAATATAATACAATATAATATAATATATTATTAACATAATATAACATTAATAAAATGTAATATAATTTAATATAATATGTAATAAAATATGAATATAATTTGATATTAATATAATATCATATCAATTCAATATAATATAATCATATTTTTCTAATATAATATAATATAATATTATTTCATATTAATAGGATATAATATCATACCATATAATATAACATCACAGAATATAATATAATATGATATATTATAATGTAAAATAATGTAATATAATATAATATATAATATATATAATATATAATATATAATATATAATATATAATATAATGTAATATATAATATAATATAATATAATAGAATATAATATAATATAATATAATAGAATATAATATAATATAATGCATATATATATAAACACCAGTAATTATATGAAATTTGTCTCATGGAACATGCTCCAAGTTCAAAACTTCAATACGCTCTCATTAGAAAGCAGGGGAGGCTTCCCATCTTTCCAACAACCCACCACCGCTTTACAAACATGACTGGGGTATGACCAGTTGGAGAAGGGGAAACTAGTGGAGATGCATCTTTCTGTTTTGGTTAGCTGTTAGCCTGTTAAAACATATCCCACCGTTTTCCAACAACAGATTGAAGTAATGATTGAAATATTGAGTTATCACCGTTTTTAAACAACGGATTAAAGTAATTCTTGAAGTATTGAAGTGTGATTCTGGGTGTAATAATCATAATAATTCACTCACCTGAAATCTTGGGCCCCTTTTGGGATGATTCCCCTATAAAAACCCATGTATTCCAGGCTTCGGGAGAACGACGTGAGGTCGTGATGAAATTTGCCCAGATGATTGAAGTGGCCAGGGTCAGTTCCACTCAGTTCCAACTCGCCACACCGAGCCTTGGAGAGTTTTCGAAGCTGCCTGGGATGCGAAAAAGTCAGCAACAGTTTACATACATCTTGGACGCATCAATTACGTACAGAAAATAAAACATGTTAATAAGAACTATTAACCATCAAATACACTATATATATATTAGTTTTTTTAAAGTCTCGTAAAAATATTTTTGTTATCTAGCGTACGTGTAGTGACGAGTGACATCAACGGGGGTATGAACGTGTGTGTGAACGACATGCGTGCGAGTGAACGTACGTGCGAACCTTTGTATGTACGAGTGAGCGTACGTGCGAGCGAACGTGTGAGCGTACGTCCGTGCGTTTGCACGGTCACTCGCCACGCGCGCGCGCACGTACGAAAATAAGGTCGACTTGAGTCGACCTTATTTTTGCACGACCCTGCCTCTTTGGTATTGATTTAGTATTGTAGCGCTTTGCACGTACAGAAATAAGGTCGACTCCAGTCGACCTTATTTTCGTACGTGCGCGCGCACGTGGCCAGTGAACGTGCAAACGCACGCATGTACGCGCACACGTCCATCCACTTGTACGCACACGTCCGTTCACTCGTTCGCTCACACGCGCACTCGTCCGTTCACTCGTTCGCCTTACGTTCGTCACCACGTCCGTTAGCCACTCGTACCCCCTACGTTCACCGCGTCTCTTGGAGCTTTAAAAGCATTGTTTACGAGGCTTTAAAAAAAGCTAATATATATAACTTATATAACAATTCAAACAAACACTAGAGAAATCATCAACCATTATCAACCATTATCAACAAATCCACCCATGTTTGATGGTGAAATCCCTCGTCAAGTCACTGGAGTTGGAGCTCGGCCCATTGTCTCCGAGCCCACTCCACGGCCTTGACTCTGCAGCGCGGTCGAGCGCGGTTGCGCGGTTTTTTTTGGATCAGACAAGTCTAGAAATTCATTGAATTTCCATATATTTCTATATTATAATGATTTCATAGGATTTCAAGTTTTGGAAAATAATTTTTATGGATCTAAAAAAGATGATCTTACAATTGTCCAGACAAGTTTGATAGAGATGTCACTGGAAAATCAGTGGTATATTGGGAAAATTGGGTGGAAATTGAAAGCTGAATATGGGGAAATTGGCCAGGAAAACTATAGGGAAAGTCATGGGAAAATCACCAAAATGCGTTGTAAACTCCAACCGTTTTTGAAGAGTGAAAAAGCCAGGTTTGGAGTAGCTTCCAAACGAGTTGTTTGAACGAAAATAATTCTAGGACTCAATCTGCCACCACATGGTTATATAAAGTAGATGAAGATTCGAATTGGGATTTCAATTTGGCACCTTTTTTGTATGAATTTTGTCACCTAGTGAGGATCGGGGATGACGAAAGCTTTCCCGCTTTCCCAAGCCTCACCCGTCCCCGCGCTGCGGGTCATCCCTTTTTTGGGTTTAAAACCTGGCAGGTCTGGCTGAAGCAATGAAGCTAGTCGTTGGCAAATCCCAACAGATCCACAACGACACGACGGGTGGAACGACGGCTGGAACGACGGGCTGATGGCATCGGGCGACCATTCACAGTTCGCACCGTATCTGGCAACACTTGTGGGTTGGTGCTTCAGCCACCCCCATTTTTTAGCTTGGTGACCCAAGTAGTGTGTTGTTCACTCCAAAAAAAATAGAAACGGAAAGTCTGGAACGTATCAAAATCATTCAAAATCATAAAAAATCCTGCTTTCAACCAGCCTACGAAAACCCTGGATGAGTCTTGGATATGTCTATTTTGGGTGGGGCCCGCGATCACGGCGAAGGATAACGAAGGGGTCATCGTCAAGCCTCAGACCCCTCAACCAACGAAGGCCAAGCCTCAGAACATGGTCGTCCCTACAGGCCTCAAGGACCACCTTGGTGTATTACCAAAATCTACGGCTATTTGAGGTTGTCTGAAAATAGGGGAGCCCAAAATCCATGAGTGAATCTTTCTATGTTCTTATAAAAATTGCTATTTGGGGGGAATACACCATTCTCAGATACCCATTTCAGCACCATAATTATCATAGACTAGCCCGCAGGTTTTGTTCGACTTCAAAACCAACTCAGCCAAGATATGTAATTATAAATCTCCATATGTATTCCAAAAGTGGTTTAGAAACTAGGACAGATCTTCTTGGAACCAGTATGTACTATGTATGTGTGTAGACTGTAAAAACACAAACAAACATTGAAGCAACATGAAGCAACTAACTTGAACAATAACCTGAATACTAACCATCACAAATCCTCATATTTGATCATATTTGTACATCTAAACCATGAATTGCCGAAAAAAAAGTTTCTCCGCCCAGAAGCTTTCAACCTTTTCCAAGTGAAAGCTGCCCTGGCGTAAAACCGCCTCGGTGACGTGCCCTCAATGGCGACTGTAGAAATGAATGCTCAAACGGCGTTCAGTTGCTGTATGTCTGTCAGATTTGCAAGTAATGATATCTCAAATGCATTCTGTCACGTTAATTTAAAAGCACTTAAGAACCCCAGGATAGGCTGGAAAATTCTTAATCGGTTCTTATCCAACGGTTCCGCTGTCTATCATGGTGATTAATATCTATTTACCATTAAACACATTAAACACAATTCATCGCCATTATCAACAATTATAAACCAGTACAATCACCATGATCACCATTTAATCATCATTCATCACCATTAACCATACCCTCTCGTAAACTAACAGTTTGCTATTGAAAATGGCCATAGAAATGTGGATTTACCCATTAAAAATTGTGATTTTCCATAGTTACGTAAACGTTTACCAGAGGGTAACTCACCACTATGAACTCACGATGAGTTCACCAACGCTAAGCCTAGCCACCTTGGCAGCCTCCCCTTGGGAGTCCATGATCTTCGCGCGCGACGTCAGGAAGGGCTCCTTGAACTCTTCGTAGATCTGCCGCCCGCCCGGATGGAGAAAAAAACCATGGGAAAAACGCCAGTTGAACTGCTGAGTTTTACAGGGCTATCAACAATCAATCACCCGTTAGAATCTGGTTGGTGGTTTTTCGCCCTACCCCTCTGAAAAATATGTTTGTTCGTCAGTTGGGATGATTTTTCCATTCCCTATGGAAAAATAAGATTCATGTTCCAAACCACCAACCGGATATATTGTTATTCTAATTATTAACCATTATATATTAACCATAGATTAACCATAGATTAACCATAGATTAACCATTCTTTACCATAGTAAAACCATTGTTTCATCAACCAGTAATCCATTTACAAACTAGTACACTAACAAACCATAGCCCATCGAAGTAGATGGACGGTGCTTTTCGAGTTTTCGCATGTTTTCCTTTTCGTTGGGGAAATGAAGAATTCGACAAATCTGGAAAATGCTAAGTTAGTAGGTATCTATATATATATATGCTAACAAAGATATGAAATATACCTTCGGGGGGGTTCTGGTGGGGTGTGTGACCATATATATATATAAATATATATATATATATATACATACATATTGAAATTGGATGGAGATGGAATGATCCAACTCGAGTTTATTGTTGTATACAATGATTGGATAGTTGAACTGGATTGTGTAGTCCCTTAGGGCCAAGCCTCTGGCAATCCGAGCTTATGGATCCGGTGTTCGGCGGTGTTCGAACGGCGAAGTTGCTTCACTCAAACAACTCAGGTTTGAGATGGTTTGAGATGGTTAAAACATGACATCTCCGTTTTTTGGCGGTGAACATCGACGAACATCCACAAAAAATGACGACGAGCAAACCGGCCTTGCGGAGCTCATCGACATACCTCTGGTGCAACTCATCAATCTGCTCCTGCCAGCGATTCGACTTGGGAGATATCTGGGGGTTTCTGACAAGTCATGGGGGTACCCCAAATGGATTGTTTTTAAATGGAAAATCCTATCAAAATGGATGATTTAGGCGTACCTCCATTTTAGGAAACCTCCATATATGTATTTGAACCATCATAAAGAAAGGAGGTGATTTTTTCGTTACTATTTATATAACGGGCAAAAAAATAGATTATATCAATGATATCTCATAAAATCATTTCTACCTCAATTGAACTATGCAATTATATCAAAAACAGAGAGGTGAGTAGAGGTGATATTGGCATTTGAAATGGGAATTGATTCTCTCAAATTGCGGGCTTGATCATTGTTTAAGCTAGGGCTTTCTAACGATCTCAAACTTAGAATTTGATCATCATTCACATATATATATATATACACATTCCATGAAACATCTTGCGCGGTGATAGAATTTCTATCATGAATGTGGTTGGTTGACTAATCTTCGGGGGCCGTTCACCGAACCTTGGGCCATTCAGAAGCGGTCCATGTGGGATTCGATCACTGTGGACGGTGATATATCCCATTATATATACTTGATCGACGTTCGACCCCAAACCTGGGATTTAAATCCTATCTTCTAAATTCAGTTTAGCAACCACCAAAGGGTGCTGAAGTACAGCCGCAATTCAAAATAGTTATGCAAAGTACCGATTGTTTGCTGGTGGCCCAGCTTCAAAACCATATAGATCCAAAAAGGATGGATGGTTGGAAATAAGAAAAATCAATTCGCCGTGCTGCGCCAAGCCGGTGCCCTTTCGTAGCGAAACACTTCTGAGCATGTGAGGTGCCTCAGTTTGCCCTTAGCACACAAAGTCAATACTTCGCTTCGGGGCTTCAGAGGTGGCAGCTCACCGACAAAAACCTGATGCCGGGAAAAGTTGGATGCAGACAGATCTGTACAAAGAACTGCACGAGCCGCACCGGTGGACAAAGCAGCTTTGTGAAACAAAATCTGTGCATGAACCCGTGTCAGGTCTGCCTTTTCAGGGAGGTTGTCCACTTCTTCCAACTCTTTCTCTGACAGCTGTGGAAGTTGAGCTGGCAACCAACGATGTCGAGCTGCTTTTCCGAGCAGGTTAGTCTAGCCACGCTTTTTACCCCGGCCTAGCCAGATTATCAGGTTGTGGCAGATCTGCCACCGAAGAAGGAGTCCGTCTGGGGTGATTGGAACTCTCTCTGCCAGGAACGACCCTAAATGCCCCCAGCCAAGCTCCAAAACCAAGGCAACGGTGCTGCTGGCGCAGAAGCCAAAAGTTGCAAGGATAAAAGGGTGTCTCAGTCGGTCAAGGAACGCATGCTCAGCTGCAAGGTCTTGAACATCACTGTCTGGGGAATGCACCTTGACTGCCACAACGGCCGTGCCCACCTCGAATCCTGCCTCAAAGACGGTGCCATATGTGCCAGCACCCAGCTGCTTGCGGCAAATCAGAAAGCCCCCCAGCCAAGGGAAGGTGTGGCGAAGGTTCTCCCCAAGACAGGAGCTTGTCACTGCCTCTCCATCACTGTCAAAGCTAGACACAGCCAAATGCTGCCCCATTTGCCTTTGCGTTGTAATGTTCCCGCAAAGCTTCACAAGATCGCCTGACTATGGGCCAGGGCCTGCATGCGAAACTTTATGACACCTCACCAGAATCAACGGCTTGCTGAAACTAAGTTGCGCACCACTTTGCCAGCATACCTGCCTGGTGGAACGTGACAGAAATTTGGTCATTCTGACATACTGGGTAGCCAATGCGCCCAGGGCTACCATGATGATCTCTGGCAACTGCAAAGAGAATTGAATGCACACAATACACAAGCAAAAAAGGAAACATGCACACAGCTCGATCTACTCCCAGCAATGTCACACAGCAATGCCTGAGACCCTATAGGGTTCCCTACTTATCTTCTAGTGGTGACTTGCAGAAGAGGTGCCCCAGAGATGTGTCACGAGAGGTGTGTGAGAGGTGGTGTTTGAGAGGTGCCCCGGAGAGGTGCCTTAGAGTTGCCCCAGAGGTGCCCTATAGAGGTGCCCCAGAGGTGCCCGAGAGGTGCCTCAGAGGTGCCCGAGAGGTGCCCTAGAGGTGCCCCAGAGTGCTTCCTTAGAGATGCTGACAAGGGAAGAACAAGTACAGGACAAGGGGAGCAAAAGTAAAGGTATATAGTGGAAGAGGTGATTGACAGGTGCTCAGCATAGGCACTATATATATATAATAATCTATATAATATATATAATATATATATATATATATATATTATATATATATGTGTGTGTTTTTAAAAAATTATTATATATACATATAGCAATATATGTAGCACTTGGTTTCACAAATGTTCGCCGCACTGCATCAAGAGAACTCCTGCACACGGACCAGCCTTCGTAGAGGATAGCGTTTTTTTACGCAACCTTTTCCATGGCTTTCTGCCAACACCGCATGCACTGGATTTGCTGCAAAACAAAGCGAAGCCAGTGGCCGGCCTATGGAGCCCGAGCTCTTTGTTCTGTTTTCTCATTGCGCGGTCTTGAGCAAAGAGTGGACAGGGACAGGTCATCAGGACGTGCTGTCCGGTTTGCTTCGAGCAACCTCAAACAACTGACATGTATCCAAGCATTTTATATAGTATCAATACTCACACAGTCTACCTGCAAAAAATGGGGTATCTGATATAATATATATATATATATATATGTCTGACATGTTGCCTGACATGTTCATCGACGCAGAGATGGAAAGAGTCAGAGAAGAGAAGAGAAAAGAAGAGAAGAAGAAAGAAGATCAAAAAAGAGAAAGTCTCAGAAGAAAGAAGGTCCAGGTGCGCGAAATGGTAGGAAAGTCGCGAAACGCTGTGTTTTTCCAATGATTTGTGGCTCCGGAGGGTCGAAAAGCAGGCTCGCTAAAGCGGCGGGTGCGGGGCCATGTGGTCAGATGAGAGATGAAAAGTTGCACGCCGTTGAGAAGATGCAACGCCAGTAGCTCTTCTGAGTGTGACTGCTCTCCCCTGGCGTCCACCGTCAAAGGTGGACGCCACACAGCTGGCAAATGGTTGATTTGCGCAATTTGAACGTACGACGCTGCAAAAATCTTTTCTGCTAAATGGATCCTGACAGGTGTTTCAGAAGGTCCCTGGCGTCCACCTTCAAAGGTGGACGCCAGGGGCCATAGACGAACAAAGAGGTAGGTTCTGGCGTCCACCACAGAAGCGTAGCCAAATCACAATCATGTGCTGTTTGGAAGGCCGCTTAATCTTTGTCTTCTTGTGTGTCTTCGAAAATATGGCCGACGTGGTTCTGACATTGCTGCAGCCATTTGGAAGCTGATCGGTCTGAGGAGGGTCCGTTGAACACACGTGATGTCAAGGCCGCAAAAGCGTTAAGGTGGGTAAGTCATGCCCGGAGCCAGCGTCTGGGATAGAGACACACCCTACAGTAGTTGCTTTGCAAGCAGCTGCGGCGAAGCTGACAAAAGCTGTTGAGGCAGAATTTTTTCCCCCCGAAAGCAAGCATTGGCTATCAGCTGTCCAGATTTGAATCAAGCAGAATAGCTTTTGGAATTTCAACCAGAAGGGTTTGATTGCCGCTAGCATGAATGATTGCAGGCCGTGGGTGAGCCAATTGACTTCGGTGGTGTGCATGCGCTGGATCTCCCTAGTTACAAGCGCCTCCTCAAGTGAGACGGAGTGTACGAGTGCTGTGTGCCAATTTGGCACATAGATCTTCTGCAATTTGCTCACAAGAGCATTCCTCCTGGGCAAGGCTCGGTGCGTCAGAATCCAACAAACCTTTGCTGATTGCACGTGACAAGTTGGACACGAATCTGCCGGAGCCGTATGCCTGACTTCCCTTCTCAAAACATGCCCTTCCAGATTTATGTTTTCTTTCCTCCGGCTGCAGAGAAGCCTCTGAAAGTCAAGCTTGCTGTGGCCAGGTTCAGTCAAGATCATGAAGGACCGGCATTTTGTACCGGGTCAACGGCGTGCCTGGCAGGAAACTATTGTGGTGCGAGCCACAAGCATGTCTGAACCTCCAGAGCCCGGACGGTATGAGGTGTGCAACGGTGACGCATACCGTGCCTTGCCTGTATGCAGGTCCTGCAGATTTTTTGTGTCGAAGAGTCGTCAATCTTTGTTTGTCACCTGTGCTTGGGAAAGCTCGCAGGTGCAGCGTTCTAGGAGAGCTGGGCTGCAGCGCCGCCTGCAGAAACCAAAGCATACTTGCAGATGGCCCGCTCGGTGCGTGTGCCTTGTACATCAAACCAAAGTCATGGTAGACAGCGGCCGCATTCCAAGCTTCATAATATGATGCTCTTCTTGCTGTCATGTCTTTTTTAAAGGGCTTAGAGATCCAGATATGTCATTCCTTCAGAAATCGGTCGGCATTGTGCAATGTCTTCCAAGTGCTCACGTCGCACGTGCAGTCAGGTATCTTTCCAGTCAGTACTTGCCCGACCAGATGCAGTTTGAGTGGAAGAAATGGGAATTGGCGGAGCAGACAGGACAGTATTGGGCTCTGGCACCGGGATTCCATCCGGGATTTTAAGTTTTGGTATATCTGCATGGTAGGCCCAGAGCAAAACTGTGCGCAGTGCATAGCTTATATTAGCTTATGATAAACAAAGCAATGTTTGGAAACCTGATCACCAAGAGTCGGCATGCCCAGAATATGTCTGATTGTTGTCCTGTTTGTTTTTGGGCTTTCTGATTGTTGTTTTTGTTTCGGAGTTTTCGGTGTGGACCTGCAGTGATTGTCAGTAGTTGCACACTTTTGTCAATAATAATTGTCACGTTGGGGTTTCTGATGTCTTCACATGCAGAAAGGCCGCTGGAAACTGATGCGTGGGCCCGGCCGAATTAAAGCTAAGCAAACCGTTTTAAAATGCTTTGTCCCCGCGAATGCTGGCAATGGGATTTCCTACGCAAACGCCGTTTGAAAACTTTGGGCTGTTCCCTGCTGTTTTCTCGTACACTTGCATGACAGCGCGCATCGTGCACATTGAAACATATGCCACTATGCTGTGCGCTGAAGACGTGTACACGAATTCAAGGCGGCGAATCAGTAAAACATTTATTTCAATTTAAGTCCCATGTTTCAATGCGTGGGTAAGATATACAATTTCTCAATTGTTGATGTTTATGCAGCGCAGTTGCAGACACGCGAGCGCATGTTCTGTTGGATTCTGCCAGTCGGATCTATAGTTTTCGGTCATCTTGGTCCCGGTTTTTCTTCTCCGCGCAGTTCTGCGCCTTCTCGCCGCTGCGCAACACAGCAGCTGCGTGAGCTCCCCTTTCATATTACGAGGTGCTTGCCGGACCACCCACTATCAGCAGAATGTCTATATATATAGGGCTAGTCGGAACCGAACATGATCGCAAGCCCACGAACCTCTGTGGCTTGCCGGACCCGAACCCCATCGCAAGGTAGCGCAATGTGCCCCTGTGCATCCTGCCTACATCGCAGCACATAGCGAGATACACAAGAAACACATGTCATGCCTATGCGCAATCTGCCTAGCGCAGCAACACGCAGCTATTAGCCATCCAGATTTTTTAAGTTTGAAAGAATCCTGAAGTTTATGGGTGTCCTGGCTGGTCCGTTCCAGATTTCGGACTCAACGGTCAAGCGTACGGTTTCCACCCTTTGGCCAGAGAGCCAATGCAACCACGTTTGTACCCGACTGAGATTGACCAACGCAATATAACGCAATCACATGAAACTGATAGATCCTATGTGACCTAGTTTCAAAACATTTTTCTCACAGATTTTCTGACATTTTGTCTGAACATATGGCCTTTTTTCAGACGTATATCTTTCAGGCATTCAATTTCCCTTTTCTACTTGGCAATTCTTGTGCGCCCTGTGAGCCCCAAAGCGCTTGGAGTGAGCTGCCTGGAAGTCAATACAGTAATACGTTTTCCCAGACCTAGACTAGGTATTTTCTCTGTATGCGTCTTCTATATAATATCCCATCATTGACAAGTAGGTTCGCTCGAGGTCTTATATTAATTTCTGTTTCATCCTCCTTCTTGTTCTGTCTTTCTATTCATCCTTGCCTTGGCCTACTTGTCTTGCCAGTCCCTGTCTCGCTTCATGGTGCCGCTGTGTCTATGTTTTGCGCTGGGCCTCAAGCTGCTGTCTGGTCTGTGTCTCGTGCTTGTCTTCGCGGTCCAGTCACGGCTGCTCTCACATCTTTTTGGTGGTGGATTTCATTGTGGTACCTTGTTTTCAGTCTCGCGCTAGATGTCGCAGCGCTGCCTCTGTGTCTCACGCTGAGCATCCAGGGCTTGCCATCTAAATTCGTTACATGCCTAGCCATGCAGTGTCGGAACAGTCTTACTGAGTCTCACAGGGAGCAAACCAGCACCAAACTTAAGATTAAAGATTCTACCAAACAGCGGTCAAGTATATATTCCCATTAATTGATGAACTAATATGCCTTATAAACCACTATTTATTGGTGATTCATTATGGATAATCGATATAACCATATCTGGTTGGTGGTTGGTATACCTACCCCTCTGAAAAATATATTTCTTCGTCAGTTGGGATGATGACATTCCCAACTGAATGGAAAGTCATAAATTCCATGGTTCCAGTCACCACCAACCCTCGTGTTGATTCTTCCCATGTTTCGCATGATGAAATCCGAACATGATGGTAAGACCACCGTCATGTAGCATGTTCAAGTTGGCTATAATCGGCTATATATTCCACCGCATCCCCATGAAGTCGAAATACTTGATTTACACATTATTTCCATGGATTTTCCATCGTTTTTCGTATGTTCACCATCAACTCCCCATCCAGTGCCGGGGTGATGAACTGCGTCGTCGTCGCCTGCGTGGGGTGCGGCACCGGGGCGTCCACATGGATCGGGGTGCCCACGATGGACTGCACCTTGGCCCGGCAATGGATTGGGGGGAAAAAATGGGAAAATGTGGTAAAAAAATGTAAAAAATATGGGGAAAAGTGTGGTAAATATGTGGGGAATTCCAAGCTTGAAACATGAATCAACTATTGAAATGATTTGAAATGTATATTGAATAGCGGGGAACGAAAAGAGGTTTAAACATTGACATGATTATTGAATATTATTGAACAAAACATAGAAAAGCACAGTTTTAAGCCATTTTTTCAACATGATTCAAGCACTCTCCGCCCCTCCAACCCTCAATCCCCATGGAATCACGTTGGAAAAATCATAAAAACTCACAAGCTGGGCACATTCCAAGTTGGAATCTTTATGATTTTTAAACATTAAAAATTGGAACCTGGACACATGTTTGAACATTTACTGGTTCGTGGTTTCAATTCCTCTGAAAAATATGAGTTCGTCAGTTGGGATGATTTTCCATTCCCAATATGATGGGAAAGTCATTCAAAATTCCATGGTTCCAGTCACCACCAACCAGTTGAACATTGTTATTCCAACTATTAACCATTATTAACCATAGATTAACCATAGATTAACCATTATTTACCATAGTAAAACATTGAAGCAACAACTCCAATTTGGGGCTGGTCTTCGTTGTAACCGCAGATCGCTAGATCGCTGGGCCGCCCGAGCTGGCATTCGCAAGGGCATCACTCCGCGTGAGAGGCCAAAGACTCGATGTAAGACACCGCCTGGTGGCGGAGGTTGAAAAACAGGACATGATTTTTTCAAAATGGCAGTGGGTGTATTCCGAAAAGTTTGATTTCCATGGGATTTTTATGAAATTCTTATGGGATTTTTATGGGATTTCTATGGGATTTTTATGGGAATCTTATGGGATTTTTATGGGAATCTTATGGGATTAAAACCTTGTACCCCTGGTAATCATAGAAATAGCTGGGATTTATGGATGTTCATCCCTCTAAAAATGGTATTAATATAGGTATTGATTCATAGCCAAATAAGTTGGGTGTATTCCGAAATCATGACACTCAAATTCACTAACTGGGGGTTCATAATTCCACTAGTTCAATAATTCCACTTTTTCATGTGTGTGTTTTTTTGGCCAGGGATCTTATATGGCAATAAGATTGAGGATATTTCAGAAGGGATATGCACCCAAAGTCTCATCGTGAAAATGTATGGCAATTTTGTGTCCTACTGCTGCAAGCCAGCCATAGCTGGAGGGTTCCTAAGTCATGGTACCCCGGTCGCTCGCTGGATGGTTATTTCCATGGAAATCCATCTATAAATGGATGATAACTAGGGGTACCCCTATTTTAGGAAACCTCCATGTGAACCACAAGGTACGCATTCAAAATTCATAAAATGGCGGACATCAGAATCAAACCGGGGACATTGAGATTTAACTGTTGGGAGTTTGACTAATTTGAATTACAACAATGGGGTTGAAACCATGATGATGGTCGGTGAAGTGAGGATTCCTGATCATCCAGAATCAACAATAAATCCAGTGTAGACAATGTAGGCATGGATAGACTAAAGTAGAAAACTTTTCTGTGTCAGTTGTCCCTCTGGACACACAACCATGATCAGTCAGGATGTGGCTCAAGAATAGGATATGGCGGATCACATGTCCTTTATGTCGAACACCGACATAGCTTCAACAGGGAAGCTTACCCTCGGACCATCAAACGTGGCGGTATAGCTGGGAAATCCCCGCAATGGACGGTGTTTTTGGCTGGGAAATTCGTTGCTGTAAATGGTGGATTTTCCGTTGCTATGTTTGATTGCTGGAAGGTATTTGTGGCTATAACACTGTATAAGATCTACAACTCTATCCATCTCTATCCTTCTTGATCATCAAGACATCCACATCTCTAGCAAGCTCAATTTTCACAACACACACGGGTTTGTCTGAAAATTCACGGGAAACAAAACACGTACATCCCTCGGTTCATAATGATTTGTTATCTTTAACCGGCCATTTGCAGGCATACCCGGCATACCATCTGATAATTTAACATAGCTATGGAAAACCACCAAACCATCATGTTTACTAAATAACCCATAAAAATACCACATAGGAATAAAACAAATGGATCCCATTCATATGTACCAAATCACTCGGTTTTTTCATGGTAATATCCGAACAAAACAAACACCTCCACACAGGACTTCGGCCCGTGCCTGTCAATGCTCGGCCAAAGAAGAACGGGATGCCGAAACCTCGTTGCTGAAGAAGTGCTGCTTTCAATCATGGAAATAGCATGGTGGTATCATGGCAATACTGTGGATGGGCCAGCGAAATCCTGAAATCCGCCAATTTGGGATGGTTGAAAGATGTTGAAACATGTTGAAACCCAAACAAAATAATGGGATGTAAACACCACCGTTGAAAAAATTGGTGCAGGAATGTGCAGCATGGCCGTGTTGGTTCGATGAGTGGATTACTGTACGTTTAAACAAACTGCTGCTTTTCCGTACTTAAGCTAAACTTCCAGAGAGTATCCCAATCAAAATATATGGGATACTTCAATTAAAATAGGGGTACCCCCAAATCATCCATTTCTATAGGATTTTCTCAATGGCCATTTCAAGAACCTAAATTGGAGGTACCTACTATATATAAGGCCTATATACGGCCTATGTAAGGGAATATCCCGCAAAATATGGCATTATATGGTACAGTACCTCCAATTTAGGATCCTGAAGTTACCATCGATTTTCCCTTATAAACCATCCAGCTATTGGGGTACCCCCATGACTTAGGAAACCCCCATATACCTACCATAAACCATAGTTCACCTAGTTAGATTTATTTTCTTGTTTTACCTAAATCACCACCAAATTCACCATGAATATCCACCATATATTGCTTTGAGGTCATCATCCATAAATCTAACCGGTCATGCATAAGGGGAATCATCCATAAGGGTAAGTCATGATATTTCACTAACCGGAATTAAGACCAAAAAAATGGATGATTCCCCTTATGAAAACCAATGGATTCGTGAGGTCGTTATATATAATTTATGCAGATGTGTATTGCTTCCATTTTTAGTTCCCATAAATCCACAAATATTCATTCAAAGTGTCCATGTGGGTATTTTCCAATAGATGTTCCCCAAAAAAAGATGTTCCATAAACCATAGATGTCCCACATTTTACCATATCATCTCCCATTTTCGATAGGGATTTTCCACCATTTTTACCATCCAGCGAGCTTGGGGGTACCAAAAAATAAATCCACCGGCTGAGCTCTGAGCCCATCTGTTTCTGCAACCAAAGCCTGGGCCCGGCGAGGCCCGGAGGATCATCGCGATCACCGATCCAGAACTGGACTTGGGCTTAGCCGGAGTCCAACTGGACTTAGGTTATCTGTAAAATATATATATATACACATAATACTATATATATATATATATTATTATATTGTATATTATATACTGTATATATAATTATATATATATATATATATGCAAATACATTCTTAAGTGGATCCTTTCCAAATTGAAGGTGGCCCTTGAAGCCATACTGAAACCATGAGATATATATTATTCATATGAATCATGTCCATACTGAAACCATGAGATATATATTATTCATATGAATCATGTCATGTTGGTCATCATCATGTATCATCATACTTTATGTTATTTTACTTTGGATTCTTGAGGGTCTTGCCCGGATCGTGGTGGCTTCAGCTTTTTCCACGATCGCGCCATCATCGCGACGGATCCTCGCCTAAAGTGTAAAGCTGGTGGCATACCTGTGTTGATGTAACACAAGTTTTGCATAAGATATTTGCAAAGCATGCCAAACACGGCATGCACCCCCTAAAGCCAGTGCTCAGTTGTTTCCATGCCCAATCTCTTCCAACCAAGATTTCACCAATGCGGAATCGAGGGCCATGTTCGATGATCCACCTTGGATGTGGGTTATGTTTTGGTGGATTGAGGTATGTCAGGTATCATGTAAAGTAGCTAATCAGCTGTGGGATGTAACAATTTTAATGTTGCCTTGGGCCTGAAATGTTTTGAATCATCATGCCAAGACACTTTGCACGAGCAGCTGCTGCTAATGCCTTGGACTCTGTAGGATCTTTTCCTTCTGATCGCGCCTTCTTTGAGGCACCCGAGTATACCTGGGCTTGAAAAGTATGGAACACATAATGCCAAGAAAGAAATATACTTAAGCCAAGTTGCGCTATGCAACTTTCTTTTCAGAAGAACTTCCTTGTCCTCTTCCTTCTCGCCATTCTTCTTGCCCTTGCCTTTCTTCACGAGGTTCTGGTCTTTCTTGCTCTTCATGTCCTTGCCTTTCTTCACGAGGTTCTGGTCTTTCTTGCTCTTCATGTCTTTGCCTTTCTTCACGAGGTTCTGGTCTTCCTTTCTCTTCTTGTCAACTTTCGTGTCCTTCTCTTCTTCCGCCTTGTCTTTCTTCGCAGCTCTCTTTGGTGTGGCCTTTGGCACCATGGTTCGGTCTTCCTTGTCCTTCTCTTCCTTCTTCTCTTCCTTGTTGTCTTTCTTCATTTTCTTCACAGTTCCCTTTGGTGCGTGCTTCTTTGCATCTGTGTCCTCCTCATTGCCTTTGAGCGCTTTGTCGCCTGCCTTGCTGTCTTCATTGGTGTCACTTCTTGCGCTTGCTGCACGGCCAACCTTGGCCGTTGGCTTTGGATCTGCCTTGGGCAACTTTGAGACCTGAGCATCCTTCTTGGTGATGCCTTCCTTCTCAGGCTTGGATTCCGAAGGAGGTTTGCCACTGCCTGCAGAGCTGGACTCCGCCTTTGCTTCTTTGGATCCTCCATGGGCTTCTTTGTTTTTTTTTTGTCTCTTCTTTGGCTTCTCATTGTCAATCTCAGGGCTGCACTGCTCCACTTCGGTGTGAACCTTCCTTTTTTTGACATCGACCTGGGAGATCTTGACAGCAGCACCAGCCTTTTCTTTGCTGGTAGCTGTGGCTTTCAGAATAGGACCACGGAGCTTTTTGACATGGCGTGCTGGCTTTTGGGAACCCATGTCATCAACCATGGTGAGTTCATCATTTTTTCATCCTTGTCGACATCGGGGATCACCATCAATTCCACCGGTTCAGTCTCATCCAGTGCTTCAGCAAAGGAGCGAGTCATGTTGTCAAGACGCCCATGAGGTTCAGGTGTATGCTCCACTGTGCTCTTCATAGGTTGAGGTGTCTCCAATCCCGCAGCATGGGGGTTTGCCAAAGGTCGGGCACACTGCAATAAAGTATCAGCGTGCGCCATGAGCTTCTGCGTGTCAGCAGCTTCTGCAAGTTCTTCTGCTTCCGAAGTTTTGATCATGGAATCCATTTTTCTGAGTTTTTTCTCCATGCTCCTGATGGTGTCCTTCACATCCTTGTACTCTTGCATGTCAGTGCCATGCACGCTGGGAGACAGAATAATCGTTTCCTGTAAACAGTTGATCCCATTTGACCCTGGATTCCTTTCACCCCGTAATAAGATATTGATTTTTGGTTTTGATATTCAAAGTTGCAATTGTGAGAAGACAGGATGTGAATTTTTAACCCAGCCTGAGAGTCCATAGTCTCAGTGTAGTGAACCAACTTAGTCTTATCACCAGTCTCGATATCCGATTTGTCCATGACACCAGTGCTGCCATCCACCTCAGTAATTAATGATCATGGTAGTGCAACATGATGATTTTTTTTTTGGGTTCTTGCTGTTTGCAATAGTTTGCACTGAATTGCCAATCTGAGGACTGGCTATTGATGTTCCGAGCTGCTTCATCTGGGAGAATTTGTGGCACTTCGGCATCCAGGCCCGCTTCAATCTCTGTGGCCTCAATTGGTATGTGGTGCATGGATCAAACAATCAAACGATCAAACAATCTGATATACTCTGATTTGTTTTAACCAAGTGGCAGCAATGCTCGGGCTGGCTGGCTCCGATGCATTCCAAACAATTGGCCAATACGCAGGGTCTTGATGAATAGTTGGATCACCAAGCTGGTTGTCAGGTTCATCAAAGAAAGTGGCATTCTGCCTTCGAAAATCTTTGGACTCACCATTCCTTAGATGTGCATTTTGCCAACTTCAACATGATATAATGAAATATATTCGATGCACTGGTCAACTATAATTTATGATGATCAGACAAGGTAAACTATAATTTATGATACAAGAGTGACATAAAACCAAGCTATCAAAGTTGATTAAAAGCAACATGTATATGTTAAGACTAGGCACGAAGAAGTTGCCATACCAGGTTCGGCAAGATGTTCCATAGCCAGAGAAGCTGACGCATCATCAGTGTTCTCAATGAGATACTCAAAGGGAAGCCGCTCCTGTCAAATTCACAGTGAGGAAATGATAAAGACCAGTCAATGTTTTTTGGCTAGCCAAGGTGTTGGATGATGATTGCAAACATGTGCAAACACTGTTCATTGGTTAAACATTTCTTTGGCAGTAGCGCAAGTCCTTTGTCTTTCTTCGGTTGCCAGCTGGCTTCTTGGTCGCAGACTTGGCACTGGCAGGTCTCTTCTTTGGGTTTTTCCCATCCACTTTGCTTTCTTTCCTGGCACCTCCGCCTGGACCATCCTCTTCACCATCACCTTCATCAGAATCAAGGATAGGCTCCTGAGAGTCTTCCACGGGATCATCTTCCTCTTCTTCATCCTCTGCTTTCTTCTTTGATTTCCTTTTTGGTTCCTTCTTGGTTTTCTTGTCCTTGCTGTCTTTCTTCTTGTCCTTCCCTTTGGTCTCTTTCTTAGTCTGTGTGGTATCTTTTTGGGCATCATCATCAGAACGCTTCTCTGATGAATCAGACGCAGTGACCCTCGGGGGCAGAGCGTCAGTAGCTTCATCGCCACAACCACCCCGACCTGGAACCAGGAAATGTATATACCAACTGCCATGAAATGATTTTGCAATGAAATGTGAAACATGAAACCACAATAGATTGCTTCCAAAAGTCTTGAGCTGGCAGGTCCACTGCGAGCTGATGTTGGCGGTGTTGCTCGGCTTGCTGGCACCGGGGATGTCATCTGGGAACGGCCACTTTCTTCTGACATGACCCTGGCAAGGTTGAATGCCTCAGTTTTGTTGTTCAGATTTATTTTCAATGTGATAAAACAAATACCTAACTTCCACCTCATAGGACACGAACAATCAAACTGACAAAGTGTAATCTCTTTTGGGGGAAAGTGCGAGTTGGTGGTTTGTTATGGAGTTAAGCTTAAATCCGAGAGACTGGCATGCGCACAGAACATCTGAGTGGGACCTCTCTCACATCATCGGAGTCTGACTCCACAGATGGACGGTTCCGAGCCATGGTCTCCTTTTGAGTACCTACTCACAAAATAACCCCTTTTCTTTTTGAGACAGAAATCAATCACGCAGCAACCATGTGACCATGTGTGTGTGTGGCACTGCAACAAAAGGTTTAAAAACATTTTGTTCCCATCATTATGTGTACAAGCTTTTGTTTCACCACTGACTGATTCTTGCAGTTCATAGAGTTGGGGCTATTTGTTTTCAACTCTTCTCGCACGATGTTCCACACCACTGTAAGTGATGACATGTTTCCAGGAAAAGTCCACGATCTAAATACTCCATTGAATCCATTGTGGATTGTTGGCACCCAGGCTCATCGAGGATGCCAAGAGATCTCTAAGGATCTAATCTAGCACATGAAAACCCAACAGAATACATAGCTGCATCCCTGCAACTCCGCCTCCAAGCATTCCAAAAAAATAATCCTTTTGAGAATGATCAATTTGGATTTGGGATTTCAAAAAACACCTGCGGAGCCACAAGGCTAAGCGACTATGTATCTTTCGCGATGCACTGGGGATGAACTGCAATTGACCTGCGTTCATTTCAAAGTCTCTTGTCCGCAAAAGCTGGGCAACAGGTAAAACTGTAAAAAAGTTTAAACATGTTGATTGCTGCTCAACCCCAGTACCCCCAGACCAAAATTTGACCAGCTGTGGGGTGAACAGGGCTCCATTGTTGAACAACTTGAAGTGTTGAGTTGTATGGGTTAATTCATTTGTTAAGCCACTACCATCAGATCATCATCAGATTGAATGGTACTAATTATTGTTCTCAACCTTTTCATGGCCATGTTCCCAGCAAGTCGACATCATCTACCATGCTGTTTCACTTTCAAAGGAGGCTAACATTTTGAGCCTCTACCTCAAGCATTCCGGAAAGAATTGCAATGGGGCGTACCGGCATCAATAGTTTTGATCCATCCGCCTGATTGTCAAGTCGACAACGCCATGCCACCTTGAGTAGGCTGCTACCTTTCACTTTGGGCACTGACACATTGGAACCAAAGTTCTTCATGGTAACTCCTGCCACAGACTCATCTTTGTTCGCCTTTTTTCTTTTCTTCTTCGTAGGCTCTTCATTCAGCTCATCAAGCACGAAGACCAAATCTTTTGTGGATGTGATGGAATTCTCGGACTTCTTCAAGGAATGATGCGAAATACGGAGTTTCACCTCAAATCAAGGGCAGAAATTGGTTGATTGTAGATCAAGTGATTTTTTTTAGTAATTGCCATGTTCAGTCATAAATCATGTCATACTATTTGGTGGATTTAAGTACTTACACAGTATAACAATAAAACCAGGGGGCTTCACCAGCATCCTCCAGCTCTCGCAACACACTGTCCACTGCAGTGGGCACATCGAGGCAATCAAGTGTTGCCAAGTGCTCTGGCGCCGTCTTCTTCTCCAAGACAATGAGCGACTTGGCGTCCAGCCGGAAAGAGAACCATTTGGCATCAGCATCTGCTGTGACCTCTTTGGCATCCTGAGACATATGAATGCCAGTTTCTCTAAGTGAATGGTTGGTTTGATGCTATTTTCAAGATGTTCCTGAAACTAGTTGATCACGTATTGCTTGACTGTAGTTCCATCTTAGTTGCAACATTTCAAATGAAGCATATTAAAACAGACCACTGAATCAGTTACCAAGATGCTGTTCCATCCCTCCATTCGCCCGATCCAAAGGAAAACCTTGGAGCATGCTTATTGTTGTCACTGAAAACTTGTTAGTTGCAGTGTCTGTGATATGTTTGTCAGCCAAGCAGCAACTCACGATTTGCAAAAAATTGATTTTTGGCAGTGGAGCACAAGTAGAGGCAGCAGCCGCCATCCCCTCCAGCCACCAAATCGCAAGTATTGTTGATAGTCAGCCGCTTCCTGAAGATGCACACATGCAACACCCATTTAAATCTATTGCATTGGAATGATTTTTGATGTTTTCTCTATTCGTTGAAGCCTCATGTAATGATGTTGGTTTGTGGCTTTCACCCCTGATTGGTTTATAAGCATTTATGGGACAACTACCAAACAAATGCCTATAATAAAAAACATGTGGAAACCAACTAGGAAATTAAAACAATAACCAATTGTCACCAAAGGCACTGGTTTTGCAAAGCCGTGACCTGTTCATTGGTCGCAACCTGTGATGCTTCCACCTTGATCTTTTTGGCTGTCTCCGCTTCTGCTTCAGGCTGCGCAATCCTGCATCAATATTCGCTGGTCAACAAGGACAAGTTTGTGATTTGATTCTTGGCCAAAATAGTTTCCAGGATGTATTTGGAACTACAGCAACTAACTAGTAAGCTGTACCGAGCAGTTCTGGATATTTCTGGGCACAAATTAAATGCAATGACTCGAATCTAGCAATTTAGCACTCCTGTCTTCCAGAAGCATCTCTCCACCAATGTTGTAGATGGAGTTGTGGTTCTCGATCATCTCCAAAGCTTTGTCCTTCAGACTTTCTGTTGCAAGCCACTTCGAAGCCATGGACTCCAAAATCTTGAGCTTGTCATGTTGTTGAATGCACACTTTGAAGCCATCTGAATTTGTAGGGGCCACGGAGCCTTCACGAAGTGCTGCAATGGTGGGTCCAAAATCAGGAAAGTTCGGAAGCTGTATGGACTTCAAGCGGCAAGCTTCATAGATCTTGTTCGACAGTCGGTTCACCAACTCATCGCCAGACTGGCCAAGGACCATGGAGGCGCAAATGGTTGGCCTTGAGTCTTGGATTTCCTGGAGGTTATGACGCAAATTTCTTGCGCGGCTTTCCCATCAAACAAGTTACACAATTTAGTCTGGAGTCTGGTGATGGTTATATTCCTGTTTGACTTAAACATCCAAGTTTGAATGAAGGGTGCTGTGGATGGCTATTTCCCCCGATGATATCTGATTACGGGCAATGTGCTTATGTTTCATAAACAATCTCTTTGTTTTGCATGGCACGGCTTTGGAAAAAATGGCAAACCCAGTGACCTCCAGGGCTGCCAGAGCAGGGAATCCATCATAAGCATGCAAATCGATCAATGCAGTTGCCTTTGAAGATGCAATGCAAAATGCACTCATGGTCTTCTTCACAATGTCCGTACCTCCAGCTACCTGTTCAACAGTGATGGGAGATGAAGAACAAACCAAAGAAGACAATCAACCAAAGTTCAAAGCTAGTTGCAGCATGTAACAACTACAATCTACAAGCCGCATCTTGTCATGTACTGAATAAGCCAGACCACTTTATACTCAACCCTAAGGACCTGCTTCAATTCTTGGACGTCTGTGAAGGCACGCCCAAGATGTGGCAGTGGCACACCTTGTCGCTGGGGGCTGGCCTGAGAGTTGGACAGTGGACCAAAGAATGGACCTAATCTGAACCCCAAGGCCATCCATTGTTTATTGTTTATTGTTACAAAGAATGGACCAAAGAATAGAGTGGACCAAAGTCAAACAATAAACAATTATACCATCAAGGGGAATCAATGTAAACAAATTTATCACTCATGCTTTTGCTTGGATTGGGTGATCACATGCACAACATGCATCCACCAACTCGTGCTGGTCATGTATGGTTGATGGTGCTCAACGACATGCATTACTCAACTACATCACAGATAAATTATATATCAACAACATGGTGGTTGATGACAACCGGGCCAAGAAACAGAGTCCGGCTTCCACATCTGTTGTCTCGGGAGCATGCTTACACCATGCACTGTGCCCTGCTTCCATCCACGGGATTGCTTCATCAGGTTGTGCTTGTCAGCGCCAGAGACAACTGCCAAACCTGTCAGCACACCATCTCGTTTGCCATAGATGGAAGCCTTGGCTGCATTGGTGGCAAACAACATGTTTAGACACCATCTCATGGTGACCGCATGTTTTTGGATGTTTTCGGTACCACAGCACTGCAGCAGTGTTTGAACCATGTTTTCAATTTACAATTGATGCTTTAGTGAGTGCATGATATCCATTGAAAGCTGAGTTTTGTTCATACGAATTCCCAAAGATAGCTGCTAGCTAAAAATAAGTATTGCATACAAGTAGCTTGGTCCCAGATCCATGTCAGGCTTCGAATCCTCAAGTTTCGATCTTTCAGCCGCAAGTCTTTCCTGAGCAGGGATGAAGAGGGTTTGGTTGATACCCACTGAGAATGTGAACTACCCAAGCTTTCTTTAGAGTCATGTAATTCTTACTTATATATATATATATATCATTGCCAACATAATGATATCCTTCCCTTTGGTGTCTATGCATCATCATTGGCAAACCTGATCCATGAAGGATTTCAATGTTCCACGCTACTAGTTTGAAAGTATGTCTATTGGTGATGATTTTTAATTAATCATGTTTATTGGTGATGATGTTTAATCTATTCCATGGTGGTTGAGTAAGTCTCATCATCAATCCAAGATCATGTTTGTTAAAATGCCAAGGCTCTCAAGGTTGTAAATGACATCCCGCACATCAGCTTCTTCCCCAGCAATTCCACTTTTGCTCTTCCCTTCACCTTCAGACTCGTTGCCACTGTCTTCATCTTTTGTTTCGGGCTTCACCTCGCCATCAGGAATGACCTTTTGGTCTTCTGGCTCATCCTTTTCCCTCTTGCGGGTGGCAGATTTCCTGGAGAGGCATGGGCTGGATCGAGTCGAGTGAATCAAAGTTTGGGAACATGATTTTGGAACAAACAAAGCTGGTTTGAAGATGATACCAATGATAGTTTTGGGCGAGTTAGGATTGCAATTACTTGTCATCATAGGCTCATACTTATCAAAGATATTCAAAAGATTCAAAAGTAAAGCTTGTGATTTGATTAAGTGTTTTGACCCAACCAGTCCGTTTGTCCAAAGAGGCTGCCCGGTTGGGATGAAGGATCACTGCAACACTGTTCTTTGGGAAGTCCGCCAAGAGGTTGCATATGCATGTCAAGAAGTAGTCATACTTCTCACTGCTGATGATACCAACCACTGGACAATTCAACCAGATGAAGATTGAGTGGTCATCTGCACTGAGGCAATTCATCTCTTCCAAGCTTGTTTTCACCCAAAGTTTCGTGTTGGGAAGCAGTGCCGATTCAGCATGTTCCAGCTTCGATGGGAAAATGCGCAGGTTGTCATTGATGTAGTCAACGACTACCCGCCAGGCTCGGGCGTGGCTCTCCTCTGAAGGGATTCATGGTCCCATTAGAAGATCCCAATTAATAAACAGCATCTATTGATTCAGAGGTGGTTTTGTTCAAACTTAGGGGTTCCAGGCTAAACTTTTGTCTAACCCATGTCCTCGAGCTGCTTGACCAGCTTTGCTCTCTTTTTGGCATGCTCCTTTTCATTCCTGAGGGAAATCACAACCCCCTGTGTTTGCAAAAGAAGTTGAACATTACCAGATGGATGAAAATAGTCATGTGTTTCCAGATGCCCCCAACACAAGACGGTTTGTGGTTGTAACTTCAGTTCCACTTTTCGGTGATTGCTCAAGAATGCAAAATTCAACAATCAACGCTTTGAACTCCACCAATTTTCATTTTAGATCTAATATGTGATAGCATGTTGATAATGGCAGGTAGTTTAACACAGATTTACCACAGCCTTGCTTGCAAGCCAAAAGTCAAGATTTTCTCTGCTTCGAATTTTGTTTGGTCAGATTTGAGATCTTCCATCCATGCAGCAAAGGCAGCATGTAGTGACTTTTCATGGGCATTTTTTGCCTTGTCCTGACTTTCGCTGATGTACTGCTCCAAATGCTGACCACGAATCTGCAGGGATCAGGTGAAAAATAAGTTTGTGATCCAACAGTTCAAATGATATTATGGAATTACTGGTTGTTTCTTATTTGCATGCTATTCAACATCATAAATCTTCAAGACAAATTTAAATACTTTTCCATCAAATACTAACAACATGACCTAAGTCTTAAACCATAAGGCCTCCAAAACAAAGTTGATCCTCTCCCAGTTGAAGTCTTCACCGGCACGCATCACTGCGCCAAGGTCTCCATCCAGAAGCCTGCAAGGACGAAGGCTGGAGAATGGCAAGAAAACCAAAAAAAATGAAAATAATATAAAACCTGAAAAAACCAATCACTTTTGAGGGATAAATTTTCAACATAAATTATGACGGTTTATTTTAAAAACCAATGATAAAACCTAGGGATTCGAGGTATCCAATGATTCCCCCGAGTTCAAATCCAAGGTTCCGAGTTTCAAGGGTTCATCGTGGCTATTTACTCAAATCATTGGTTTTTAGAATAACCCATGGTATTTAACAACAAGATATTTGCTCTTGAAAATGATTGTATTTCTGGGATTTTTTGAAATATTGCTGGGGCAACCCAATGAACCAGCCAAAGCAAAACCTTAGATTGTGATGGGTTTTTTTAGAACCCATGATAAATATCAGCCCTTAGCCAAATATTTTTGGCGACCCTTGATTCGTTGACACAGCCAGCCAAATATTTTTGGCGACCCATGATTCCTTGACACATCCAGCCAAATATTTTTGGCGACCCACGATCCATTAACCCATCCAGCCAAATCTATTTGGCTATTCAGTACAAGTCCAACATATGATTTTTGTTATATTTTGTTTATTCATATCTTTTCTAGGCAAGGAACCCCTTGTGGAAGAGTCGATCATGCTTCTCCACAATTTCACTGGGATAGTTTTTCTCCAGCCGTGGCACCAACCACTGCCACAGGCAGCAGATATCGAAAAGGTGATGGTGCTGCTCGTCTGAGAGCTGAGCTGCTTTCTGCAGGGGGGTTCAAACATATGAATCCTGTCTACACAAACCTTACAACTTACTGTAACTTAAACCATTGTTTTCAATCCAGATCAGTCCTTCACTTTCAACGAAGCTTCAGGGCTGGCATGTCGTGCAAAGTCCTGGTGAAACTTATTGGTTTTGAGGGCAGAAGTCCACTTTGAAATAAACCCACTCTAGATGTTCATAAGGAAATCCAATATTTTTTGACTTGAAGTTGAAGCTTCAAAAAAATAATGCAATGTCCTCTGTTGCCCGCTCTGCGTACAGAATTGCTGTGCGATCTGTGGTCGCAAGGATCTCGCCAAAGAGCTGATTGCCATGCACGTGTGGACTCTCCGACCGGGCAGTGGAGCCTGGGACCCAGAAGTCCTGTGCCAACACTTCTAGAGGTAGTCCTGGCCATGTGCACAGGTAAGGCATATGGTAAGGCCCAGTTGATAACAGTTGAACACCCCCTCTCCACTTTCTTGTTGAATTGTAATTATTGCACTACCTTGCCTGATTGCTGATGCGGGTAGAGGTCATAGTGGCGGTGAACCAAAGCCAAGAATTCTTGTGGGCTTCGAAGCCTGAGTCCAAAGCGAATCTCAACTAATTAAGCACTTTTGATATCATGCTGTGTATCTCATTGTTACACAATAAGTATTATCTACTTGGGCAAGCTGCACTGGAAAATGCCAAGAACAAAAGAAAAGCTTGCAATAATAAGACCATGCTTAGGCACAAGTTGAGCAGCAAGGCTTTGCGATTTCCATCTATTCTGTGTTTCTTTATCGTTGTGAGCCTGTTGTACTCCGCACATACTTTGTTGAGAAGATCGCGAACTGAAGCTTTGCTTTTTCCCATGCGTCGCTCCACATTGATTGCAGCCTGAATGTCTGCAAACATACTGATCGGGCTTGGTGCCTGCTTTTCAGCTGTGATGTAGCCAAGTTCTTAGTTGCAGATTCCAATCAACGGCAACAAAGCTGAACTTGTTTGAACTTGTTTTTGGGAAACACGACAGAAACTAATCCAAAAGAAAGCCCAAAAAAATGTGTTCAACAAGATTGGGAATCACGACAGAAACTAATCCAAAAGAAAGCCAAAAAAATGTGTTCAACAAGATTGGGAAACACGACAGAAACTAACCCAAAAGAAAACCAAACAAAATGTGTTCAACAAGATACTGAGCGAGTGCAAGAAGTGCATGGAAGGATTTGAAAAATGTTCATAGCAGCATCTGACATACCTGAAGCTTGCCAGCACATGTTCCATCTCTTTGCATTCTTCTTTTGACACCTCCAATTCGCCCAGAAATGACACCACCAGGGGCATTATCAACAGTTTTGTGAACCCGTCATTCACTCCAACTGAGAATTCCTCCAGTGTTCGCGATCCATCAGCATATGGGAATTTGCAAACAATGGCATCGCTCGAGCTTCGGTACCCAAACGTGCAGAACTCCTTGAAGAAGCACATCACTTGATTGTTGTTTGGGAAATCTGGCAGGGTTGAAGGGGACATGGCCAAATTAATTTCAAAAAATACTTCCAACTAACATGAAACTGCCACAAAACATGTCAACAATTTATAAGTCACAAGTCTAAGTCCCAAGGAACATCCATTCTTTCCGGCAGCACTGTAGTCGAAGAAGCGCAAGGGCATCCAAAACTCAGTCATGCTAGATGTGGGCACAGCTTGGAGCACATTCTTTTGGCTTGGGTACGGGTCTGGAAAGCTCTCAACGTAGTACTGCAAAGCCTTGTTTGATGTAGAGTCATTCAACCAAATTACTTTTAAGCATTGATGTGCTCAATAAAGAAAAAATGTCATATGGTACAGTAAAACCACATAATAAAATAAAACCAAATATGTCCAAGAAACCTTCTTCATCTGTGCCCGGCCATGGAAGGCTGTATTCAAATGTTCTCCAAGGTTCTTGGTTTCTGCAACCTGTTTGAGTCCAGTTTCCCAAAACAAAATAAACCAACTATCCTCAAAACAAAATTAAACCAACAACTTAGAAACACTTACTGTAGGTAACAATGCAGGAAACTGTCTCCAGGTAGGTGCACAGTTTGGACACCAGGCCAGGTCCAGTTTTGGGTTGAGGACTTTCATCCATAGCGACCACAGGAAAGTGCAGCAGCACAGTGGTTTATGCAAACAAAAATTGCACATCAAACAACATATGATGACTCGGAGCCACTTCAAAGCCTGATTTGCGTTTTAATTTACTTTGAGGCAATACTTGTAACAAACAAGACTCGACATCATAAGTATCCCAAGGCAATTGGTCAAGGTCGCTTTGGGCCAAAATGTTTTAGCCATTGAGTCAATGAGTTAATGACTCATTGATTGGATGACCATGAAACAAAACTCAGAAACCTTCCAACTTGATGTTGATTTTTCTCTGAACTCTGCGACCCCAAATCGAAATCTGCTACACTGACCAGTCTAGGTTCAGTCTCGACCCCTGGCCCTGTGGAAAGTCACTTTCAGGGCATGTGGCTTTGGCCTTGGGTGCTGTTCACCCAGATTGAATTTGCACCAACGAGCATTTGATCTGTCAACCTGCCCCAAGAACTTGATGCGGGGATAGGGTTCAACCTTTGGATTCTCCACCAGAAGAGTCTTGTAGTATGTCACAGCACGCCCCATGTGGGGAAAGTCTTCAGCAATCTCAGTGGCCATGTGCCGCAGCTCCTCAATGCGCTCTGGGCTCAGAAATGGATCAACAGCTGGTGCCCGGTTTGCCATCCTGATGAAGTAATCCGATTCCAACTTCAAAGCATTGGGCAGGACCAGCAGTGGGTCCTGGCTCAAAAAGCCATCTGACATAAACTGCTTCACAAGGCAAAACACGTCCCGATCAGATGGGCCATCCCCATGCAAGCGACGTGGGAGGCGCTCTTCAGTCTCAATCTCTTCACCAGGCGGAAATCCTCCAGCAAGAAATCAGACAAATCATAACTGTAACTCTGTAAACTTTGATGAACAACAAACACCAAAAAAATATACACACATTGATTTGACAGGATAGTGTAAACACGGGACACTTTTGCACAACATGCCCAGCCTTCTCTGCACATGAATGTGAAGGATTGTGGTACTTTCATCTGTTCATCTGGTGATTTGGTTTTGTCCTTGCGATCTCTGTAGGCATTCCAAAGTGTGACCGAAGGTGGTAGGATACTCACCCAATCGCGTACCTTGGATGTTGTTGTGAAAATAAGGGAAAGAAACAAACTGATTGAACATCAACCACTTGAACAAACCAAAGACAACCACATAGACAACCCTGAGCAAAATGATACTGGCTAGGAGAAAGGAACTTGCTCCACCCAAAATGTCTTGAAGACCATGTTCTGCTGCTGGTACAGAGGGCCAAGCTTGAGCTCTATGGCTCTCATCATGTCGCGTGGTGTCAGCAACACCTGGGTGCTGTCCAATGCTCTCTTGATCAATGACAGCACTGCATCCACATCCTCGTGCGTGTGGCCAACTGGAAGATGGCTGTGGTTGCAAGTTTGGAATGTTTGGGATTGAATGAGAGCTGTAAGGAGTCGCCCACAATTTCCATTGCGGATTTCCTAGGTTTGTCATCTTGCACAGGCACCAACCAGTAGGCTTTGGGGGGTTCTTTGGGAGAAAAACAACAAACAAAACAAATCAAATCAATTGCTATCTTTGGACCAAGGTACCTTTACTGTATTGTCAGCTTGAAGATGGAGCCTAAAACAGCTGTGACACTACCCTTGGAGAAAACTTACAAGAAATTAACTTATGGTCAAAACTTAACTGAATCATGCCTAGGTGCTCATATGGAAATGGTTCTGCCAACTCTGCAGCCCGGGCATACACCTCATCCATTGATCTCATCACCTGGACGATTAAACATGACCATTACCATGGCCAGTGCAAATGGAAACAAAAACCACATTACCCAAACAGGATGCACTGAAATGCTTTCAAGACACACACTCCCAATTCCAGTTTGATCCCTCGGTCAATGCTTCATTCGACAGGTATATGAAGCAGCCCCAGCCATGACAAATGACACAGGTGAGCGTCAAATAGATTCCTCACAGTTTGTTTGAAACATTCCAGCCAACTTGAAAACAACTAAACAGGTTTACCCAAATCAATGTGTCCTGAAAGGTTTCACTCACAGCCGAGATTCTTCTTGTCTCTTCATAAAGCGATTTCTTTGGAACCCTGTTGAATGGCCATCTCGGGAGAGACAGCTTGCTCTTGTCATAGCTGTCTATTATTACACATAATAGACCTTCGTGAGATCTGCTGAATTCGCGACTCACCCAGTAGCATTCTCTGTCCCGAAACTGTTGTGTGTAGTGTTGCAGCAGCCTGTCACAGGCTACTGCATGTGTCTTGAAGTCCTGGTTGGTCTCAAACTTCAAGGGTATAAAATGGTATAAAAAAGGAAGCTATAAAGCAGCAACAACAGTAAACCACATGAAATCAATTATGTTTTCCAAAAAAAAGTGTATTCCCATATTCCTTGAGACTCAATCAAACCAAAACTAAGTCTAAAGCCAAACCAAGTTGCAGGGGCTTCGTGAATCCTTGTTTTGAGTTCACTGCATGTCTTGCAGATGGAGTGCGTCGATTTCTTGTGGAAGCGCAAGCAGCATTTCCACTCCTTGAAGGTGTTGTAGAAAGTCGATCGACAAGTGGCTTCTTCGGATTTCGCTTTGCACCAAGCAATGTATAAAAGGTATAGGTTTGCAACATTCCCATGAGGGAGCTCACGGATGGGAAGCTGCATTGGATCAAAGTGATCTGAGATCTGCTTGATTGGTCCTCAAGCTTTGATTGGTGATCCCAAATTGGTGATGCAGGACAGGAATTTAACTGCGAAAGGTATGCAAAGAAACTCTAACATAACATGTTTGGATGTAAACCCAGCATTTATTGAAAAATATGCTGAAGCAAATCACAAGGTGACCCATGAGTGACTGAGAGACCAGTCTGTTCATCAACTTGGTACGCAGTTCTTCATCTGAAGTGTTCAGCATAGATTCAGCACCAATCCTCAGAATTGAATGGAGCTGCTGTGAAGATATGATGATATTATTTGATAACATTTGATACAAGGAATTCATTTGACATCAAGTTCTACCAAGTTTCTTTGTGGCCATTGACTCTGCCGATGTCCAGTACAAATGTATCAGGAAAGCCTTCACGCTGGCAGTTTGCATTGCAGGTCTCTTGGCCAATCCTCAGCACAATTTGACAATGCACCAGGCGGGCTGAGATGTGTATGCACAGTGGCTGGCAAAACAGTTGTGGGATGATTTATCATATCTTTGGATAATCCAACAATGTAACTGGATAATAGTGAAAGATCATGCCGAGATTCCACATTTGAGCGACCTTTCATCTTGACCACGGCATCGTTTTCTGGTGCGCCGCAAGCGATTTTTCCCTATACCCAGCAATCTCAACCAAGCCTCGCGACACACGCTATGGCCTCCCAAGGTTCATGGCAATTTATAATATCAGTCTCCTTTCAAAATAATCGGAGTTTGGTATGGGTTGGCTTATGATTTATTTTCAAGGTATAATGATATCCAGCCTTCAATGTGATAGTATCGCTTTCTGCGGTCATGGCCACCACACTGTAATGACCATAAGATGGCATCTTGTGCCGACTTGGCCAATGACCAAAATGCAATGCACACCTTCAGCATCAATCCAAAAGGGACTGAGCATTGACAGTCACAGGTTGGTGATGAAACGGCTTTCTTCACCCGCACTTTGCACATGCCATTTTTTGAATAGGTCGAAGCAAGCTGCGATCTCGTAGCCAACCCATGGAAAGATTCAATTCCAGCCAAGGTAAGGCTAACATTCAATGGTTCATTTGCCATCTCACCATCGTCATCATCATTGTCAGAATCACTCGAGGAATGGGATGAGCTGCTATTCCTTGTTGATAAGCGCCAAAAAAAACTAGGTGTTGTTTGGTAGTCTTGGCCCAAAAGACAAAACAAAACATAATTTTGGGCATGTCCAAGATACCCAGATTCATTTTCAGATGAGCTTGTCTCAGAACCGCCTTCTGAAGTTTCATCATAGCGCCAAACTGGGCTAGGTTTGGCCGTGTTGCTCTCTTCATCCGAGTCCCACCGGTGGAGGACAGGCATTGTCGAGTGACAGGGTGCAAGAATGTGCAGTGTTTCTGTCCATAATGGCATTGGCCTAATCTATTATTTATTTCCAACTTCCAACATGGTTCTTATCTTGGTGATATCACAGTCACTATGCAAAAATACCAGAATCAGGTGACGCGTATTTTTTGGGTTGTCACAGTATGATTTCACTGCCTGATGGAAAATCAGATATGATTTGATGAGTTGTAGGTATTGTTATGTTTTTGATGATGGTTCCCTGTGTCTTCAGATATTCAAACTCATTTCCTGGCCTGATAAATTTATGCAGCTGAGGAAATGCAGCGAGGTGTCATGTTGGTTGACATCAAACAAAGTAGCTAAATGCACTCCAGTAGCTCAGCTCAGCTCAACCGCATTTTTGTTGCATGCCAACCCATCATCCACGCAAGTAACGCGACATCAAACTTGGATCCACAGATCTCATGATGATGATGATCACCACAGCTGCCGCCCGAACTGCTATTGAATTTCCTCCAAGTTTTGCCATTTCCTTGGATGTTGTGATAATGAACACAACAAGTCATGAAGTGTTATAAAACATTATGGCACACAAACTAGATATAGAAGCAGCCATTAAACATCAGCTTAGGAACACTCTGAGAACAGCATTTTGTTGTCATTCGATGTAGTGGAACCCCCATCAAGAGGCAAAATTCCGATCCTCAGCTCCAGCCGCAGGACTACAATGATGTTTGCTGAGCAAATTCGAAGCCAAGCAACCAGTCAAGTAGCGCTTGAAATCATAGATCAAGTAGCGGCCAGCTGGCCTTGGAATGCAAAGTATATATACCTGCAATATGTTGAATTTAAGTTGTGAAATTGTGTGAAAATTTGAGGCAACCACGTGAGACAGCATAGTGGCGTCTTGTGTCCATAGATTGGATTCATTCGATGAATGGCTTGGCTCGTGTTGATGGCTTCAAATTTGCCATTCCGCCAGAGGATCAAATCCAGGGCCTGCAAAAGGCAAATTGAACCAAAGCATCACCAACTTTATTGAAATCTTAGTGAACCACCTGCTCCTCTCGTTTTGTAGCCACCACTTCAGCAGCTCGAGGCAATTTCTCTTGCAAGGTTCCCGAAGCCAATCTCATCTCAGTGCACCAAGATATATGGCCAATAGTTTTCCTTTATATGGACTTGACAGAATGTATTATGATTGGGAAGCCTGAACAAAAACCAAGAGGCTGGAACATCGTGTTGCTCTGACCATTTTCTGTGATCCTGGACCCATTTTGGCTTTGATCCGCCACGAATCCTCAGCGTGAACAGGCTTGAAAATGTACATAGCCAGGGGAATAGGGAAAATCCCAGGAAGGATGTTATATGGTCAACAAATGAAAAATGAACTATAGCAGTGTTAGTGCAAAATAGTACCACCAAGAAACGATTTCCTTGTCATGTTTTTGTTTCGAAGCTGTTTTCTCCCTTCTCTGTCTTCTCGAACAACAGGCGACTCATCCGCATAGAGAAGATCTTTCCTGGCAGTTCACTCGAACATGCAACCAAAATGCAGCCATCATGCTGTTTGCAAAGGCTGAGGTCAAGATGTGCCAAGTTTCCAATGGATGTCACCTTCCATTTCCAGTTGTGTCCTGATCCTTTCACAGAAGCCTTGAAAGTCTTGCTTGGCATCCTCCAACAAGATTTCCCGGATGCACATGATGATGAATACACGTCTTCTTGTGATAGGAGCTCCATGGTGCAGCCTCAGGTATGTTACCATCAACTGGTTCATTGACAAACTCATTGTAATGGGGATGGTCATTTTTTGTTTTATGTCTCACTAATCAATCCCAAGATACGGATCTATGATCATCCAGGTCACCTCATACCTGAGTTCAGTGTTGAAAGAACTAGAAGATAAAAAAGAAAAAAAACATGTTGGATGTCTTAGCATGCAAGAGTGGCACATCTTCACTCCTGCAAAGTTCAGGTCAATTCAGGCAAGGAGCTCCGGCATGGAGGTCTTGATGAAATCCAGAACGGTGTGAATTACCCGCACAAAACCGAGCACATTCTCCAACATGCATGTCTCAGTGAGGCTCAAGATTGTACAAAAGTGGGGCACCACACCAAAATAGTAAAGGTCACCCCCAAGAACTAACATGAACTAACAATATATGATCCAAGGGGCAGCAGGTCGACTGTCACCGATATTGTTCAAACATCTCCACATTTGTTCACTGTTCTTGTCATTCAACATCTCAGAGTGGGAGTGCAAGAGGCTGTAGGGCTGGCATGGAAAGCCTGCAGTATAGAGGGCTATCTTCTTGAAGAAGGCGGTGAGGGTTTGCTCCATCACATTATGGCCATTCCTCAACTTCCACACAGAAAAATGATAGAGATAATTGGCTTCCTCAAAAAAACATCTCATGATCTCATGGTGCATTCTAGACACTGCGTTGGTCTGGGTAGATTGTTTCTGGCAAATCGCCGTGCAGCTCTGTTGATTTCTGACCGAGACCTAAGTCGATCTAAGTGGAACATATGATCAAAGTTGATCAAACTGATATATATCTTTTCACCACCAACTCGCATGCTACCCTATTAAAGACCAGGTGCACATAGTTCACCGTCGGATTCTTAGGCGAAGCCCGTGCCAGCATCATGACAGCCATTAATGGGGTGTCCATACCGGAGCCTTGCACCATCAACAGTGCAAGCCAATAGCAAACTATATTTCAGTCATAAACAGGTTGTACATGGTGGATTGAAGTCTGATGATGAGAATCCCAGGCACAATCTGAGGCATATGTGAATTCCCCCTTGAAGAAGCGCCAAAACTCTTGAACTCCTTAGCATGTTGCAGTGCCGGTGATTAATGCATTGTCACTTGCCAGAGCTCTGTCACTAGCCAAGCATCGCCCTTTCGAAGAAAAAAGATTGCCAATCTCCAGATAAGCCTGTTGCTCTGCGGAGAGGTCCTGGCAGGATAAAGAAAAATGTTTGGTTTCCAGATTTCCACATTAAGTTTTGCCCCCCATGCCTCAGTTACAAAGTCAGTGATAGAACCATCACTTTCTCCAATATCTTCATCATCCATGGAGGAAGGATCCTCCTCTCCATCACTACTATCAGAGACACGCCATTTTGGCATGTTTGCAGGCCCTAAGAAACACCTTAAGAGCCTGAGCAGCTACAGATTTTGCCGGCCAATGTTGGAGACCCACTCTCCAAATGTAAGAGATCCAGTTGCCAATGGACTGGCATATATATATATATGTATATCCACACTTCTAAAGGTGGGGTGGTTTTCATCCTCTTGCTTCAAAAAACCACGCAATGTCCATTGACAGTGACTTTCTCGTTGCAACATACATGAGATCATGAGGCCATCAAGACGACATTGTGCAGCCACTGGCTTTTGAATGTGCTCGGTTGAAGATGGTGAACGTAAACCCCGCTGTTTGAATGGGAGGATACCACAAAAAAAGTATTACATGAAATGACTATTGGAGGAGTACTCCCTAATTAATAAACAATGGTTTATTAATCCGGGATTGACATTAGTCAAGGATATTGCCATGCACCATGCCCTGAAGCCTCCACCACCAGGCTCACTTGGCCACCTTCCACCATTTCAATTTATGGTGCGGGTGATGTTGCAGTGTCCGAGCCAGCTTACAAAGATCTCCACAGTTACAAAGGTGGGATGATCTGCCAAGAAAAAAGGGATACTGGCGATTGGCTTCGGGGATTTTTTTGCCTTTCTTTGGTCTAGGTCATCTCATGTTTCCAATTTTCCACGAAAAATCCAGCCGAGCAGTAAACCCACATCTTGCACCAAGCAATTGGGTGCAAGTCTTCGTCCCACCTATCAGTCAATGTTCTAAAAAGGGGGGAATGGATCTACCCTCTGTCATTTATAGCTGATTTACCCATCAAAAATGGTGATATTCCATAGTTATGTTAGTTTACCAGAGGGTCATATGGATCCAACCTATTCAAAACTCCAAACGACTCGCAGAAAAATCAATGAATTTATAAAAGAGACTCCGACCAATGTGGTCTCATCTGGTCTCCTTGAAAGCCCAAGTGATTTATACCCCAACGTCCAACTTTGTTCATAAAATCCCAATAATTATCCGATGAAACTCAAAAAAAAATGAACAATAACTCTCAGAACAATTCATATGAAAACCCCATAATGAGATCCCCAGAACTCCAGTTGTCCAACAAAACATCCATGGTGTTTTCCCCGATAAAAACTCCCAATTTTCCAACAAACAACTCCTAATGGGGTTTTCTAACTTCCCATAGAAATGGATTACCCTCTGGTAAACTAAAAGTTTGCTATTGAAAATGCCCATTGAAATAGTTGATTTACCCATCAAAAATGGTGATTGTCCACAGTTATGTAAACGTTAACCAGAGGGTAGCCCATAGAATATCCCCTTAAACATCCCATAACTGGTTGGTGGTTTCAACCCCTCTGAAAAATATGAGTTCGTCAGTTGGGATGATGAATTTCCAATATGATGGAAAGTCATAAAATTCCAGGCTTCCAAACCACCAACCAGATATATTGTTATTCCAAGTATTAACCATTATTAACCATAGATTAACCATAGATTAACCATAGATTAACCATAGATAACCATTATTTACCATAGTAAAACCATTGTTTCATCAATGATATCACCAGTTTTACAAAAAATATTCCATAAAAATATCACATCCACTTTCCCCACGTGTCGACACGTCGTTCAACATGTAAAAACGCCAGGCGTCTGCCATCGCCGGAAGCGGCTGCTGGCGAAAACCCCAAAGAGATCCGTCTCGCCAAAGGAGAAGACCTAAGATTTTTTTTTCGAAGAGTTATGGCCCCGAAATATACAAGTTATAAGATGCTATAAAGATGTTATACCAGAAATGAGACTAGATATAAGATATAAGAATAATGCTATAACAACTAGACATAAGACCGGTTATAAGATGTTATAAAGTACTGAAATACTGAAATAACCCCATAAAAAATGACAAATTGTATAGTAACTGATAACAGTTTTAAGTACTGAAATAACCCCATAAAAAAATGGAATGTAGAATTCCATTTATACACCAGATGTTATAAAGTACTGAGTTATAACTTATAAAACCATAAAAATGGAACGTATAATAACTGATAATTTACAACTAGTTATAAGAACCCCATTTATGGAGTGTATAATCCCGTAGAAATAACCACTTGTAACTAATAGCCATGGCCATAACTGTAACGTCTCGCAAAACATAGGTAACCTGCAAACGATAGCAAACGCGCGGCTGGTTAATGCTGATCTTCCTATTTCATAAAGGAGAGACAATGATGAAAATCTACCCTAAGCCAAAGTTGAGCTAGTTAATAATGGCATAATAATGGCCTGGTACAATATTGATTTATATAAGGGGATTAATAATGGTCAATCATAGCTAACCATTTAGAAATGATGGATATTTCATTTCTTAATGATGATTTAATGGTCATTTAATGGTGATTTAATGGGATGACTTAATGGTTAATCATGGTAGGTAATTGTTTTTAATGGTATTAATTGTTAACACATCTGGTTGGTGGTGCAATAACCATCTTGAAAAATGATGGAGTTCGTAAATGGGGTTGGGATGACATCCCATATATGAAATGGAAAATAATTCATTCATGTTTGAAACCATCAAGCAGTGTATATATAATCCCGGCGTTTATCTGATAGCTCTTCGTTATTTATGTGTTTGTCTGACTGGTATTATTTTTGGTGATTCATGGTGATTAATTGTTAACAAATTATCTTTTGGGGATGCCCTTTCATAATCAAAAAAATCATTGTTTTAATGGGATGGCTGGGAAAATCATCTAGGTTTTGGGATGAAAGTCATGGGATTAAAAAACACTTGGCAGGCTGGAACATCTTAGCTTTAATGGGGTTTATCTCTGAGAAAAAGGAACCATCTAGACATCTAGAAATAAGATATGTTCCATTGCCATGTTGAATTATCAAAAGGCTTTCCAACAAATTTCTTGATATTTACCTTACATTTGTTGAATGGGATGTGTATGTATATATATATATATATACATAGATATGTTTCAAGAAACATCGTCTTATGGGACAAACGGCGAAGTATCAACTAGTATCAACCAACACCACAACGAAATGGAAATGATGGATTTCAGCAAAAACGTATAGTTATTTAGCCAACAAGAAAATGCGGATTGAACCAACATGTTGGATTTTATATATCTCGTGATACTGGTATCGTGATATACGATCAACTTGGCGATCTCGCCCCGTATTGCTATTAAATATGCTCCTGTAGGCAAACCAATTTGTAAACCTTAACATACCCATTTATTTTCTACATCAATAATCGTTGTTATATACAAATTAGAAGCGTTGACTCTAGTCTGATGCAAGAAATTTTGGATCTATGATTTGGGTCTGCTTGAAAATGGGCTACACACCAGAAACGGTCCATTTAACCATGGAACATGATATGTTCTTGTTTTTTGCGTTTTTCCCCTGGTTAAATTGTCAGACAGATCCAATGATTAAATCCCACTAAACAAATTATATACATCATATATATATATGTTTAAATATATAGATATGATCTCAATTTTTAGGACCGATAAAATTTACCCATCACCATCAACAAATTCCCCCTTTCACGGCTGCCAGAGGGCAGGCACCAAGGAGGCCCCCTTCTGCAGGGCCACCTTCACGAAGCCCTCAGCTATGCTCGAGCGAGATGGGGATGGGTGACGCCATGCCCTATACCCTCTGGTAAACTAATATAACTATGGAAAATCACCATTTTTTAATGGGTAAATCAACTATCAATAGCCATTCTCAATGGCTATGTTTGTTTACCAGAGGGTAAATACCGTGAAAAACAACGAAGGACTTGGGACTGAACTGACTGAAACATGGTGAAAAATGGTGATTGAACCATGACTTGACCATGACTATCCATGGGAAGTTCAAATTTCACTAGCACGAATGCGGATCTAAATGGATTTCACCAGCAAAAATGGCGCCTTACTGCTCCAAAACAATTAGCATTAACAGAACACAGGCATTTCACCGACCAAACTAGAGGGATATGAATAACAACCATCCTGGCCACAACTATGTGCGTCACGTATATCTTGTGGGCCAGTTTTGATGGGGGTTTCCGAAGTCACGGGGGTACCCTTAAATCATCCACTTCAATCGTGTCATAAACCACCCATGACTGGGAATGGCAACCATACCACCTATAAAAATGGTGATGACTGGGGGGGTAGCGAGCCTGGGGTACCCCCATGACTTCCTTGGAGGAAACCTCCAGCTGCTGGGCCACCATGGAGATCAGCAACCGCACAGTTAACCGCACCTTGCGATTGTCCAAGATCAAATTGTAGGAACCTGGAGCCGTCTCCAAGGACTCCCGAGCTCCTGCGGATTGCTGCGGATCGCTGCGGTGACATTTGTTGAACATCTGGCTTCAGACCTTTGATTTTTACTAGTAAAGTATTAGAGGTTCAAATCAATCATGGTACCTTCAATGTGGCCCCACCCCCAGTTATAAGTTGGTTTATAAGCCCCAGTAACTATAGTTATTTGCGTACCAGAAACCATAGTGAAATTGGAGTTATGTGCACCAACTGAATGCTATCGTGGCCGGGGGCCTCACATTGTTTGGATGTTTCTAAGGTCAAGTCTTTATTGACTTCAAAGGTTTAAACAAAAAAGACATGATCCACCAGCACCTCAAGCCATAAACCACGTCATCCACATCTCGCAATAAACCACGTCATCCACATCTCGCATGTCCCGGGTTTCAAAGCCAAGGATGGTTGGGGAATGGATTGAACTTTTGAAATTCTGGTGGCTTTACGACATCAGCTATCATCAGCTCATAGCTGGATAACTGGATAGCTGGGACCAGTCAGAAAGCCTGTTTCGGCTGAACGTTGCAGGGCCAAACTTCGCCCGGCGCGAAGTTTAGGCCACTCGATGTATGAGTACTACCTGTGGGACTAACAATAAACACCATGAAGATGGTTTACCAAAGACACCTGCATCCATAAACAAGGTTTCAAACATATTTTGTTCAAGTCATTTATTTTTTTAACTCATGTTTCTTCATATTCGGAAGCCAGGTGACCACTCTAATCCCAAGTTCCCTCCAAATCTATATATGGTTTGTCCCCCCTTGGAGGCGGTTTGAAAGTATTCACAGTGGTTTGAGCCAATTTCCCGAAAGATACTGGGCAAATGATCATTCAGGGGCTATCATGGACCACCATTAAACATGCTCATCACTAGTTGAGGTGGCAAAAATCCCCATCTTCATCATGGCCTTTCAGCAAGTTCAACCCCATAGCATCAACATCACTTCACCATGCAGGGTTTCAACAGAACCATCTTCAATTCTCAGAAAATATCTTCCAAATCCCAAAAAACCCTGGATTTTTCCCCAGACTCCGAAGTCTTCCCCCACCTTTTTGGTGACTTCGCCACCCCCCAACCCATCTCCCCCATCTCCCCCATCTCCCCGGTCCTCCGATGACGATCATCACCGAGGCGCCGGGGCCCCGCGTCAGGTTGCCGTTGATGGAGGCCTTGCTGACGCTGTTCACGCCCAAACCCAGCAGGTACTCGCGGAAGACCGGGACCCTCCACGGATCGGATTTTTGGGGCGAAAAAAATGGAGAGCGGGAGGTCATGGTTTTTGAGGAAACATGGATAGATCTATAGAATAGAAATATATAAGTAGAAATATAGAAATATATAAGAAATATATAAGATTCTATAAGTAGTAAGTGAACATTCATCATGAAGTGAACATTGCAGTTGGATGTAGTTGGACCCTGAAATTGATCCATGTAACATCATAAACTTGGGTAAGGGTAAAAAGATGGTAAGATGGTAAAAGTTCTTGAAAAAAAACAAAAAACGTATTATACCATCTTCTAATGACCACATATTGAGGTTTTCGGTCGTTGGTGTTGCCGGGAAGTGGGATCCTGGATGCTGGGATGGTGCTGGGATGGTGCTGTGCTGCAGCTGGCAGGATATGCTGAAGCCCTTGTGATCATAAGTCCCCCACATGGGATTTTCCCAAAAAATTGAGCGTCCTGTTGAAAGCCCTTTGAAAACATCTCTTTATTGGTTGGCTGATGGTGATTAAGAATTTTTCATGGACCAATTCCCAACATATTAACATAATCCCAAAACTAGTCATCAACAAAGCATCATTGATCAGTTAATGTCCACTTATATCCCTTATTTTGATGGTAAAAACCCTATTTAATGACTACAGAAACCATGGTGAAAGTGGTGAACATCTGTCAAAGTCCCTATTTTTTTCATGGTGAATCTCCAGGTCACAAAAACCATCGATAAACCTGGCGGCTCAGGCCGGAAAATATCAGACAGCTTCGTAAAAAAAGCCCGTCCGTTTGCCGATTCAATCCCATTATCTATGGGATTTTAATGGGACTTAATGGGATTTTATGGGATTTTAATGTGACATAATTGGATTTTATGGGATCTTAATGGGATTTTAATGGGACATAATGGGATTTTATGGTATTTTAATGGGACATAATGGGATTTTAATGGAACATAATGGGATTTTATGGTATTTTAATGGGAGATAATGGGATTTTATGGGATTTTAATGGGATTCTATGGGATATATGATGGTTACCCTCTGGTAAACGTTTACATAACTATCGAAAATCACCATGTTTAATGGATTTAATGGGTAAATCAACTATAAATTGCCATTTTCGATAGCTATGTTAAAATACCAGAGTCCCGGCTTTTATCTGATATGTCTTCGTTATAATCTGTTTGTCTGACTGGTATTATATTAAAAACATTTTTTTTTTAAGAATAAACATAACACATAAGTAACACGTTCTTGAGACTTTGGTACAGACCTCAAGTATCGCTTCCTAGGCACTTGAGCCATGAACATATTCCTATCCCATGCCATCGCGCTGGTTGTTTTTTTAGCGAGATTCCAGTAAGAAATCATGAACATCCATCATAATTTATGTTAGTAAAACAATGTCATAAACCAGCCATATATCATTCATATGATGGTTTCTAAATGTTTATAACACCCATAAAATAGTGTTAGTAATCCACTAATTTATGTTAGTAAAAAATATCATATATGTATATATATATATATATATATGATGGTTTATATGGGTGTTATAAACATTTATGGGTGTTATAAACCATCATATAACACCCATAAAACTCTTAAACTTGGACCATTGGAGATGGAGGATCCTCGCATCGACGATCCGGCGCCTGAAGTTTTGCTCCAGGGTGAGCAGTCGCAGATCAATCCCCGGGAAGAGTTCGCTGAATCCGGTGGCCTCCCCGTCCATTTGTTTAAAGATAAACAGTTAGGGATGTAGTTAAACTCTGGTAAATAGTGGTTTAACTATGGTTTATGGTAGATAAAACTAGGATATACCATCTGGTAAACTAACATAGCTATTGAAAATGGCCATAGAAACAGTGGATTTACCCATTGAAAATTGGTGGATTTTCCATAACAATAATAATAATATAATAATAAATAATAGCAATAATAGAATTAATACTGGTTGGTGGTTTTAACCATCTTGAAAAATATGAAAGTCAATGGGGTGGATTATCCCATATATTATGGAAAATAAAAATGTTCCAAACCATCAACCAGAAGATGTGTTAGGGATGTAGGTTAGTCAAATCACATGGGATATAGTTGGGGATATAGCCACAGATGTTAGTGATGTAGTTCGGGATATATATATATATATATATATATATATATGGGATGTAGCTAGTCAAATCATATCGTTGAGATTTGACGTGACGATTTCTGGAAGAATTCACCGATTATCGTATAGGTCTCTGGCAGGAGATATCAGGATGTTTTTTGTTGGACGGGGTTAGTCAACTTATATACCTGGGGGGGGCAGTAGTGGGGGATGCCCTTTGTGAAATTTTGTGAACCGGCGGCAGCACGTGATCAACAATCAATGTGGTTGATTGTTAGATATTTCTAGCCATCAGTCAGCCACCTCAAATTTTTTAAATTGAGATATTCATTTTCAGATAACACTCAGATATATTATATATGATATTTTAATATATTTTAAGCATCCGAAAATCATGAGACAGCCAAGGGGATCGTTGTAGTCTTCGCAAGTAAAAAATTTGGGTGCCCAGGGTGCCCAGGGTGCCCAGGGTGCCCAGGGTGCCCATCCCCGATGGTTGACCTGTCTAACCCAAACCATGGCTGGTTGGTGGTGCAATAAGCATCTTGAAAACTATAAGTTCGTCAATGGGAAGGATGACATCCCATATATATATATATTATGGAAAAGAAATGTTTGAAAGCACCCACCAACCAGATGGGTTTTCCCGTTAATCATCAAGTTTGGATGATTGTGAGGGCCTCCATTTTAATTTTGCCAGGTGCCATCAGGTGCTCATATGGTAACTGTAGGCTTCCAGCAAGTGGAGAAAATCAGAAAAAACACAATAATTAGCTGGTGCCAGGCTACAAGGTCTCCGATTCAGCTTCTTGGTTCCAGAGGTGTTTTTTTGCATGTGTTGATGACTTCGAGGGTTGGGTCTGCGGGGCACGCTTCAGGTATTTGTATCTAGAGTTTGGTTGGTTCCACCTCTATCCGCTATCCTTTGAGCCAGCCATTAGCCTTAGCCCTGTAGGTTGCCAACCTACAGCCCAAACATGCTCTCATTGGCCGCGACCCATCATTTAAACCACTTCTAAGCCCTTGGCAACTTACAGCCTCGGGCTTGCAATCGCAGTCCCAAAGTCACCCTCGTTGCTCCACAGCCCACCCTTGAAACCACTTCTAAGCCCTGTAGGTTGCCAACCTACACTGTCGGTTGCCAACCTACACCTCCAAACTCACCCTCGTTTGTTCCAGCCTACGAATAATTTTGTTCTTAGCCTTGCAAGTTTCTGTAGATTGCTGGTGTACCTGCAACCTTATGACCAAGATGTACTGAAGTCTTGATCTCATTTGAATCTTGGAGAAAGACTAGCTTGGCATTCTTGTTTGGCTCCTGAAGGAGCAGGCACCCTTCAAGCCTGGAAAAAATACAGTCAATAATGGATGATTGCGCAATAAAACACAATGATCAGTTCAGCAAGACTAAAACTGCAAATTTCTGGTCAATTAATAACATGTCATTAATCACATGTCAATCCATGTGAACTCGTTTGTTAATGACACTGTATAATTGTGTTAATCCATGTTAATGATATTATATAATTGTTTTAATCCATGTTTTGATCCATTACTTATGTATTGGTTATAAAAACTGTATGGATCAATATCAATTAGTTAATCAATCACACAAAATTCCATGTCATCAATTGTGTCATGAAAACAAACTCTATTTTTTTTATCCATGGATTGATCCCTGGAATCCATTAGTTGAATGGTTACCCGGCCTGGTAAACTAACAGTTTGCGAACTTGAAAATGGCCATAGAAATAGTGAGTTTTACCATGAAAAATGGGTGGGTTTTCCAGTTCGCTATGTTAAATTACCAGAGGGTAATCATCAATGAATCAAAACCCTGTTGAACATTCCATGTTTGGATGGACGCCTCCGTGGCGAAATTGCAGCAAGCTCCCATGCTGATGACCTGGGATTTGGAGCTGATGACTTGGTCGGGCTCAGGAATCCTTTCTGAGTTGATGGACTTTAGGATTCATGGTAGATATAACTATATAAAGTCCATTAACATTAAATATATTAAGTCCAGTAACAAACAACTATTGGTAACTATAACATGATATAACTTTATATAATCAATGTGGTGTATAGACTTACTTGTGACTGGGGCCCACTTTGTACTTTTAAGGATACACTGACAGATTCATGCATTGAACAGGATTTTGTCTGAAAGCGGGTTATACCCGCAACATGGCAATCTTTACGCATCCATAAGGACAAGACGGTTTTCATCCATGTGTTTTATTTCGGGATTGGATTCAAGGGAACTTCAATACGATCCTGTCATGTCCCACTTGCAAGTCCCCACTGCGTCCCCAAAGAAAAGAACAAAAATCGATGCTCCATCAACAACAATAGTTTACCATCAATTTGATAAAACCGATCATATTGGATAATCTATACTCCATCAATAATGAGCATCAATAATAGTTTGTCATCAATAATGAATCAATGCTCCATCTGTCATCCTTCATCTGTCATCCCGAATGGATAATCATAAATATGCATCATCATTCATCATCAATACTCAAAAAGAAATATAATCCCTATGAAAATAATCAATCAGTAATGATCGCTATATGTATAATCAATAGTTCATTCTCATTCATCATTCAAAGGTAATGTGGGTAAAACACTAATAAACCATCCCCCAGCCATCACCATTTTTATACGTGGTATAAACATGTATGGTTACCATTCCCGCATGGGTGGTTTATGACATTGTTTTACCCACATTATATAATTATCATATTATCATATTTCATACCATATATTATATATTAATCACCATTAAAAACCATTTCTCACTATTCCATTATACATATTACATATTTAATACCATATTATCATATTATATCATATTAATCCCCATTGATCACCATTTTTTAGATCACCTATAAGACATGAAAATCCCCATATATAATCCCTATACCGTCCTCGGGAGTCCTCGTTCGCGCCGAGCATCTCCATGGGGATGATATCCGAAGATGTAGTTCCGCTTGGGGTCCAGTTTGGCCGTACGTGTCAGTGACATGGGAAAATAGGCCTTGGTGACTTGGCGACTTGGCGCCGGAATTGTCGAATTGTTCGAACTTGAAAAGGACGCTGACTGTTGGGATGGTGGAAGTTCAATGACTAATGAATTTGATGCTTACGAATGGACCCTAGCACTGTGATTGTATGTAACTATGTCTCATTTGGGGGGGATCCCCAAATCGATGCAAGACAGGATTTTCCCTAAAATGACCGCAACTTTCCCGATTGTTGGACAAACCCGAATGGCTGTGGTAAATGGGTTTGTCCGAACATAGGCTACTGCAAAGTTTGATGATCAACCCTCATCATCTTTCCATATGTTTCGCATATCAAAATTGCCCTTTCCCATATAATGGACATACATCACAGGGAAGCGTCGTATTTTCTGGGACCGATGTTTTTTTCACACATCGCATGTAGCCAGGATTCAAGGTGAGGCCCCCAGTGATGTTTGTGGGTTAACCCCATCGAAGCTAAGATTTTTCAACACAGTTACTTAAGTCTAGTTCGTTCCACTTCAACGTCGCAAATATTGGTGAAATAAGATTTTTTTTTCTCAGCCAACATCCAGCTAAGGTGATGCTTAAAGTCATCACATTTTCCAAGGACTGAGCCCTAGAATCCCACAATATCTGAATCATATGTAACCAATGATATACAATGTTGAGGAGACCTAAGTGGAGTTTCATAGTTTCATTGTGTATATACACCATACTAAAAAAACAATTATATAGTTGGAGCACGGCCTTTATCTGGCCGTGCGTTTTCGTGCACATTGGGGGGTGGGGTGGGGTGGGGTGGGGTGGGGCATGTGTTAACATTCATGTGAACTTGCTAGGTAAGTGGACTCGTCTCTGTGTGTGCCGTTATGTGCGTAGACATGGGTGGGGTGGGGTGGGGTGGGGCATGTGTTAACGTTCATGTGAACTTGCTAGGTAAGTGGACTCGTCTCTGTGTGTGCGTTATGTGCGTGTAGACATGGGTGGGGGTGGGGTGGGGCATGTGTTAACGTTCATGTGAACTTGCTAGGTAAGTGGACTCGTCTCTGTGTGTGCCGTTATGTGCGTGTAGACATGGGTGGGGTGGGGTGGGGTGGGGCATGTGTTAACGTTCATGTGAACTTGCTAGGTAAGTGGACTCGTCTCTGTGTGTGCCGTTATGTGCGTGTAGACATGGCAGGCTGTGCCAACTTCATCAATACATAACATGTGGAATTACAAAAAAATGCGTTTTCGCCTAGGCGAAATACTTGTTTTTTCATTTTATGCACCAGAATAAGGGGGTTTCTTGTCTTTGAACTCACATCAAAACAATACAGGTCGAATTAGTTGGGGAGTTCTGAGAAACATCAAAAATGATAGTTTCGCCTAGGCGAAACGCTCGATTGTGATTTTATGCACCAGAATCAGGGTTTTTCGCCTTTGAAATCACATCAGCCAAAATCCTATTGGCACGACCACATCAAACATCATCCATGACACCCCGTTGATCACAAAAACACCACGGCCAGATAAAGGCCGTGTTCCAAGTTACATAACACGATGGTTTCAGACATCTATCATCTTTCCTTGTATCATATTATAATATAATCTCACATATTATATAATTATATACTGTTATAATTTTGAATATGATATATATATATATACACATATCATATACATATTACTTAATTCTAAAGAACATATCTTGATAATTCGAAGTGTGTATATATATATATGGAAAATCCACCCATGCTATTCATGGGAAAAATCCACTATTTCTATGGCAATTTTCCCCAGTCGACGCATCGAGGCACCGCGAAGTGCTTCCAGAAGTTGCGGCGTCGGAAGGTGGGCATAAAGCGACCACCTGCAACGATAAAGGAGCCGCCAAAGACGAAGGGTGCAAAAAGCCAGCAGAAACCATCAAAACACCCTCTGGTAATTTGACATTTTATAGGATTTTATGGGATTTTAATGGGATTTAATGGGATTTTATGGTATTTTAATTTGACATACTGGGATTTTATGGTATTTTAATGGGATTTTCCATGGGATATATGATGGTTACCCGGCCTGGTAATTTGTAACATAACGAACTGGAAAATCCACCCATGTTCCATGGGAAAATTCAGGATTTCAATGGTGATGTTCCATAGTTATGTGAGTCATTACCAGAGGGTAATGTTGTTGAATAAGTTAACATCATCAAGAACCATGAACATCTATACGTTGTAGTACAATCAATGGAAATTTCAGGAGCCAAAAATAGAGGTACGTACCATTTTTCAGGCCATGTTTTGTGCGAATATTCACTGACATGTGGGCCTTACATAGGCCTTTCATATGGTAGGTATATAATTACCTCCAATTTAGGTTCCTGAAGTGGCCATTGAAACATGGTGGTATAATGGGAAAACATAGGGGTATATACATATATATATAATGGATATATTCAAAATTATTCAATGATTCATCGTAATCCCCTCCCCCGATAATATTAAATACCATAGGTTAGCAAAGCTAAGGAGCTATGGGCATTCATATTCCCAATATTTCCCAATCAAACATCGGGAGCGAGCTGGAGATCAGATTTGAGCTTTCTACTAACCAGTAGTTAATCCATGTTAATCCCATCCCCCTGATATATCCTGATATTACATACCTCGGGGCACCTCATGAATAGACCCAGCACATTCCACCAGGGTAGCATGGGAAGACATACCTGACATATGAAATATATTGACATACCTGACATACCCATCATTCTTAGCCAAACCCCAAAAACACACCTTGCCAGCAAGCATCCGCAAGCTGGCATCCTTGCCAATCTTCAACGCACTGCATTTGTTTTCAGCTGGTTGGTAAATATTCCATCTGGCTATCAAAAGAGTGTGTTGAACTAAAGTGATCTAAAGTGCCCATACAAGGTTTACCCAGTAGTGGTGAAATGGTGACGGTGGTGGAGTTTAGCACCTGGCAGTCAACCTCTAGCATCGCTCGCCATGATTCATTTATTTATTCATCCACAAGGTTTTAAGCGTATTGTGGGGTGAACACCACCCACTGCCATAAACCTGGTCAGATTTTCATGAAACATATCCCCACTATTCCCCAGAAACATATCTGGGTGATAGAAATAGTGATTTAACTATGGTTTATAATAGATAAAACTATACTGGTTGGTGGTTGAGCCCGACCCCTCTGAAACATGATGGACTTCATGAATTGGGATCATGACATTCCCAATATGATGGGAAAGTCATAAAATTCCATGGTTCCAAACCACCAACCAGCAATGTTTGGATGAATTACCCTCTGGTAAACTAACATAACTGTGGAAAATCACCATTTTAATGGGTAAATCCACTATAAAATTCCATGGTTCCAAACTAACCAGTGAAACATAGCCCTATAGCCCTAGGATTCCACGGAAACATCTCTGGGTGATGGTTCCATGTCCTGTCTCCAGATCATCTTCCTGGTAGAGAAGAAGGGCCAAACACCACACCAGCACGGAGATGCATACACAGTGAGCAAAGTTATGTAATTCTGTTGATAGCTCCACAACGGACCATGCTGTATTCATCTGTATTCCAGGGCTGTGAAACGCAAAGCGTTTCGGGTTTCACCAGGCATCGCAACGCGATGGCGGCGAGGTCTTCAGAGATGATCTACTCTCCTGCTGAAAAGTTGATCGGAGCCGAGCCTTGCCATCGTTAGACTGGGTCCCTGGCTGCCAAGTCGTCACCATGAATCCCATAGATCTTGAACTCCGTGCGACACAGCTAAAACCACTTGAAGCTGATGATTTTTTGTGCATCGTGGCTTCCCATGCCAGGATCCTACATGCTCCAAGGGTCGTCATTTGAGGCCGTGGTAATGCCATCAACGATCCCAGTAACCACAAATGGGGATCATTATAATTTCATCCCAGATAAAGTGGTTTATATCCGCAATCAATTCCAACAACAAAACCTGGCGTTTTGGGTATTGGGTTCGCCATTATTTGTGCTTTCAACCTGCACATGGCTCCGGCTTAGCAAATGGAGCCCTACCCTAACCTCTGGTAATTTAACATAGCTATTGAAAATGGTCATTTATAGTGGATTTACCAATGAAAAATGGTGATTTTCCACAGTTATGTAAACGTTTACCAGAGGGTAACCTTCCCATGGGCGAAAGGGAAGTCATCGCGACAATCGTTTGGTGAAACGTCCATCGTCCATCCCATGGACTGACCATCATGGAATGACCATCATGGAATGACCATCATGGACTGACCATCAATTTCCCAAAGAATCATCCTGGACCCTAATGAAAAAATGCTTAAAAAATAGTGGTTTAACTGTTTAACTATGGTTTATAATAGATAAAACTATACTGGTTGGTGGTTGAGCCCGACCCCTCTGAAACATGATGGACTTCATGAATTGGGATCATGACATTCCCAATATGATGGGAAAGTCATAAAATTCCATGGTTCCAAACCACCAACCAGCAATGTTTGGATGAATTACCCTCTGGTAAACTAACATAACTGTGGAAAATCACCATTTTTAATGGGTAAGTCCACTATAAATGGCCATTTTCAATAGCTATGTTAAATTACCAAAGGGTATATACAATTTTGATGGTTGATCTATCGATGGGCATGAAAAATTGGGTATCGCCATTTTGAGACGTTGACAATTCCCCACTGCTGAAGGTCTCCCTGTTAAATTTCGCAATTACCTGCCGTAAGGATGCAATAAGTTGTTTTGACCTACTTTTGAACGTTGGAATTTAAGAAGTTGTTGGGACATATGGGGCGTGGGTACCAACAATTTATTTCATGCTTCAACAAAGACAATGTCCCTTGAAGAAGCACAAAACTCGCATACGTCGTTGCAAGATGATGGACGGCCCAAAAATGCAACGCACAATTGTAAGAAACAATGAAAACTGATACTGATACTATACGTCATACCCGAACCCAGAATGGACCCGACACCAGTAACATTTTTTGGGCCCTGCATGTCAAAAAAATGGGTTTTGCTGTGATGCAGCCAAGGCTGTCAAATAGAATTTAAACGTGTATGAGTGAGTAGCCAAAATTCAAATGGTTACTTTTAGACGAAATCGGCTCACAATCCGATCATTCCTGCAATGCATGTGCGTGTGTTGTCAGATCCCACTGACGTTTTCAGAGAGGCCGACTGAAAGAAACAAAAAACATGAGCCAATTGCTGGGACTTCTCTACCCTGAGTCTCCGAAACTAGTAAATTTACTTTTTGCCTAAATTTAATGTAAATGAACAATTTACTTGGTACCAAGTAAATTTTTGAGAAAATATTTTTTAAAGTAAATTTTTGGCCAACATAGAAACAGCATAGAAACCGCATAGAAACAACATACAAACTGCATGTGATGGTTTTTATTTGTGGAAGAAATTTATGGAAAAAACATCACACTTCACTACAAAGAAGCATTTTTTTATGGTAGAGTTCATTTCTGTTGTTGAAAGCTGGTGTTAGGAATAAGGTAAAATATGAAAAAATGAAAGTTTTGTATTGCAGAAGCTGTTTTTCCAACACATGGAATTTGTTTAACCTGATCTCATGCAAATGTCAATTGTGGGATTGCAATGTTTCTTGTAACCTGCAAAGTTTCAACTTCTCAAGTACATGATAATATAATGATCATGAAAGCTAAAAGTAGGTTACTTTCTTTGTTTCTCACAAGTAATGAACCCAACTTGGAAAGCCGTAATTTCTGCTTTGCCTGTGGTGAAACTATTCAAGTTTATCCTTTGTACTGCATCCACATTAAACGGCGCTCCTTCCAAGCAGCTTTCATTGAAGCCTACCAGTGTTTGCTGCCATGCAAGCAAGACTTCCAAAGGATCTGTGCACGACGCATAGTGGACTCTCCTTCGTAACACCATATCAGGAAAGGGTGTATACAGTTGGAAAATTGCAAACTGTGCCATGCGAAATGAGTTTTGCTTGTGACATTAAAAAAATCACATCAGTTGCCTCAAAGTGTTCATTGAGTTGCTTGTGGAGCTGGGCCATTGAAAGCCCTCCTTGGAATGCTTTGGTGTATTTTGGTTCTGGAAGTGCTGTGTGGCCATAGGTAGGCGAGAATGTTTCCAAAATGTCTTTGAGCTCCAAATTCAATTTCAAAAATAGACGAATGCGTAGGTGGTGCTGATCACCTTGATCCATGTAGTGTGACCAAAGATCAAACATGCAATGGGCTAGTCCAGCAATGTCACTGGCTCTGCCACGAAGTTTGGGGTAGCCTTTCTTGGGCTGGAACATTGTCAACTTGTCCAGTTTCATGCGATAGGGGTGCTTTGCTTGGTTTCTCTTCTGGTGTTGTCAAATAAAGACAAAGATCTCTTGGAGGTTGTCCATTTCGTCTCCAGGGAGGATGATGAACACCAAGAGATGCAGCAAGAAACCATAAGTAGGTCTCAAGTAACTTCTCATGTATTGCAGCAACAGCTCAAAAGGTGAAATCAGTGTGTCATATGAATTTGGATTCCCAGGTAAGTCTCAGGTAACACATCAGACCTTGCTGTTCGTGTTTTCCAGCTGTAGATGAAGGCAAGTCAAACTGCACAGCACTATTGTGCAATCAGAGATTTTATTTTGATCTGAATACATGTATGGGTTATCTTTGGATCATTTTCTGATGAAATGTTGATGTTTCCTGGATGAAAAATGTTGTTTGTTATGAAAAAATGATATGCAGTTTGTACGCAGTTTGTACGCAGTTTGTATGCAGTTTATATGCAGTTTATATGCAGTTTTGAAACTACATACAGTTTTGGTAAAACTACATACACTTTTGTCAAAACCGTATGTAGTTTTAAAACTGCATATAAACTGCATATAAATTGCATATAGTTTTTTGCAATTTTTTGGACAAAATTATAAGTTTTCTGATGAGAACTGGTTTATCTTTGACCTTACATGTGAAGATACTTCATGGGAATGTGGTTCAATTGACTCCCCAAGTAAGCCAGCAGTGCCATCCCTCTAAACCTTCTCAAGTGTTGCAACTCCCAAGGCTGAGTTAACTGCAATCCTCAAAATCTTCACATGTAAGTTCTCAAGTAATGCAGCTTCTAAAGTGCAACTTGACTGAAACAATCAAATGATCCAATAGTAAGTTCACAAGTAATGCAACTTCAAAGACTGAGTTCGCTGGAATGTTCAAAACCATGACAAGTGAGTTCTAAAGTAATGCTGCATCTCCACATGATGACTCCAATGGGATCTTCAAAACCTTCACAAGTAAGTTTCAAATAGTGCAACAAAACACGAGAGAAAATCATGTTTTGGAATCATTGTATCACAAGTAAATTCTGAAGTAATGCAACTCCACATGAAACATGTCACAGGTAAAATCTCAAGTAAAGCAGCCTTTTTTCACAGCGCGCACTCTGCCAATATAGCCTTGAAAAGTTTCTGAATTAAAGGCATCCATTGCTTACCAGTAAAACAAATTCACAAGTAAAGCTGCCAAGCCCAAAACATGCTATAAAGCGCTATGTGTAATGACTTTCATGTCAAGCAGCAGGATCTCAAGTAAATACATAAAGACAATAGATATGTTGCTGCCAGCTTTCTATGCCCAGAGCTTGTTCAACAAAGGCAAGTCAAAATTCATCTAGTCAGTGTGGCAATGCAAAATCATGTTGCCACCTCCACAGTGAATTGCCTCTGAATGAAATGTTTGTCAGGGATTCCCTTGGCAGTGCTCAAACAGGAGAAGAAAAACATCCAGACATTGATGATCAGCATCCAAACTTTGTCCACCTAGTACATTCCAAGAAGGTTGCTTTTTTTTTTTAACCTGTGGTAATTTTGAATGCATGCCATATGCATTCTTCTTTCAATAAAATGAAACAAAGCATATTACAACCCTTCCAAAAGAAAACAGACCGGGTAATAACAAGTCCAACACTTGAAGATAAGAGGTCCAAAAATGGAATGCAACAATTCCAACAATATTCCAGAACCAAAATCATATGTTTTTAAGTAAAGCCAACCAAAAAAGAAAAGAACAAATACAAAAACATGTGCATTTCAAGGCAATTTGTCTTGCAATACTTCTCAGAAATTAAACAAAAAACATCAAAAACTATGCATTTTTTCAACCAAAAAAATGTCCAAAAAAATTACTTACCAAGTAGATTTAATTTACTTACCAAGTAAATTTAATTTACTTACCAAGTAAATTTAATTTACTTACCAAGTAAATTTAATTTACTTACCAAGTAAATTAATTTACTTACCAAGTAAATTTACATTTACTAGGGAAATTTAAGTAAATTTTCGTGTAAATAGCTAAATTTAAGTAAAATGTGTGGTTAGTAAATTTACTACTTTCGGAGACTCAGGGTACAACCCACCAAAACATGTTTTTTTTCACAAGTCAGAAGTTCGTCAAGTTCGTCTGAGGTTCGTCAAGTTCGTCAAAAGTTCGCCAAGTTCGTCAAAAGTTCGTCAGAAGTTCGTCAAGTTCATCAGAAGTTCGTCAAGTTCGTCAGAAGTTCAAGTTCGTCAAGTTCGTCAGATCTCATTTTTTAACAACAAAATGAGTTGTTTTGCCACCCAAAATCCAAAATAATAAGCTGTTTTGCCCACCAAAATTTTAAAAAATAAGTTGTTTTGACTCCCAATTAGGACCCCCACCCAGGCCTCCGACAAATTTGACGAACTTCTGACGAACTTGACGAGCTTTTGACGAACTTCTGACGAACTTGACGAACTTCTGACGAACTTGACGAACTTCTGACGAACTTCTGATGAACTTGACGAACTTCTGACGAACTTGACGAACTTCTGACGAACTTGACGAACTTCTGACGAACTTTTGACGAACTTCTGACCAACTTGACGAACTTCTGACGAATTTCTGACGAACTTTTGACGAACTTGACGAACCTCTGAGACCCCAAGAGGAACTTGATGATTTTTAAGAAACTTCAGAAGACCTCTTCATAAATAGAATTGATTACTCATCTGCCAAAATGTTTACACTACTGGAGGTATGCTGTGAAAGAAAGCTGTTGATTTGCGAAAAGTGGCATAAGTAGATCAAATTCGGACAAAAGTTGCAAAGATTTGGGAATTATTTATACACTCTTCTGACCATGCATCTGTACAGAAAAGATAAGCAGTCTCGTACTCCACACTCCGAGACAGTAGACCACATGAAGCCCAAACGAAAAATACTCCAGAATGCTCCAGAGTTAAATTTCGAGTCACATGATGTGGTAGCTGCAGTAACCTTGTCAAGAAACCATTTTTCTGGCCTTCTAATTGGTGCTATGCCTTTCCTGAGCCATAAGGCCTGAATAAGTTGTTTACCCGTTTCCAATGCCCTATTTTCATTGCACCTGGATGCATAGAATGTGTCGACAACTTATTTTGATTCTCAAGCTTTGAGCAGGCCCACCCACCCTATTTGCGAAATTTAATAGGTCTCCCATCCACTTTCAGGATTTTCCACTTGCTCTATGGAACATCCCCAGTAGTACGAGGTGGGCCCCAAAACATGATGTTTGTTGTTGGTAGAAACCAATCTACTATCATCTAAATACTTAAAACATAAAATACGAGTACGACGCGCTACGGTTTAGTTATACATCATCAAGCCTGGTTGACTCAGCAAAGTAGGGGCTACTTTTTCACTTTGCTAATTGCAAAACTATACCCCCCCCCAAAAAAAAAACATCATATCTCATCATATTACTCCATCATATAAATCTAATTGGTGGTATTCCTACCCCCCTGAAAAATGATTGAGTTCGTCAGATTGGATCATCCCAACTATTGGCGAAAATAAAAAAACATGTTTCCAAACCACCAACCAGCATGGTCAACCATAGTTGTGGAATTAACCATTGGTGATCCCCACTGACAAATATCATATTATACAATCCATTCTATTCTACACCATTCACCTATACATACCTAGCTAGGTAGCTGGCCACTGGTGGATCGTGCGGATCGTAGTCTGACTTAAGGTGTTCCACCCTGCGCAAACTACCACCGACAGCTTCCCTTCCTCCATCTCTGTCTCCAACATAGCATCCTGCGCAATGCGCTCCATGATCTGCCTAGTCTGCTACCTTGAAAATGTAGTTTTTTCCCCCCTCTCTTTCCGTACAATTCCCAGCCATCAATTTCGCAGCCGTAGCTGTTGATGGTCTTTTGCCCTTCTGCAATCTGGAAATGGTCCCTGAGCGCTCCCAGTTCGTCGTAACCTTCTTGAGCTACGGAATCTCGACCGGGAATGACACAGATTTGAACGGGAGAGGAAAGAGAGCAGCCACCAAGCTGCTCTTGGACAAACTGCCACTGGCACACCAATTGCTGAGCCTGGTTGACTCAGCAAAGTAGGGGCTACTTTTTCACTTTGCTAATTCCAAAACTATACCCCCCCCCAAAAAAAAAACATCATATCTCATCATATTAATCCATCATATTAATCTAATTGGTGGTATACCTACCCCCCTGAAAAATGATTGAGTTCGTCAGATTGGATCATCCCAACTATTGGCGAAAATAAAAAAACATGTTTCCAAACCACCAACCAGCATGGTCAACCATAGTTGTGGAATTAACCGTTGGTGATCCCCACTGACAAATATCATATTATACAATCCATTCTATTCTACACCATTCACCTATACATACCTAGCTAGGTAGCTGGCCACTGGTGGATCGTGCGGATCGTGCACCTCGAAGGTGGGCTCTGTCGAAGAGCATGTACCACGAGACGTAGATGGCCAGCAAGCTCCGGCCCACGGCTCCTGGCGTTGCGCTGGGATTTCGTTGGATAAGATTTCATGGGAAGACCAACATGAAAACCAACTAATATAGTAACTATAAGACTATAAGAACTGGTTGGTGGTTGACCTACCCCTCTGAAAAATATGACTTCGTCAGTTGGGATGATGACATTCCCAATATATGGAAAAATATAATTCATGTTCCCAACCACCAACCAAATAATATAATTAACCATAGCTAAGTTGCAGTAACTCCAATTTCACTAGGTCACTCGGTTTTTTAACGACTATGAATCATGGGGATGATAAACCAACCAACAGGGGCCCCGTAAATTGATGGGTAAGCTGGGCAACAAAAATTGATAGGCAAACTTCATTTGGATATTTATGGTGGATATATACATATATATATGTGTGTATATATATATATCAATATGCATATATATATATCTATCTATCAATATGCATATATATATATCATATTGATATGTTGATGGTTTTAGAAACGGAGAACGGAGAACGGTCTTTTTCAGGTGCAGTTAAGGCCTTTGACCAGTTATAAGTCAGTAAGTCATTCCATTTATGGAATATTTTTCAGATTTACAACATCTTAAAACCAACAAAATCACCATAACAATAACTGGTTTCTAGGTCTTTAACTCCGGGGATGGAATGATTGGAATGGCTGCAGTTGAATCACCATGACTGGCCACCACGGATACCGCCTCCACGTCTGAGACACCAAATGGGTAGCACGCCAGCACTCAGAATCTCAGAGCGGATGGGCTCCATCCCATCACAAAAAATCGCCACAGATTGCATAATTCTGGGTAAATTATCATATTTCACTGACCTGAAATGTTGGGCCATTTGGGGATGATTTCCCTTAACCATGATTCCAGAGTTCGGGAGAACAGTGAGGTCGTGATGAAATTAACCCAAATAATTCCAATCTACATCAATCATTGGGATTATGGGTTGGAATTATGCCATATCATTCCCCATCTTTGGATCATCGCGTACTATAATTCCAATAATAGATCAATGGCCATTTCAGGAACCGATTCATTGGAGGTACCTACCATATATAAGGCCTATATAAGGCCTATGTAAGGGAATATCCCCACAAAATATGCCCTTATATGGTACAGTACCCACATTTTAGGATCCTGAAATTCCCATTGAATAGATCCCAACATAATCTATTCCGACCTCTTCATCTTATCATGTTGGGGATATGGGTTGGATCAATTGAACATAGGCAGGCAGGACGTTCTGGATAGTGACCGCTGATGGGTGAGAAAACTCACCTGCATGTTCAACATCGAGACAAAAAAACATCCTTAACTATCCTTTCAAATAACATTGAGATCATTGAGCTGAATATCACATCAGAGTATATTATGGTTATGGATGTTTATGGTTCGATTTCCAAAATGTGGAGGTTGCCATATGGGGGTTCCATGGGTTGGTCAAACGCTCCTCGTAGGGGACGACGCACATCACAAACGGTTAACGTTTGGCTTTATGAGGGATATAATTTGATATATATATATATATAACATTATATAGCTATATGATGCTATATAGATGCATAATATATAACATTAGAGAACTATATAATGCTATATAGATCTTTATAGATCCATAATATCTCACATTAAATAACTATATAATGCTATATAGAACCATAATATATAACATTGTATAAGTATATAATGCCATTCTATATAGATCCATAATATATAACATTATATAACTATATAATGCCATTTAGATCCATAATATATAACATTATATAAGTATATAATGCCATTCTATATAGATCCATAATATATAACATTATATAAATATATAATGTTATATAGATCCATAATATATAACATTATATAAATATATAATGCTATATAGATCCATAATATATAACATTATATAACTATATAATGCTATGTAGATCCATAATATATATTACATTATATAACATTATATAACTATATAATGCTATATAGATCGATATAGATCCATAATATATCACATTATAAAACTACATAATGCTATATAGATCCATAATATTAACATTATAAATCTATATAATTCTATATATATATATAGATCCAATATTAGTAGTCATGGGTTTAAAAATACCAATCTACTTCACTGGAGGACCTCACCTTTGTAACAGCTACGGTTTCAGGACCAGCCATGATCTCGTGATTCTGATGTCCACAATGTGGCCCGCCCCAGTGATGTGAACGTTGGTTTAGATTCGCCCCCAGTAACGTTGGTTCGTTATTTGCGTACCATAAACCATAGTGAAATTGGAGTTATGTGCGCCAACTGAACGCGATTTCGTGGCCGGGGGCCTCACTAATTGTAGGAAAACCCCCCTTGGCGTCCAAGGTGCGAAGAAGTAGATGGAGATCACGGAGCGCACCTGTTGCCGATTTGATGCGAATTGGACATGATGTCCCCCATGTTTCGTATGCAACTCCCGTTCAAAAGACACATGATTAACCATCAATAGGGCTTATCCAGCATCATTAACCATCATTAATAATTCTTAGCCATAGTAGATCCCAGCAATAATCATAGCAAATCCCATTATATTCCCATGATATTCTCACATATTCTCACTATTGTTGGTTATTCCCATTGTATTCCCATGATGTTTCCATGATGTTTCCATTAAAACGATACCCTCTGGTAATTTAACATAGCTATTGAAAATGGTCATTTATAGTTGATTTACCTATTAAAAATGGTGATTTTCAATAGTTATGTAAACGTTTACCAGAGGGTAACCATCATATATCCCATTGAATCCCATAAAAATACCATAAAATCCCATTGAATCCCATTAAAATACCATAAAATCCCATTAAGTGCCATTAAGTACATCCCAGCGTTTCATCTCTCAAACCCCGGCCTCGCAGCGTTCCGAGAAGGACCACCCCAGCCGCAGCGGGGACATCAACAGCGCCACATAGGCCGCGACGGGGTACACCGGGCGGCCCAACAAGTCGCACCACCTGGAGACGAGCAGAGGCCTAACGAGTTAATGTATGGAATAGGTGGTTTATAATGGATGGAATAGGTGGATTAAATGTTTCTACTGGCTTTTTGTGGGTTTACCATCTGGTTATGACTAACATAGCCATGGAAAATCACCATTTTTAATCGAAGGAAGTTTAGAAGTGAAACTTCCGACAATATGGACAGTTGAAAAGCAGAGGTGAGAAGAGTCAGAAGAGAAAAGATCAGAAGAAAGAAGATGCAGGTACGCGAAAAGGTAGGAACGTCGCGAAACACTGTGTTTTTCCAATGATTTGTGGCTCCGGAGGGTCGAAAAGTAGGCTCGCTAAAGCGGCGGGTGCGGAGCGAGCTGGCCAGATGAGAGATGAAAAATTGCACGCCGTTGTGGCGCGAAGCACATTTCCAAGTCAAAATGTACAAAACACACCATTCTCGGACCACTTTTTGAAGTTCAGATGTCGAAAAAGTGCACGCCGTTGTGGCGCGAAGCACATTTCGAAGTCAAAAGTGTTAAAAACACACGGTCTCGGACCACTTTTGGAAGTTCAGATGTCGAAAAAGTGCACGCCGTTGTGGCGCGAAGCACATTTCGAAGTCAAAATGTTAAAAACTGGCGGTTCGGACCACTTTTGGAAGTTGCGATGTCGAAAAAGTGCACGCCGTTGTGGCGCGAAGCACATTTCGAAGTCAAAAGTGTTAAAAACTGGCGGTCTCGGACCACTTTTGGAGGTTCAGATGTCGAAAAAGTGCACGCCGTTGTGGCGCGAAGCACATTTCCAAGTCAAAATGTACAAAACACACCATGCTCGGACCACTTTTGGAAGTTGCGATGTCGAAAAAGTGCACGCTGCTGTGGCGCGAAGCACATTTCCAAGTCAAAAGTGTCAAAAACTGAGGGTTTTGAGCCTTTTTTGACATTAAGATGTCGAAAAAGTAGATAGTGATTAACTTAACTAACTTGACTAACTTAACTACCTTCACTAACTTAACTACCCTAACTTCGACGACAACAACAACTACTACAACAACAGCAACAACAACAACAACAACAACAACAACAACTACTACTACTACTACTACTACTACAACTACAACTACAAGTACAACTACACTACACAACAACTACAACTACAACTACAACAACTACAACTACAACTACACAACAACTACAACTACAAAACAACTACAGCTACAACTATATGACTGCAACTACACTACACTAAGTACATTACACCACAACTGCAACTCCACTACGCTACAACTACAACTACAGTTGCAGTACATCACACTACATCCAGCAGTTGTGGGTGAGGTGACCACTGCCACCATTGCAACCACTCCAGCAAACACAACTCCAACCACCTTTCGGTCAATCAGTGGATTCGCTCTGCCATCCGTGATTCACAACAACCAACGTCTCCTATAGGTTTCCTATTCTGAAACTTCCGCCACCGCCTTGTGCGGTACTACTGGTAGGTAAACCCAGGTAAACCCAGGTAAACCCAGGTAAACCATCTATAAATGGGCCACTTTCCATGGCTATGTCAAATAACAAGAGGGTATATATATAGTTTTTATAATGTTTCACCAGTTTAACATCATTTCATAGCTCTTGACTCGGTGAAACACCGACACTTTAAGTGTGTTTCTTGAGTGATTTGAATGAAGGCAATGAATTATTTTGCCAGGATTAGATGATTTTGACGAGGAACAAGGGTGATTTTGAATGCTTTTGATGCGGACTTGAATAAACATCACCAGCAAAATCGTGAAAAATCTAGAAAAACATGGACATTTTAACCAGTTCAGCGAGGAAACATGGCGTGCTTTTAGATATTGGAAAAATGTGGATCGAACGACCAGGAAAAGCCAAGCCAGGGATCTGGGTTCGACAGAACATTTACAGGAGACCAAGGCTACCTGCAAATATATGGAGATTTAGCTCAAAAAACTGAACAAAACTGAACAATGAATTCAATGAATAATGGGTGTGTTTGATAGTGGGGGATACCCGTATCCAATGTCCATATCTTAATAGAATTTGTTCATTGAAAAATATGAAAACAAGACTCCTGACATTGAAAACCATCCTCGCCATCAATTGAGAAAAATATGATGATATTTCTCGGAGATATTGGGGTCGCATCTTTTCAGACATGGGTGACATGGGTCAATTGTATGGTAAAGTGGATGGGTGAGTGTTTTCTCTGGGCGTGGTTGGCTCCATTACAAAAAATCATTATCAGTTGCTATGCATTGGTCATAAGTCATCTCCTATGTATCTATTTATCAGGGTTGCTCCCAACACCCCAGGCACAAGTTGGGGGAATGGGTTATGAAAGCGGCAAAATTACCCATGTTCCACCTTTGTGACTATATGATTCACCTATAATATCCATGGCCATTTCAGGAATCTAAATTGGAGGTACCTGGCCTAAATTTCAGGGAATATCCCAACAAAATATGGTCTGAAAAATGGTACTAACGTACCTTCATTTTAGGATCCTGAAATTCCCAATGATAGTAGGGATTATCATCTTAGATGGGTTGGGTTTACCAAGGGATGTTCATCTTAAATGGTCTTATCAACCCGTCCACCATAGCGAAAGACCATTGGGATGTTGATAGTTGGGCTTACCAACTTACAACTGGCTGACCTGGACTCCTATTGTCTTAGCGAGGCACATGTACATCAAGACCCCAGCGATACCATTCACCTGAACCAAGCGCTGTCCGAGGCCAGAAATTCAAATGTGGGATCGCCAACAACCATCGATTATTGAAAATAGGGGTATCCTATCAAACTCAACCATCGATCGTTAGGTGATTCGTCAAATAGGAAAAACCAAAAAAGGAATAAAACATGGTGAATTCATAACATTATACCAAATCAGGATATTCTATGGGGTCAGGTTATAAAACATTCACCATGTAATGATTATTATACCAGATAATGATACCATTATAAAACATTATCCCCAATCATTTATCAATCATTATACCCAATCATTATCAGGATACCCCCCCAAAATTATACCAATCATTATACCCAATCATTATCTGATTAAAAAATGGGGTCAGCTTATAAAACACCAAGAGAAACCTCGAACCACGTGCGTCGTTCCAGTGGGACAGATGGGATGACACACCGTCCCGTCCCAACCCAACTACCGCAGCTAACTCGTGGCAGAAACGCAGAAACACGAGTTAATGAAGACAGTATATTCCTTCAAAATAACGCTTATCCCCAGAAAAACATGTCAAGACGTCTGTTTTTTGTTTTCTGAAAAAAGTTGACTTCTGATGAGTTATATATATATAATGAGTATATCTATACACATCATGTAAACATGTGCAAACATGTAAACATATGCAAATGTACATGTACATGTACATACTTGCAGACTATATATACCCATATTTACATGTATATATACAAATGTATACTTATAAATACACAACTACACATAAATACATGTATGAATATAACAAAAAAAACAGTATAAATAAATATGTACGTACGTGTGTAAATGCGCCGGCGTTGACATCCAGAAAAAAGTGGGCAGTGGTTGGTGGGGAAGTAAAAGGTCTGAGTCTGTCCCGCATCCTCAAACATATCATGTTTTACAATGTTCCAAGTTCTACATCTTTTATGCCAAAAAGGTCTACAGCGTATGGAAACTTGCATCCCAAACACGGACTTACTGTTCTGTCATCACCAAACGCCAACCAAAAACAATCTCTGAAAATCGATCCATCAAATATAGGGATTCGTTTAAACAAACATCGGTGATGGGTGATCTCTCCACATCGCCAAAGCAGGTGGTCTCAGTTACCTATCGAATCCTGTCGATGTCCAAGGCGGTAACAGCGAGGAAGCTAAGCTGAGGCGTTGGGAATACCATTTGGTAAACGTTTACATAGCTATGGCAGCGAACTGGAAAATCACCATTTCTGGTAAATCATCTATTTCCAAATGGTATTTCTGGTACATCATCTCTTTCTAAATGGTTCATTTTTTCCATAGCTATGTGATATTACCAAGACGTATCTACCATTTTTTTCCCGCGATATATCGTTAAATATGATGAAATATGACTGTTGTGAAGATTTCTATCAGTTCAAATATGACAACGTTGTTCCAATTTCTATTGCTATTCTTATTGGACCAAACATAAATAGAATATTAATACCAACAGTCTTCCAATATATATATATCTATACATATATATATTCCATGTTGGAATAAGTATATTCAAATATCGGGTTTTCTATCGATATTCCATCATTTAGATCCCAACAAAAACCCCGCCAAGTCTGGTTGGTTGCACCCCTGTTGAATTGGCTTTGGGTCAGATCCAATTTTTACACTGATTTTCCCCATATCCCACATATCACAAGGATATCAGGATATCCCATAGTTTTAATCTTCAAATTATCTCAATGAATTATCAGTTATCTCACTTAAATATTAGTTATACAAATATATATATATATATATTATATTAGTTATACACATACATATTATATATATATACATCACATTGTTCTACATATATATATATCCCCAAGATATCCCCAATTGTAAGACCGTCAGCGTCCCAGTGACCAAGAACTTGCCACTGCTGAACTGCGGATCCACGGTCAACTTCTCTGCCACACGGGTCTCTACCTGCTTGCCATTTTACCGTGGTGGAACCCCTGAAAATCCCCAAAAAATGGCGTGAACTAACCCATGATTCATGGGGCCACCAGCCTCCAACAAAAAACGTGCGGACAAATGTTGAATGATTAATGGGATTGATGATTGATGTTAATGATTAATATTGGTGATTAATGGTTGTGATTGATTAATGTTAATGATTGATGTTCATGATTGCTTGAATGTTGTGATTGATGATTAATGGTGATTAATAATGGCCAATACATGTTAATGGGATGTTGTAGTAGTAACCTTGGTAAATACTGGCGAGAATACTGGTTCATAGTGATCAACCATGGTTAGTTATGCCAATGCTTTTTTCAATAAATAGTTAATGATGGTAATTAATCAATACCAATGTAATTCATTTATAGTCATCCCGGAGATGGAAATAAAGAAACTCCTTAAAGTGGGAACATGTTTGAAAATCCCAGTTCTATTTACTTCAGAACGATTTTACAGCACAATCCATGGTGTGTCCTTTTTCGGCAACGACCAACATTCACAGAGGATTTTCCAGAGCTATGTATACTTGCTGATCGCTAGGTTGATACGTGACTGCAAACGCAAGGATGCTGCCGTTGATGGACGAAATGCCAGCTCGTCTTGATCCACAGGCATTCTCAGTACACGCTGGGGCAAAAGAACAGCATGTTCTTTCCTCTAAAATTGTTGCTAAACAATGCTTTCCACAGTGGTTGGTTGGAGTTTGTGACTGGTGCGTCGCAGAGGTCTGCACTGTTGCTCATTCTTTGGACAAACCCAGGTAATTCCCCATGTATTGCTGGTGGTTCTCAGTGTATTCTCCTTGTATTCCCATGATTTTTTTTTTTAAATCCTATGAAATTATAGACCACTTACCGATTGGGCTGAACTATCTGTATATAATGTATATACAAAAAAGTGTATATTAAGATAAAAATCATTGTTTGTTAATCCCAACATTTGGATGATCCCATGGTTTGCAATAATATCATCCCATTGTTTGTTATTTCCATCAAAGTCCCTTCATTGGTGGTTAACAATTCCTTGATTGTTGGCTATTCTTTGGACAAATCGAGGCATTTACCCATATGTTCTCACTGTATTTCAATGGATTTTTGTTCCTATTCCCATATACATTCCTACCACCCACTTACTGTACTAATTGAGGTGAACTAAGTATGTGCATATAAATATATATATATATATGGATGTATATTTAGGTACTGGGAGATCTAATACGGTACAAAACATAAATACATGGGGAATTCATACGAATGCCCAGGTGGGATTATGATAAACCGCATGAGATTGTAACCCCCAACTGGGTTGAGCTAGCGATTAAAAAAAAAATGTGTATACACAAGATCATCATGTAGTATATATATATATATATTATGATAATATGTGTATATGTCAAATATTGTTGTTTTGAATATGTATATATATATGTCATATATTGTTGTGAATCAAATTCAAATACCCGATCAAATACCTTATTAGATGCCACTTACTAACTGTGGTGAAATAATTATAGACTCAAATATATATATATATATGTATTTATATATAAGTATTGGGATATTTAATAGTATAGGTATTGGAACATTTAAATTTAATCCCTTCCCCCTATTACTAAACCCACCCCAAATAATAAAAACTAGGGTCCATCTCCAATTTTGGAAAATTTGAGGTTGGCCATTTTGACTTTCAATTGATCCCCTTTCGAAAACAATTTAAAAATAAAGCTACTATTTGTGGCTTCACCCCCTAATAATAAAAACTAGTTAACTCCGGGGTGTTTTGTATTAGGGTCCCCTGTAATCATACAATCAAAGAAACATAATATATCATTATCAATCCTTGTATACCCTCTGGTAAACTAACATTGGTACAGAAAATAGCCACCACTTAGAGATGATTTTCCCATGAAACAAAAAGTGATTTTCCGTAGTTATGTCAGTTTACTGGAGGGTAATGGCAATGGGCAGGTGATGTTCCATTTACAGCAAAAAGCTAAAGGATTAAAGCAACCATCCAAGGGAGTAACCATCCAAGGGATGTTTTTCATGTATACACAATATATCATCATTAATCCGACCCTACAGTTATGGCCCTTTACCGCCTTTAGCAGTTATAAGTACGTAACTAACATCCTATAAACCCATTATGGAATGTATAATCCCATTTATGACCAGTTATAACTGAAGTTATAACTAATAAATGGCCAGCCATTATGTGGCTACAACAATAAACAATCCCCCAGTCATGACCATAAAATCATAGGTGGCCAAAAAAAATCACCATTTCCAACATGAAGTGGTTCATGGCATTGTTTTACCCACATTTTTAGTGTAAAAATATGCCGTTGTGCGATTCCCGCAGACAGTTTGCGCCTCGGCTGTCTTGCTGGGATAGTGAAAAAATGGTAGGGAAAAGGCTGGAAAAATGTGGGAAAATGGTGGGCATTTAGGGGAAAAGTCCAAAAAGGTGGAACAATTTTGTAGGAACTTTTAGGAGAAACATATGGTAAAAAGCTGGGAACATGTTGGAAAAAAGGTGGAAAAAAGCTGATGTGAGAAACAGGTGGGAAACTGGGAAAATGATGGAACATGTCGAACTTGTAGGAAAAAGGGGGGGAAAACGAGTGCATTATTATACTGCAAATATGGAAGAAACATGTGGGAAACTATTTTGAAGGGGTGGGAAAAATACATGAATTTAGGATGATTGAACAGCAACTCCAGGATTTGTGCAATGATTGGTGACGTAATTTGCAGCAAGACGTCGGATGTTGCCATGAAAATTTCTATGTTTGCTTTCAGAAAGCTGCCGGAACATGGATCATTGCCATGCAAAAGATGCACGTTGAACATGTGAGAACATGTAAACAACATACCCTCTGGTAAACTAACCATAGCTATTGAACATGGCCATTTATAGTGAGTTTTCCCATTAAAAATTGTGATTTTCAATAGTTATGTTAGTTTACCAAAGGGTAATTAGAAGGCACGCAGGATGTTTGCCGTCACTTGTTGTACATGATAGGACCTTCCTGCTTCTTATTTGTGCTTCAACCAAACACAGCGAACCTGAGATACTTTGCACAAGGTGAATGTTTAGTGGGATATCTAGAATGTTCAACCCAAAGACTACAATGTGGCTCCCCCCAGTTATAAGTTGGTTTTTAAGCCCCAGTAACTATAGTTATAAGTACCATAAACCATAGTTATTGGAGTTATAAACCAACTTAGCTATCGAACGGGGGCCTCACATTGTAGGAATTGTTTCGTCTAGCCCCTATTCATTTCAACATTCCAGAAAATGATATAAGATGTTCCCAAGCGTTGATCCAGAATATGGGCATGTCCGAACAAAATTTACATGAAAGTCTTTAGCATTTCAGTTCTAGTACCATCATGTACCATCCACCAACCAAAAACAATATCAACAAATAGGAATGGCTACACAACCAAGTAGTGACATGATATTTCACTGATATACCACCGTTTCACCGTGAAAAAGTCAACGATTTTTTACTCCTTGGAGATGAGGTTGAAACAACTCACCATGAGTTTTGAGAAAAAACATGAGTTTCTCGGTAGATCCTCACGGGATGATCCATATCTGTGAAAAACATCAATGGGAAGACTGAAAAAAATGTGGCGTCAAAAAATCTTCGATCACCCCATCACCATCCATCACCGCCCACCCATTCTTCTCCTTATCATCCTTTTTCTCAGCCATTCTGCTCCGCTCTGTACAAGGCTGAGCTTCCCAGAAGTTTTCCCTGATGTTTGAGCATCCTGCAGAGTGGACGGTGTGAAAAATCTCGGACCTTTTTCTGATTGCAAACATTTCACTTGATTATATATATATACATATAATTCCCATCTACTGCAGCTCAAACTGTTCATGTGGAGCAAACTGAATTCTGAAATTATGATTGTCAGCATCAAAAATGCACCAACTTGTCATTTTCTCGCGCCCGAACAGGAAGAAGTGGCCAAACTCCACTGGGTCCAGAACGCTGCGGCGATCGGCGATGGCCACTGACCAACACATCCCCAAATCATCCGTGGCTTTCCAGGGTCGCCGTGGGATTTCTCCAGATTTTTTGGCTCCCCAAACCTGCAAATTTTAAGGTGAACAAAAAACAATGACTGGTTGGTGGTTGAGCCCTACCCCTCTGAAAAATATGAGTCAGCTGGGTTATCCCATATATTATGGAAAGATATGGAAAGTCAAAAAAATCATATTCCAAACCACCAACCAGAGAAAAACAATGATACTTGGATTGCTGAAAATCATGTTCCCTGGTTTTAATGCAGTCTTTGCATTGAGTTATTGATTTCTTGGAAATGCAGTGCCCCATTCCAATCAAAGATCGTCCCCATCAATCAAGGATGGAAAGCACACATGCTTGAATCTTCATTAAAAGCATTGAAGGGATTTTGACCCAGAAATTGCTTTGAAACTGCTAAACCATCATCAAATGTCGGTTCAACTGATTTCTTGCTTCATCCTGAAAGGGGAGCGGATGGCATCCTGTTTGATACTAAAATCCTCGCGGTTTCTGACTGAAATCAACCTTGTTTTACTCGCTGAAATACCAACTTTCAGGAATATTGCGCTTAAACAAATCGATTCTGTCAGGTAAATACAGCGTGTTTTTGGTCTTTTGGTCTTTTGGCACTCATGTCAAGCCCGGATTAATAGACCCCGCTGATGATCATTCTGGGTATACAAATCATCACTGGTTGGTGGTATACCTACCCCTCTGAAAAATATATAAAAATATTAGTCAGTTGGGATGATTATTCCCAATATATGGAAAAACATGTTCCAAACCACCAATCAGATCAATGTTATATACAGATGTTGTATAATTATCCCATATCCAGCAATCCCCCACAACACAGACATAGACAAGCAAAACCCGAATCTGAAACAATGATAAGACGGGCGGGTTTAGTCTACTATTTATTATCTTCTACCAATAAAGGTTGTCAAATGGGGGTTGAATGGGGGAAATCCTAACTTTTCATCAGCCAAGTAGTGGGAAAGGAACATCTATGGATAAATGGAGGTTTCCAAAGTCATGGGGGTACCCCCTGGCATCATCCGAGTCATGGATGTCTATGTGGACTTTGGGACTTCGCGTTGCGCCGGTTCAACCCTGGGCTCCCCACAGGACTGGTTTCAGGTTTCGCAACGCCTCACCGGAATCGGATTCAAGCGTCCAACAAGAAGGATGTGTTAACCATTTCTTGGTGACCAATTATACTGTGGATGGTTGCGAATTCCTGCACCAGTTGATAGGTGGTAAACATCCCATTGTTTTGTTTGGGTTTCAACCATCCAAGGTGGTGCAGGATTTCGCAACCATCCACCGTATGATATGGTGATATGAGAACATGAATGGTTGTGTTACTCACACCATATATCATATACGTACCATTCATGATATGATTAATTGTATAATTAATGATGTGATTAGTTATATGATTCATGTTGTTATTAATCATGGGATTAATGAATGATAATATGATTACTTAAATGATTAATTGTTTGATCAATTATATGATTAATGATTTAATTAATGACATGATATGTTTTCTTTTGACAATGGTATGACAATATGTCATATACGTATATCTATATATGACTCACCATTTGTCATATCATTAACCATATCATATCATTGGCCACCAAGAAATGGTTAAACGGTTAACACATGTTAACACATCCGGTCAACTTGTTGGACATATGACCATGGTTTATTGAGCAAGTACTAGCCAAGAACTTCATAAATGGTTGGTGGTTTTAACCATCTTGAAAAATAATAGTCATTTGGGGTTACTATTCCCAATATATGGAAAAATAAAATTCATGTTCCAAACCACCAACCAGTCATAAATGGTTATACAGTAAAGGGCTAGGCCTTCTCCCGGATCCCAAACATATGTTCATGTTCATGTTTTCATCCACCACCAGCCGCTCGTGGTAAAACTTAAGGGTTACCGGGATGATCAAAAATGGATGACCATTGTTCCATAAGCATAAGCATACATGGAATGATATAGGTGAAAGTTCCATGATCACATCTTGATACTGTTGGATGATCATCATACATCATCATCCCATGAACAGGCCGGCCAATATAGATCACCTCTGGCGGAATTCCAATAATTCAATGGGAGATCTCCAGGATCCTAAATTGGAGGTACCGATTCCGTATATAAGGCCTATTGTTTAGGCCTATGTAAGGGAATATCCCTAGAAAATATGCCCTTATATAGTACAGTACCTCCATTTCAGGATCCTGAGATTCCCATTGAACACTTGAAAATAACTGAAGCACGGCCAGCTGGGATGATTCCACGAATCCAATTCAACGAGCATTCCAGCCATACCTCACGTAAAGTGGTGAGGTCATGGTTTTCAAACAAAATCACCCATACATCATATAATGATATATAATGGTATATATATTATCAATTAGCATAGATAATCGATTAGAATTTAATATAAGTTGAAAAACATATATAATCAGTCATACTTATCATCAAATATAGTCACTTGATTTCAAAAAAACACAAAAATCAGTTGACAAATATGTTTGGTTATTTTTTTCTAGTCATCCTCCAGAAACACCCATTGATAGATGATGCCTCTGCGAGCGACCGAAGCCGGCTCACGGAGCCGATGGAAGGCATAGGCCTGCGAGATGGAGGGGGGAAATCCCACGAAACAAATGGTGCTTTGAGAAAATCCATGGGAAAATCCATGGGAAAATCAGGGCAATAAATAGGGGAAATCCATGGAAATCCACGAAATAAATGGATGTGTTGGATGTTTCCCTGAGAAAATCATCGATGGAGATTTGAGGTGGGAACATAAAAATCTATAAGTGGTGGGAAAATCTCGGATCAGTGGGACTGGTGGGTTTTCCCCCCTCCACATCTATGTAAACGTTTACAAGAGCTCAAGATGGTGCCCCCATGAGCACCAAAAAAGGCAGATTACAACCAAAAGAGGAGTATATAGATATATAATGATGTAAAACATTATACTATATACAAATAGTGATAAATTCCTCTATGTACACCAATAGTAATGGATCAAATACTATATATCTATTTATATAGATATCATATTATATCTAAAAAATCCCACCAAAATAGTGACGTTGTTATCAAAGCTTTCCGGCATCTTTTTGGGTGACATATTTAAACCATCAAATCTGTGTATACAAGCATTAAATGGATGTTTCAAAAGTAAAATGTGGAACAAAAAACAAATGGGTGCACGGTGTATATATATATATATATATGTATATACGTATATACATATATATATATATATACATATATATATACATATATATATATATATATGTATATATATATATATATATACATATATATATATATACATATATATATATATACACATATATATATATATACATATATATATATACATATATACATATATATATATATACATATATATATATATGCATGTATACATATATATGTATATGTATGCATGTATACATATATATATATACATATACACACACACATATATATATATATATACATACATACATACATACATTACATAACATTACATTACATTACATTTACATTTACATTTACATTTACATTTACATTACATTACATTACATTACATACATACACACATACATATATATACATGTACATGCATGTATATATATATATGTACATGCATATATATATATATAATATGTATATATATAATGTGTATATATATATAACCCAACATGGATTCCACTGGTTTTGGGTCAACGTCACTAAATGTGATCAAACTTTAGAGGGCGAGAAGTCACCCATGGATCGTTTTTGGCACCTTTGCTATCAGTTTGCTATCCGGCCTTTGGAAATCGATGATATTAATCACATATTTCTATAGGTTTCCGACTTTTTTCGGCATCTATGACTTGGGGTCGCCTTTAAACTTACCCAGCAGAAAAAATTGAACACTTGCAGCCTAAGGCAAGCATGCCAAATCCACAAACAAAACTGTCTGTGGACGAACACCATGGCCACAGATTGACAATTCGATACGGTGTAAACCCCAATCTTCGGACAAACCCATACATGTTGTCTAATTGATGGTTTCAACCCCTCTGAAAAATATGAGTTCGTCAGTTGGGATGATGAAATTTCCAATATATGGAAAGTCATAAACTTCCATGGTTCCAAACCACCAACCAGTTGTTTATCCATTATCCCCATATTAATTCTTATAGTTATCATCCATGTCCATTTCGACTGGCTTAAAAATACCAAAAAAATCCTATCTGATTAGTGATCTTAAGCCATCCCCAAAAAGTATCGTCCCAAGTACGGCAAGTCCTTGAACCAACCGGCTATATTATCTGGTAAACAAACATAGCGAATCATAGCGAACTGGAAAATCCACCCATTTTTAATGGGAAAATCCACTATAAATGGACCATGTTCAATAGCTATGTAACAAATTACCCTCGGGTAAACTAACATAGCTATTGAAAATGACCATAGAAATGGTGGATTTTCCCATTGAACATAGTGATTTTCCATAGTTGTTTGTTAACGTTTACCAAAGGGTAACCATCATATATCCCATTAAATCCATGAAAATTCCATAAAACCTATTATGTCCCATTAAAATACCATAAAATCATATATTTATCATCCACCAAAAAGCACCAGGTACCAGAGGGTAACCGACTACTCTCCCAGGCCGAGGCTTCGCAGCCCGCGCCTTGACTTTGTCTTTGAAGCCACTGACCTGTAGGGCTCGTTCCACTGCGGCTCGCTCCTGGCTAGGGCAATGACCGACCCGATCTGATAAAAATATCCACATACCCGCTGGTAAACATACAAAAAACTATGGAAAATCACTATTTTCAATGGGAAAATCCACTATTTCGATTGGGTCATTTTCAATAGCTATGTTAGTTTACCAGAGGGTATATCCACATATATTCCACATATAAACATCTCTAATTATGTTGGATAAATATATAAATTTATAAATACATATTTGCTAGTTGGTGGTTTTAACCATCTTGAAAAATATGAAAGTCAATGGGAAGGATGATCCCATATATTATGAAAAATAAAACATGTTCCAAACCACCAACCAGTTTGGGTTTGTCTGAAAATAGTGCACCCCAAATCCACTGCTAATCTCGCAGTTTCCCTATCCAAATAACATCAAATAACCATGACTGGAGGTATACCACATTTTCAGACACACCCAAAAAACAAATGAATATCAATAAGTTACTCTCAGCTCTCTGGCACTCACACACAGCTGAACCAGTCGTGATCCTTCACATTTTTTTGTTGGTTACACCCCCCCAATAAAATGGAGCCAAACAACTGCCATTTTCAATAAGAAAATAATCCTCCAAACATATGCCCAACAAGTTTTCATTAGGTTAATAAGTTGTTTCCAGCCTTTCACCAGTTGGTTTGCCCAAATATCCCGAATGACATTCCCATAAATCAGGCCATTAACTGTATATAATGTTGGCAATTTCTACATGTTGAAGGTTAAAGTCCCATAGTAGTCTCACTGCGAAAATCCCAAGTTCTCTCTGTTTCATCCGCAAATTGCCATATGGGGTTCTCAAATTGGTTTCTACTTGATGTCCTAACTAAGAATGGCATGTGTCTTCAGGATTTTGGGTCAATGATTTTTTCAGAAGCACCCATATGCCATATGCCCATATGTGAGATGGTCAACACAACATTTTTGGGGGCTCTGGTCAACTAGAAAAGAGATTCCCTGCTCAGCAGGGCACATGAAAACCCCCATTTTCCGTCGGGGTTAGTCTGAAAATGTCTGAAAGGATTGGTATCCCTAAATTCAATAGTTAGTCATCCTCGGTTCATGTTGAACATCCCCATGGCCCATTGGCCCAAATATTTGTGTAAATTCTGAGAGTAGTTGAACTTTCATGGAAACCCTGCCAAATTCTCTGCACTGGGATAGGAAGCCCAGCATAGCGTAGCGGTCTACCAGTAGAACCCAAGTTCAGACCTAACTATCGCACCAACGTTGGGGCATGTTGTATCATTTCCCATGACATATACCCATGAAATGTAATCCATACAAAATCCCATGATTTTCCCGCTAGGTCCCATCTGGATATATTGGATTACTGGTCTTATATCCAATTGTCTTCATATGACCCCAAAACTCCAAAACACAATTTATTATACCACATGATTTGTTAATTGTATTACAGTATCTATGTTTTTTTGTATGCAAAAAATCTTATACCTCAGTTTTAATCAAATACCGCAAAATTGATTGTACTAGAAGTACAATTCATGATTAGTTACAAGTATTGATTACTAGATTCAATTGTATTGATTAATATATAGATAAATCTATACTAGATCTGGCTAAATTATAGCAATTCGCTGACCCGAAATATTAAGGCTATTTTGGGATAGTTACCCTTTTTTATCCAAATAGATGATTACCCTAGTGTAAACTAGCATAAATGTGGAAAATCAATCATTTTTGTAATATTTTATGTATAGATAATTTCCTCAAAAAACCAAAGGTTTTCCACATCTATACCCTAGGATAATCATACATTGTCCTCCATTTTGATGGCTAAATTCTCATTGGAACACCCCAGCCTCCTCAGGTCTGGACCTTGGCGCGTGTACGCCAAAAAAGGGTGACTCTTAGACTCAACAGATCAACAAAGATTCAGAATTCCAGGTCAAACATGGTTGGTTGGTGGTTGAGCCTACCCCTCTGAAAAATGATGGAGTGAAAGTCAGTTGGGATTCTGTCATTCCCAATATGTGGAAAAATAAAAATGTTCCAAACCACCAATCAGATGGTGATCTTGCCCATGGACGTACTGATGCATGCCAGTGCTCCATAGGTCAAAACCAAAAGTGTCATACAAAAAAACAATGTTTTGCCCAGTCTGAAGGTGTCAAACATTTTCTGATGTGTCAAGTAACTAATTCACCTATCCAACAGGTGATGTGTATTGAAGAAATATAGAGACATACAGCAATATAAAGATCACATAAAAATATAAAACATCACATGAAACATGTAGAGAAACTATAATTATCATAGAATATGCATATGTATATATATATATTATCCATTTACATTCCCATTATATTCCATAGAAATATAAATATATGAATTAACATTGTATATTCCAAAAGAGATATGGCAGTGTGTCAAAACCTTGTACCCCTGGTGAACATCAAAATAGCTGGTAAATGGATGTTCATCCCACTAAAAATGTATCTATAGGTATTGATCCATACCCATATATGAATATTGTAGAAATTTAATGAAACCTGATGCATCAGTTTTTCGCGATGCTTGCAACGTATAGAACACCATCCACAGGCCCAATTTTCTGACCATGAATCGGCTGCTGCTGCAGTTGTTAGATCAAACGGGTGCCAAATGTTGCGCGAAATGTTGTGTTTTTTCATGTTTATTGGTCTTCTTTTGCCACGATCCATATATTTCTCGATGAATTTTGGAACAAAAATCAAACAATTAGCTTTTCAGATGAGTTTGGCCGGGGATTCCCCATCCTTAAGCCATCCTTAAGCCAAACGACTCCACTGGGCCACCCTGCAGCGACAGACTTTTGGACGCCTGGTGCAGCGAAACCGGGATGTGCGCAATTTGCGGAGTCGTAAATCTCACAGAAACCTCGTTTCAACCATGTTCATATATATTTACATATATATAGTACTAGTGCAATATATGTATGCATTAATAAATATATATATATATATAATTATTAATTATATATATAATCATTTATGGGCCGAATTACGCGCAAACACCCCGATTCGCCCACACCCCTTCTATGCTGTACACTTGGGGATATCAAACGTTAGACTTTACATTCAATTGGGGAGATCAACAAGGGTATTTAGGGAATATAAATTTCCCACCCCCGTTAAACTTTACATTCATTGAAGATCTTCAATAAGGGTTTAATTCTCCCACCCCCGTTAAACTTCTACATTCATTGAAGATCTTCAATAAGGGTTTAATTCTCCCACCCCCGTTAAACTTCTACATTCATTGAAGATCTTCAATAAGGGTTTAATTCTCCCACCCCCGTTAAACTTCTACATTCATTGAAGATCTTCAATAAGGGTTTAATTCTCCCACCCCCGTTAAACTTCTACATTCATTGAAGATCTTCAATAAGGGTTTAATTCTCCCACCCCCGTTAAACTTCTACATTCATTGAAGATCTTCAATAAGGGTTTAATTCTCCCACCCCCGTTAAACTTCTACATTCATTGAAGATCTTCAATAAGGGTTTGATGATGATGATGATGATGATGATGATGATGATGATGATGAAGAGACTCGCACAGGTCCCTATGCTGTGCGTGCCGATATAGAACATGAAGTTAGCCATGATGCAAAAAACTCCCATTTTTACCACGTTTTCAGCACATACGAAGATGGCCGCCGACAAGCGCGGGCAAATCAAGGTGTTTGGCCGTATAATTACATACAGTTACATTTACAAGTATAGAAAATCACATATATATATATAAAAGTAAATATAAATATGTATATTACACAGTGACGTCTTAAAAACCATGGCAACCTCTCGCCTGGCGGTTTCCGTCGCGTAGACGGCCGAGCTCTTCCTTGGTGGCCTGGCTGAAATATGAGAACTGTAGCCTGGGGGATTTTTGATGGTTTGTAATGAGTAATGGTTACCCTTTGGTCATTTAACATAGCTATGGAAAATGATCCATTTATAGATGATGTACCTATTAAAGGTGATGATTTTCCATGGCTATGTTAAATAACCAAATGGTAATAATATATAATTGGTTGAATAATGATTAATTACTTGTTAATGATGGTTTAAAATGGTTAATGGTATTAATATTACCTGAGTGGAACCTAGTAATAATAATAATAATGGTTAATTAATGTATCATGTTATATCAATTGCCCATCGATTTTTTCTGGTATTCATCACGTTTAATTAACGGAAGCATAGTTAATCAGGTATTAAGTATTAATAATGGTTAATCAATATGGCATTGATATTAAAAATGGCATTAATATGTTGTATTAAGAATGGTTAATTAAGGGAAACATATTGACTAATGTTGAAAATAATGGCTAGATCATGGTTAATTCCGGGCTTTGAATAGTTTGTAATGGTTAATAAACATATTTAATGATGTTTTAATGGTGATTAATGCTTATTGTGATGGGAATACCTGAAGTAATCAACCATAATGGCAATACCAGAAAGCATCAAGACTTCTGTTTTGATCCGAAGGTGGCAACCTGAGAAACTTAGAGCCTGGAATTCTGTCTGCACTGGTATTGCATACCTCCGCACGCCACGCTGTCAGCTCAAGGCCACACAGGTTGATGTTGCCGCCTTGGGTAATCGCAACATTTTCAGGATGTAGATCCCGGCAAGTAGACAATGCCGGTACAGATTTCGTGGTGAGTGGACCGTGTGTCCACTTAGTGGCATTCTTAGGAGTTGTGACCTCAACAGAATGTCACAGGATGCCACACGAAACACCCGGAAATATAAGCCTGATTACATAATGGTTAGTTATGGTGATTAAAATGGTGATTAAAGTGGTGATTATAATTGAGATATTAATTGAGATTATAATGGTGATCAAAATGTGGTAGTTATAATGTGGTGATTAGGTTATTACCCTAACGAACACAGGATGTGGAAAATCAACCATTTGTATAGACAATCTTTCTGGGGAACCTATTTGTAGACAATGTTTGTCGACTTGACTATTTTCCAAAAACATTGGAGTAATTTGTTGGGTCCCATTGTCCTGTATATCCAGAAACTGTATATAGATTCCCCATGGAAAAACTGGACCAAGATAAATTTTATACATCCAACCATATCTACAAAAATGAAACAACCAAACACTTTCGAGGGATCCCCACCATCTGATATCGTATCTGACACATATCCTAACATTGTATCTGACATTCTATCTGACGAATATTCTGACATTCCATCTGACATTCTAGAGGGCTGATTGGCATTTTATCTGACATCTAGCGCTCGCCGTTGAGGTCCGGCAGTGCCCAATGAGATCTGGAGCTCGCGGTTGAGGTCGGGGCGGCGGACGAGCAGGTGTTTTTGCGGAGGTGGGCAGCATGCAGCTCTGATATCTAGAGACCACCTGGCAAATGGGGAATTAGATCTTACATCAACTACCCTCTGGTAATTTAAAGTAGCTATTGGAAATGGGCCATCTAAAGTTGATTTACCCATTAAAAATGGTGATTTTCCATAGCTATGTTAGTTTACCAGAGGTATCATCAACTAATTTTCACTTTCATTGGATCCTCAATGTATTTTTCTTGTTCTTTTCCACCATTTCAAGTGGGGCCGTTTTACGACGCACGCAGCCCTTCTACGGGGTAATCTCCGCCTGCTTGCCGCGCCAATAGAAACTCTGCTGCTTGAGATTTTCCAGGACCTGGCGAATTCTGACAGCTGAGCAGGCTGAGATGATGGGGGATTATACCGACCATAGAAAGCTGGGAAATGATGAGTTGATAGATAATCAATAGTTACATAATAGATGGATATGAATCATATGATATTGTGAGTTCATCTATCAGCTGCATGGTCAGTTGATAATGGGAAACTATCCTATGATGGTTAATATATCGACCCAATTGAAACAACTCGAAGCGAACTTGGTGTTTTGCTGCACCACCTCCTCCACGGCATCCATCGAATTCGAAAACAGCAGGCATCAGTGGTTCTTTCTACATGAGAAGCTGCGGATATATAGAATATATATATATACACATAGAGAGAGAGAGTGTTAAAATAACATAATAATAGAACATATTCTGTACATGTGTTCTTTGTTTCTTTGTTTGTTTGTTCGTTCGTTCGTTCGTTTGTTTGTTCTTTTGTTTTTTATTGATTGATTGGTTACTTGCTTGCTTGCTGAAGATTGTGGAGCCTGAATCCGAACGGTGGATGTAGGGGATGCGCTGGGGACATTGAAATGGCTGAGCCATTTCTGTGTGGATTTAATAAAATCACCGGGCTCAGGGATATCAGGGATATCCATCTCATAATAACAAGTAAAGTATGTTCATCCCTTGACATATCTTCTGTGTTGTGCTGATCCCCATCTACATAATGTGTCACAACCCTCTATGCACACGTATCCCCAAAATCACCATAAATGGGTGGGATAAATCATTCCCATTATTGTTCTAACCACATTATCATGATTTGGGATTGTTCTGGCTCCAGCTTTAAAAAACATGAAGCGATCACTGACGTGGTGTTTGACTTGTAATCACCCAATGGTTGAGGGACCTATTCCCCGCCGCGGCAATCTTTTGTCGCGGCGGACCAGTCTGGCGAGTTTTTCAAGCCAAAATTCTCCAGGAACCACGACGGAATCACTGTGATGATAGGGTTGGAAGTCAATACAGAAGTGAAGAGTCAGCCTGGCGCAATCGCTGCTATGATCACCAAAAGATCACTATAGTTATCACTAGGTAGTTCCCGAAGAATCCCAGTCAATCAGCATCGGAATCGGCGACCGCTTCGCTGTATCAGATTTTTCTCGGCGCACGGAAATGGCCAAGTTGTCGTGCAAAAGTGACATGGCAAAGGTGGCGTGGCCAATAGGTCGCGTTCTCCCAACAACAAAACACACGGTAATGAGGAGCATGTTGGGACCCCAAACATGGGACATGCCCAAACTTGCTTGACATTTCACTGGACGTGTTAAATCTTAAGGGCATCATTGAGCTACCTTCTGTATAGCATGCCTTTCTGGGTGGGTAAACCCATCAAAAACACCTGCAAACATGATCAACCAACAGCACGTACACTAGGATTTTTAAGGGTCCACAAAACGATTGAACTTCAATGATCGAAACAAAATCTGACATTGGTGAGTTATCTTATGTTATCAGAATCCGAGAAATCGATATAGGTATAGTACGAATTAGTACGAGTACAACACCGCATCATTTCCAATCAGCAATAGTTAGTGTTCTTGATCTGCTTGGTGGTTTTCATATTTTTTTATCCCATCCCCAAATCACAATGACCTCAACCACCTGCCACAGACAAGATCTTACAACAAGATGCAACAAGTGTGTGCTGTAGCGCACGAAAAGATCTGGAAAACAACGCAATAGCATCCAAGTGTGCTGTAGTGCAAGAACAGATCGTACAACGTAGCATCAATGAAGTGTGTGTGTGTGTGCTGTAGTGGAAGCAACAATCATACAACCTACCATCAAGTGCAACGCATGTGAACATGGTCAATATCTCACTCCACCAGTACGGTCATCTCCAGGCGTCACCGCGGTGCTGGCCACCCTGGTGTGTTGCCACGGTGGCCCCTCCGTCACCAGGCGCCCTTGCACAACTGGCGACGGTTCCCGCATGCTACGGAGCGACGGAGCGACGTCCGCATGCAATGAATTTGGGGTCGTCAGGAGCAGGGATTTTTATCCTCTGGTTATGTCAAAATAGCTATTGAAAATCACCATTTTTAATGGGAAAATCCACTATTAATGGTCATTGGGGATGGATTGGGATCTTGTTTCTGTAGTGTTTTTCGGTTGAAACAAGTTGACTTGGGCTCTGAAAAAAAGAAGTAAGGAGGGATTCTGAAAAAAATGATGATTCATTTGTTGACATGATAGCTGCGGGCGAAGTTTTTCAGAACAAGTGAAAACTTTGGGCTCTGCATCATAAGAACCAACATGTTCATCTCGAATATATGCGAGTTTCCATAAATTGGGGTACTCCAAACTGGATGGTTCAATGGTTTATAATGGAACATCCAATTAAAATGGATGATTTGGAGGTACTCCCATTTTAGGAAACCTCCATGTTCATGGTGTTTATGAAACTAGGGAAACCCCCCAAATGGCTATTTTGCTGGGGAAAATGATGATGAACTATCTAATTTTTGGGGTACCCTATTTTCAGACAAACCCGTATGGGTGATTCTGAAAATGAGAACGACCAACCAAATTCAACTGTAGTAGGGAAAAGTAATGAACATATTTAAAATGATGATTCACAAGTGGATTTGGTTTCGATATTACTTCTGAATTGTCCGGTCACCGGTCACCCAAGAAAGCACAGACCAAAACACGGCGACTTTTACGGCTCAGACTTCAGCGGGATCACATGTGGACTGATAAAATACAACAAACACTGGGATTCTGATGATCGAACACTGGCAATCGCGATACCCTAACTGGATTCCTTTCCCTCGGTGACTGAAGTTCTCAACAGATTTGGGCATCGCCATTTTTTGGATTCCATGGGAACATGGGGGAATGTTACACCATGGCATTTCATCCATCTCCTAGCCTTGTGGCTTTAGGGTCAAGGTATCTTGGAGAATCTCACCACGGTGAGTAGGCGTTTTATTACCCGACTTGGTCAACAAAACAGAGCTGATTTTAGAGCTCCAGGTGTCGGATCAAAGATCCCCAGTGAGTTAAGATTCTTACAATGTGCCCCCCCGAGTTATAAGTTGGTTTATAAGCCCCAGTAACTATAGTTGTAAGTTATAAGTACCATAAACCATAGTTATTGGAGTTATGTGCACCAACTTAGCTACCTTGGGGGCCTCACATTGTAGATTTGTTGGTGGGTGAACAGCAGTCAGTGCTGTCAGGATATCCCCTGAATCCTATGAAAACCGTCCCGATTGGGTCCGTGTATCCCAAACGGGCCAATCTGCTATGGCTTTGCCACTCAAGTAGCCCAAAATCCTATGGTCTAGCATTCTACAATATCACACATATGTTCATATTCCATTCACGCCCATTATAGTTTCCATTCAACTGGCACTTTTTTCTTTCTTTTTTTCACATGTTCTGAGACATCACACCCCTGAACGACAGCCGTCACCCTTCGCCGGTCCCAAAAGGTAAGTCTCGGTCGCAGGGATAGGGCTTGACTTTGGGGGGCACGGGCGGCAGACAGCAAAATGATGCCGACTCAGGTCTTGATGAGAAAAAACGCTATAAAAAAAGAGAGGATTGTCCATTGCCATGTTCAATTGCCGGAGGCTAATCTGATAATCTACTTTGAAACTCCATGACTAGCTGATAAATCATGAGTTCACATGCAACACACATCCTTCAACCATCCTTAACAACAAATACACATGTGCAACTGGATCTGCGGCGACTTTTCCTCCATGGAGATTGCCTTGTCCAGTTCCTACCTCCATGGTTTTGGTGAAAGATGGAGGAATCATTGACCGCAGCTCACCGGAAAAAAATAGAACAATTAGATTTATCAATATCTTTGAATCAGATGATTTCACTCTTTTTTATACATCTTTTTGGGGGTTGCAATATGGCAGTTCTCTACCCATCGATTTCAAGGCTACCTGTGACGATAGGCTGCCCCCATTTGACAGCGACATTAGCATAAGATGCCGATACTTGATCATAAAGTCCGTTAAATCTATATTATAGATAAAGTCGGTACATGTCGGTACTAATACCAAGATATCAATTTAATATGAATGATATTTATCTTCGCCTAAATCCTCCAAGTGCCTCTTAAAATGATCTGTTTTACCGTTTTACCCCTTAATTTGAAGTACTTTAGCAATTTTTCCGGGTGTATTTGGAGGGTCTCTGCTGACTTCCATCGGTGAAATCCATGGGTAGTGTTTTGAGGCCCCCGGCCACGATAGCAATCAGTTGGTGCACATAACTCCAATTTCACTATGGTTTATGGTACACAAATAACGAACTAGTGACTGGGGCGAATCTAAACCAACAAACATCACTGAGGGGGGCCACATTGTAGTGTTTTGATGTGTGTTGTAGTTCTGTTTCTTGGTAAACACATCTACCTGTTGTTCTCATCAGCATATACCCTGGCCCTAGCTTTCAGCTTAGCGACCAGCGTTCAACATTGTTGGGCACCGCAAGATCATAGAAACACATGTTGGAACCTTAGGAAACGCATTTTTCATCGCTTGGCAATGCTTGGCAACTCTCCAGTCTGGCCCACCTTCCCATGCCCACCCTGAGGGAGGTGGGAGAGAATTCAAAGTTTCAGTGGCATGTTGTGCCGGCTACGCAGCTCTGATGGTGAGAACATCCTTGGATTCCACTTTTCATAGGGGATGAATTGTATCCATTTGGGGGACGTACTCACCAGGGATATATCAAGTATAAAGCCATCCAATGGACATAATTTGTGGTAATAACTTGCAGTTTTGCGAACATTTAGAGCTTAAATGGCCCATTTACTTCGAGGATTTAATCTGCTCAAAACGGTGATTTTCCGCAGAGATGTTAGATTGCCAGAGGGGCACGCTGCAAAAAGAATGGTTTTCAGCAGGTTTGCATATGGTTTTTTTGGGTCAAAACCCATCAAAACCCTGCTAGCCTAGGTACCCTAAAATAGCTGATTTTTCTGGATCTTTATTCCTCCAGTTTCCTCCAGTCATATGGATATGTCATAGGTGTGTTGACCCATCACCATATCTCTAAAGATTCAGTTGCACTCAGCAAGATTAACACAGATTACCAAAGATGCTGAGTGCTGGTTCACTTTGGCAATTACTTTTTTAATTGCAATTTATAAAGTAAGTACTAAAGAGTAACCAGCACTCAGCATTTGTTGGCAGCATTTGTTGGCGCTGCCGTGGAGGGTGCATAAGTTTCCGGAAGTGCACTTGTGTTTGCCGTGGTTCCAAAAAAGATGGGA